TGAAGACGAACGGGGGGATTTCGGCGGTGTTGGACTCGAAGACGTGCGCGCCGCCGAAGGACGCGATCGAGCGCGCCTGCAACATGAAGGAGGATCTGCTGCACAAAATCGAGCGGTTGGGCGAAAGGTTGCCACCCAACACTCTCGATCAGCTCATCGACGAACTGGGCGGACCGGAGAACGTCGCCGAAATGACCGGGCGCAAAGGACGAGTTGTGCAGACTGAAGACGGTATTCAGTACGAAAGTCGGTCGGAGGTCGACGTGCCCTTGGAGACGCTCAATTTAACGGAAAAGCAACGATTTATGGACGGCGAAAAGGACGTCGCTATCATCTCAGAGGCGGCGTCGAGCGGCATCTCCCTGCAGAGCGATCGGAGGGCGCGAAACCAGCGGCGGCGCGTTCACATCACGTTAGAGCTGCCGTGGTCCGCCGATCGGGCGATTCAGCAGTTCGGACGTACGCATCGGAGTAATCAGGTTAACGCGCCCGAGTACATTTTCCTCATATCGGATCTCGCGGGCGAGCGACGTTTTGCGTCGATCGTCGCGAAGCGACTCGAGAGCTTGGGTGCGCTGACGCACGGCGATCGGCGGGCGACCGAAACGCGTGATCTAAGTCAATTTAATATCGATAACAAATACGGTAGAGCTGCTCTGGAAGCCACAATGAAGACTATCATGGGATATGAGGTAATACTTTGAACTGGGACGCTGCAGATAGAACACAAGTACAAAAAACCACTTGAGGCCCAGCCGGCATCTAACTCTGCAAAAAAATATTTTTCAAAGTAGCACTTCAACAGTAAGAAACTTTTCTACCATCAAAATTTCCAATGGCGTTTTATGGCTTCAGTTCAGCTTGTGTTGTTCTTGTGGTCTATCTGCATGATCTTGCTTATCCCAGTTTCCCCGATATCCCAGATATACATAAACGACAGATTGCTAACCTTGTGCATTTCGTAGGTAGCACAAATACAGGGTGGGTGATAAAGATGGAACCAAAGCGCTCACGCTCAAACCGTTTGTGTTTCACATATTTTGAGGTTAAAAAAATTTTTGCATTTTTTAAAATTGACAGAATTTCTTCTGCACTGCAGGCAGTAAGAAAGAGAAAAAAATAAAAACACACGACCTCTGGTGCCATTTAAAAAAATTCAAGATGGCGGTCGCATTCAAAAACGATGTCAAAAAAAAATTTTTTTAACCTCAAAATATCTGGTTTCATATTTTCCAGCGACCCTGTATACTATTGGGGTATATTCAAAAGCGCCCGCTATATATGCCGACTAAAGAATAAGGTTAGGAATCGGTCGTTTGTGTATATCTGCGCCGATATTCATTGATAAAATGATTTAGTCTCCACTGGTGCCTCCCCCTCAAGACTACAAAGGCGACTTTTTCAAAGACATTGCCGACGCACTCGTAGGTGTAGGATTAATAGTGAATAGTGAGAATATGCCAGGTGTCCTCTCGTTGGATAAAGACTACAATAATATGTCAAAGTTCCTAAATCGCATTCTCGGAATGCCGGTAGATTTACAAAATCGCTTATTTAGGTATGTTGGCTCCCCCCTCGCTAACGTTGGCCCTCTCCCTCCCACGGCTCTTTTTTGCAGATATTTCACGGATACGCTCGCGGCGATCATAACGCAGGCGAAGAGATCGGGCCGCTTCGACCTGGGCATACTCGATCTGGGCGCCGGCGGCGAGCTCGTCAAGAGGGTGCGGACGTGGACGTTCCTCCGAAAGCACGCGACCGGAAAGGCGCCGACGGAACTTCACACGGTGCACGTCGAGCGGGGGATGTCGTGGGACGAGGCGACCGAGAAGTGGTCGACGCTCACCGGCGGCAAGGAGGGATTCTACCTGTCGCATCAGATCCGTAACAACAAGCACACCGCAATACTCGCCGCCGAATTCGATACCGGTGTTAAGAAGAAATCCGAATCTAAGAAGGACCAAATGTACTACGTCTATCGGCCGAATACCGGTTTGCAATTTCGACAGGAAAGTTTGGCCGAGCTCGAAAAGAAATACAAGAAGGCAAGTCACTTTTGAGGTTATTGTTGTCGACAATTTTCTTGAATTTGTATGCGACTTTTTGTGTTTTGGGATTTCTTTTCACACGAGAGATCCAAGGGTTGAATATTTTTGGGGGAGGACGTAGCACCGGGGGGTCTGGGGATATGAAATACCCCTCCAGTAAATGGGAATTTGTGGGAAAAACTTAATTCATTCCTTCTGTGCACTGGGGGGTATTGGAATACCCCCCAGACCCCCCGGTTTTTTTTCCAAAATCTGTAAAACAATCCCCTTGCTCGTAGGGAGTGTCATAAAATTTTTTTTCAAGAAAGCTCTTAAGGGTTGAACATTTTTGGGGGAGAATGTAGCACCGGGGGTCTAGGGGGTATGGAATACCCCCCAGTAAAGGGGAGTTTGATGATAACTGTCATGGAATTTTGTGGGAAAAAGTTAATTCATTCCTTCTGTGTGCTGGGGGGTATTCCATACCCCCCCAGACCCCCCGGTGATCATTTTTGTTTCCAAAATCTGTAAAACAATCCCCTTGCTCGTAGGGAGTGTCATCAAATTTTTTTCACGAGAGCTCTTAAGGGTTGAACTTTGTTGGGGCAGAACGTAGCACCGGGTGGTATGGAAAATGGTTCTTCGGTGTGTTGGGGGGGATCCCAAGCTGAGAAAATTGTACTTCAACCTTTTTGCCGATTCTTCTTTACATTAAGCTCAATTGTGAATTACCGCTAAATCGGACTTGTATCTCGTTTAGGTACAATCGGAGGAAGCGCAAGAGGCGTGGACGCAACAGTACGAATCGTCCCTGACGACCTGCTCGCACGCGTACTGGCGAGGTAACTGCCGAAACGTTAACCTCGGACACGACTGCGAGGTGGGCCTGCGAAGGAGAACGTACAACGTCGTCTCCGGCTCCGTTCTATCGGTGTGGAGTCGGGTGGAAGGCGTTCTCGCCAGCAAGGTCGGCTCTCACAATAATAAGATGCAAGTGATTCGGTTAAAAACCGACGACGGTCTCAAGGTAGTTGGTAAGCGATCCGTTTCCTGTCTCCTTCTCGGAGCTAATCGATCGTTTCAGGCACGTTAATACCAAAAACTTGTGTAGAATCTCTAATAGAAGCACTTTCCTCAGACGCTGAAAAGACAGAAGAGAAAACCTTTTAAACGACTTCATTTAGCAAATTTTTATTTAATAAGAACGCCGTTACGTTTCTTCAGTTGACTGCCAGACGATTTGCGCGTCAGGGGCTTCGCCCCGACCTGTTCTAATCCGATGTAATCGTCACCACAAAATATTGTCAAAGTAGTTTTTGTTACTTAGTCTTAATCTATTTATAATTATGTAAGTAATCCGCTTTTTTTTTAATCGTTACTAGTACTCGACTGATGATTGAAGTATTAAATATAGCGTCTCGGCTTTGCGGGCCGACGATTTTATGTTTTTTACCGTGGCACACCTTATGTGAATAGTCGCCAATCTAAACTTAGAATTACTTTTTTTGTGTGATAATATCTACGTGTATATTTCCGATGTCGGTCTAAGACGGAAAAAAAAAACAGTAAAAAAACACCTTCGAATATTTTAGACTTTAATATTTTGTGCAATTTTCGTTCACACTTTTTCGCTAAAAAGTAATAAATTATTTACCACCCCTAATCGCACTAATTTTCTTCATGAGAAATGGGGGAGGTTCTATCGTTACCCCCCACCCACACTAATTTTCTTCATCGACTTCATCATAGTCTTTCACTTTGACATCTTGATCTTCGCCGAACTGCAATATGTTATCGATCGTCAATAGGACATCGGACACGTTCTCTTCATCATTTAGATTGAGCGGCAAAAATCGTACGAGGGAATGGTCCTCGACCAGCTGACCGATCACGTCCGTCAGTCGCCTGTATTTGTCGTTGAACCACGAATGATTCAGCTCGATGTCGCTTAGCAGAGCGTGCGAGTCGGGCTCCAAAAATCGATCCAGCTGCTTCCGCGTGCTTTTACTTATCAAATCCATTTTCGTTAATAAATTAACGTGCGGCAACTCCAGATTGACCATGACGCTTAACGCAGACATCGTGCCCGATACGAACTTCGCGCCGTCCGTCATAAACTGCACGTCGAGCAGGTACACGCAGCACAAGTTAAAGTTCCAACTTTGTAACTGCGCGATTAATTTCCGGAACGTTGTCAGGTGCGTGTACAACTCGATTTGGCCGGGGCAATCGAACAAGATGTAATCGTCCTCTTGACTGCCGAGCTGTTCTTGTAACCAATCCGAATTTTTCACCAGGTAATCCATACAGAACAGCAGGCCGCCGTTGGGCCCGAACTGTAAGTCCTCGTCTTCCATTGTGTCTTGTACGTGTATAAGGTTGCGGACGTCGACCAATGGTTCATAGTTAAAGTGTTCTGCGGCGGGATCCAGATTAACGACGTTAATTTCTCGTTTCGTGTTGATGCCGTGCTGAACCAGCGCACTGCAGTACGTCGACTACAACAGGTACGATTTCATAAGCTTTACTGCCCCAATACTTTACCTTGCCACTGCCAGCCGGGCCCGTTATTAACTGCGCGTAGCGCATTTTGAGAAGCCCCAAGTGTGGAAGTGGAATCAAAATTAAATACTGAAAAATAAAGTAGGGTTAGAAAACTCAGTAGATCATCTTCGAGTAGTTCCAATGAACTAATCTTCAGTGTACAGTAGATATATACAAAGATGACGCTATATTTCGTTACCTCCTATTCCCTAGTGCGCTGGCACCCAGATCAAGCTAGAGTTTGCCGTAGCCGATCGGAACATGCCCCCTGACTATCACTGCAAATGTGTATACAGTGCGTTTATCTTAAATTGAACATATGATTTTGCATGCAATATATTTCAAGAAAATGCGTCATCCTATAGGAGTAGTTCAAATGGGTAGTAGGCGCAATGAACAATTATCACCTTCAAATTACTGTCCTGCAGATAAATTTCGAAAATTCTAACTAAAGAGATGAAAATTGAAATTAAAAGTTGTACAATGGTCACAACAGTGCAAGAGAAGTGTGATTTACTTGCAGTAGTATCCTGATGAACCAATACTTTCTATTCAACGTACATAACCTAAAAATAATAAAGGCTGGTTCAGTTGTGACACGCACAAATCTTCAATAAGTGTGTGTAGTTGTGAACCGCACACATCGTATAGGTTGAGGCGTTTTTTTTAAATGGAACAGGGAAACAACATTGCATTGTGCATTTAGCCGTATGGAAGTCTTCCGAGCGTGTGCCTCCACAGCTAAGTGAAATAGGGTTCTAGTCCTCGAAGCGCATCCAGTGACTCCTAGGCAGGTGAGTCTGTAACTTTCCTAGTTGCTTCGTGTAGTTTTCCATGCACATGGCAGGTATCATACAAGTGCACAGTATGGTATTATTGGCCTTCTCACTACAGTGTAAAGTCAATATACCGATGTAGGGTTCAAGCACTACGTAGGTACAGCCAACATGCTGGTAGACATGCAGTGGCGTTTGTGCTTATTTGATCAATTGACCTGGTCAGACCCATCAGTTGAAGTCCTCGAAGAGTGAGTGACCTGTTCCAGAGCCCCGAAGTTTGTAAAATTCTAACTCTAACCGGGTTGTTGAATAAGGCCCTGGGTAGGTGTCCCTCTAGTGCACGTGAACTACTTTTTGGTTAACAAAATTGTTGACCCGACGCCACTGGTGGTAGTTCCAATGTACTGATTAGTCCTAACCTCAAAATTTAAATTGACGTGTCAGCTGTCAACTTTGTTTTGGTATTTCTAGCCTCTTTTTCTGCATATTATAAAATGTGATGCGAAAGAAAAGCAGTTACAATGAGAATACACTGGCTGAGTCGTACTTCGAAAATCGTCGCGCTATGCAGCGCGGCAAATTTCATAAACAGCGCCGATCGTGTTCTGATGCCGATCGCTATCGTGCCGATGACCGACCAGTTTCACTGGACGTTACACGCGCAGGGCTGGATACTGTCGGCGTTCGCTTGCGGATACTTCACGAGTCAATTGCTGGGTGAGCGTCGAATGTGCGTCGGTCGTTTGCGAGCTTCGTTTTTGCAGGTAGCCTTTGGGTGAACAAGATCGGCGCCAAGAACATTCTGATATGTAGCGTACTGCTGTGGAGCATCGCCACTTTCGTAACGCCGCTGCTGGCGGAGAGTGTCGTCGCGTTGATCAGCTGCAGAATCGTGTTGGGTTTCGCGGAAGGTTTAGGTCTGCCGACGATCTTTCATCTCTTTGCGCATACGATACCGGTCGAGGAACGTAGTCGAGCTTTTGGGTATTTATTGGCATCGGGATCGGTCGGCCAAACCGTCGCATCAGTTGTAAGACTCTTAAAGTTGTGCGTTAGTTAGAAATCGCTTTCTCTCGTTATTATAGGTGGCGCCACATTTGTCATGGCAAGCTTGTTTCTTCTGGTTCGGTTCCATGGGTTTTGTATGGGTTTTAATGTGGTACATTTTCTATCCCAATACTGGATTAGGGTTTGGACCGCAGGATGCGATCCCTCTCCACATGCCCAAAGTGAGTAGAACTACTCTATTCTTTACGGTATGCCGGGATATACGAGAGAATTCACAAGTTTTTGCTTTTCAGGCGAGTAAAAACATCAGATGGAGCGATTTTCTCATGTCAAAGGCCTTATGGGCGATCTACATAGCGCACTTCGCCATGAACTGGTCATCGTACATAATAATGCAATGGCTGCCGACCTATCTTTCGAGAATGCTCGGGGCAAACGCGGAATCAATCAGCTTAACCGCCGTACCCTACATAGTGAATTCGGCGTTCGGAGTCGCAAGCGGTCACGTCGCCGACAGCCTGCTAATGCGTAACAGCTGGTCCGTGCTAAACGTACGGAGGTTGATGACGAGCATAGGACTCATCGGTCCCGGTTTATTCTTGGCGATCTTTTGCGTCGTCAACGAGTTACCGCTGGCCGTCGTGCTCGTTTCGATTTCGATGGGACTACTCGCGTGCAACTCCGCCGGTCACTTGTCGAATCACGTTGATATCGCACCTAATCATTCGGCGACGACTTTCGCGATTAGTAATACGATTGCAACCATACCCGGAATACTGTGCGGGCCGATAACAGCAGCCCTAGTCACCGCCGCCAACGGAAAGTGGGTGGCCGTGTTTTTGGGGGCCACGTTTATTAATTTAGTAGGAGCATTTGTCTACTTTGGCAACAGTTTAGCTACGCAAGTGTTGTAAATTTGTAATAAACATTTTTAAATGTATGCTAGAAGTAAACGATTATTGTTTTGTTAATTTTTTTGTTTTTACTAAGCACCTATAAGTATAGGTGGTGCTAAGAGGGCTGTGAGAATCTCCGTTCTTACATGCTACCTTGCACATGACCTGAAATTACTTCCTTTGCCCTATTTCGAATTTAGAATTCTGGGTCGCCACAAGTTGATTTCAGCCAATGCATAAGGTAGGGTAAGACACAAAGATTGGGCTGCTAGAACGGACAAGGTAGGTCAAATTATGTATCCCGAGGACTTCAGGGAACAATCCTTATTTCTCCGAAAACAATAAGCTAACGTCCTGACATCTGCCGTAAGTAATTTAGACTTGCATCATGCCGTTAATGCAGGCCACTTAATTATTACCATTGTTGGAGTTGCTTATACTTCTCACAGATGTCGCTAATAAAATGAAGTACTTATCTAGTGACTTATGAAGTACTGACATCTAACGTTAATTAAAGCAACTAAAAAATTAAGAAATTATCTTCATTTTATTCCTGTGTTGTGACATCTGTCAACAGTTAGGACAACTAACATAATTACAGTACCCGTCAGTAAATTGACCTGTATTAATTGATAAAATGTTAGTCAACCTTAATAAAGACAGATGACAGAACAATGCATTATTCTCATTCAAAACAATAATAATGGTAAAAAACCTATGCAAGGCTATACAAATCACGGGTATTGCGCCCCTTTAACCCCTGCTGACTAAAAAATTAAGCCAAGAAACTCGAAAACGATTTTCATAAGGAAATTGACTAATTTCGCCGAAATATTAGTTAGTCCTGGTTAGGTTAGATGAGAAATCCTGTATCAGGAGATTATAGTGTGCAAGGAAGTGATTGAAGGTTTGGGTAAAGTGAGTGAAGTTAAGTGGGAGTGCTAGTTAGGTTAGGTCAGAAATCTTGTATCAGGACAGTTTTATTTTACATAAGTTTATCGACAAATAACAGGTGTAGTATTAGGAAAAAAACACCTCCTCGCACTCATATGATCCTGATACAGAATGGCAAATTTTTAAATCGACTGCAAGCTTTGAAATAATGCTGACAGACCTAGAAATAGACCTCTTCGTACATTATGTTCTCCTAGTAGCACGAGACCTTTTGCATAAGTTTGTCGACAAGTAACAGGTATAGTATTAGGAAAAGAAACACCTCCTCGCACTCATATGATCCTGATACAGAATTGGCAAATTTTTAAATCGAATGAAAGCTTTGAAATAATTCTGACAGAGCTAGAAAAAGACCTCTTCATATATTATGTTCTCCTAGTAGCACGACACCTTTTGCATAAGATTGTCGACAAGTAACAGGTGTAGTATTAGGAAAAGAAACACCTCCTCGCACTCATATGATCCGGATACAGAATGGCAAATTTTTAAGTCGAATGAAAGCTTTGAAATAATTCTGACAGAGCTAGAAAAAGACCTCCTCGTACATTATGTTCTCCTAGTAGCACGACACCCTTTACACAAGTTTGTCGACAAGTAACAGGTATAGTATTAGGAAAAGAAACACCTCCTCGCACTCATATGATCCTGATACAGAATTGGCAAATTTTTAAATGGAATGAAAGCTTTGAAATAATTCTGACAGAGTTAGAAAAAAACCTCCTCGTACATTATGTTCTCCTAGTAGCACGACACCCTTTACACAAGTTTGTCGACAAGTAACAGGTATAGTATTAGGAAAAGAAACACCTCCTCGCGCACTCATATGATCCTGATACAGAATTGGCAAATTTTTAAATCGAATGAAAGCTTTGAAATAATTCTGACAGAGCTAGAAAAAGACGTCTTCGTATATTATGTTCTCCTAGTAGCACGACACCTTTTGCATTTGTTTGTCGACAAGTAACAGGTGGGTATTAGGAAAAGAAGCACCTCCTCGCACTCATATGATCCTGATACAGAATTGGCAAATTTTTAAATCGAATGAAAGCTTTGAAATAATTCTGACAGAGCTAGAAAAAGACCTCTTCGTATATTATGTTCTCCTAGTAGCACGACACCTTTTGCATAAGTTTGTCGACAAGTAACAGGTGTAGTATTAGGAAAAGAAACACCTCCTCGCACTCATATGATCCTGATACAGAATTGGCAAATTTTTAAATCGAATGAAAGCTTTGAAATAATTCTGACAGAGCTAGAAAAAGACCTCTTCGTATATTATGTTCTCCTAGTAGCACGACACCTTTTGCATAAGTTTGTCGACAAGTAACAGGTGGGTATTAGGAAAGGAAACACCTCCTCGCACTCATATGATCCTGATACAGAATTGGCAAAGTTTTAAAGCGAATGAAAGCTTTGAAATAATTCTGACAGAGCTAGAAAAAGACCTCTTCGAATATTATGTTCTCCTAGTAGCACGACACCTTTTGCATTTGTTTGTCGACAAGTAACAGGTGGGTATTAGGAAAGGAAACACCTCCTCGCACTCATATGATCCTGATACAGAATTGGCAAAGTTTTAAAGCGAATGAAAGCTTTGAAATAATTCTGACAGAGTTATAAAAAGACCTCTTCGTATATTATGTGCTCCTAGTAGCACGACACCTTTTGCATTTGTTTGTTGACAAGTAACAGGTGGGTATTAGGAAAGGAAACACCTCCTCGCACTCATATGATCCTGATACAGAATTGGCAAGGTTTTAAAGCGAATGAAAGCTTTGAAATAATTCTGACAGAGCTAGAAAAGACCTCTTCGTATATTATGTTCTCCTAGTAGCACGACACCTTTTGCATTTGTTTGTCGACAAGTAACAGGTGTAGTATTAGGAAAGGAAACACCTCCTCGCACTCATATGATCCTGATACAGAATTGGCAAATTTTTAAATCGAATGAAAGCTTTGAAATAATTCTGACAGAGCTAGAAAAAGACCTCTTCGTATATTATGTTCTCCTAGTAGCACGACACCTTTTGCATTTGTTTGTCGACAAGTAACAGGTGTAGTATTAGGAAAAGAAACACCTCCTCGCACTCATATGATCCTGATACAGAATTGGCAAATTTTTAAATCGAATGAAAGCTTTGAAATAATTCTGACAGAGCTAGAAAAAGACCTCTTCGTATATTATGTTCTCCTAGTAGCACGACACCTTTTGCATAAGTTTGTCGACAAGTAACAGGTGTAGTATTAGGAAAGAAACACCTCCTCGCACTCATATGATCCTGATACAGAATTGGCAAGTTTTTAAAGTCGAATGAAAGCTTTGAAATAATTCTGACAGAGCTAGAAAAAGACCTCTTCGTATATTATGTTCTCCTAGTAGCACGACACCTTTTGCATAAGTTTGTCGACAAGTAACAGGTGTAGTATTAGGAAAGAAACACCTCCTCGCACTCATATGATCCTGATACAGAATTGGCAAATTTTTAAATCGAATGAAAGCTTTGAAATAATTCTGACAGAGCTAGAAAAAGACCTCTTCGTATATTATGTTCTCCTAGTAGCACGACACCTTTTGCATAAGTTTGTCGACAAGTAACAGGTGTAGTATTAGGAAAAGAAACACCTCCTCGCACTCATATGATCCTGATACAGAATTGGCAAATTTTTAAATCGAATGAAAGCTTTGAAATAATTCTGACAGAGGTAGAAAAAGACCTCTTCGTATATTATGTTCTCCTAGTAGCACGACACCTTTTGCATAAGTTTGTCGACAAGTAACAGGTGTAGTATTAGGAAAAGAAACACCTCCTCGCACTCATATGATCCTGATACAGAATTGGCAAATTTTTAAATCGAATGAAAGCTTTGAAATAATTCTGACAGAGAGCTAGAAAAAGACCTCTTCGTATATTATGTTCTCCTAGTAGCACGACACCCTTTACACAAGTTTGTCGACAAGTAACAGGTGTAGTATTAGGAAAAGAAACACCTCCTCGCACTCATATGATCCTGATACAGAATGGCAAATTTTTAAATCGAATGAAAGCTTTGAAATAATTCTGACAGAGCTAGAAAAAGACCTCTTCGTATATTATGTTCTCCTAGTAGCACGACACCTTTTGTATAAGTTTGTCGACAAGTAACAGGTGTAGTATTAGGAAAAGAAACACCTCTCGCACTCATATGATCCTGATACAGAATTGGCAAATTTTTAAATCGAATGAAAGCTTTGAAATAATTCTGACAGAGCTAGAAAAAGACCTCTTCGTATATTATGTTCTCCTAGTAGCACGACACCTTTTGCATAAGTTTGTCGACAAGTAACAGGTGTAGTATTAGGAAAGAAACACCTCCTCGCACTCATATGATCCTGATACAGAATTGGCAAATTTTTAAGTTCGAATGAAAGCTTTGAAATAATTCTGACAGAGCTAGAAAAAGACCTCTTCGTATATTATGTTCTCCTAGTAGCACGACACCTTTTGCATAAGTTTATCGACAAGTAACAGGTGTAGTATTAGGAAAAAACACCTCCTCGCACTCATATGATCCGGATACAGAATGGCAAATTTTTAAATCGAATGAAGCTTTGAAATAATTCTGACAGAGCTAGAAAAAGACCTCTTCGTATATTATGTTCTCCTAGTAGCACGACACCTTTTGTATAAGTTTATCGACAAGTAACAGGTGTAGTATTAGGAAAAGAAACACCTCCTCGCACTCATATGATCCGGATACAGAATGGCAAATTTTTAAATCGAATGAAAGCTTTGAAATAATTCTGACAGAGCTAGAAAAAGACCTCTTCGTATATTATGTTCTCCTAGTAGCACGACACCTTTTGCATAAGTTTATCGACAAGTAACAGGTGTAGTATTAGGAAAAGAAACACCTCCTCGCACTCATATGATCCGGATACAGAATGGCAAATTTTTAAATCGAATGAAAGCTTTGAAATAATTCTGACAGAGCTAACAAACGACCTCTTCGTGCATTCTGTTCTCCTAGTAGCAATATACAATTTGCATAAGTTTGACGACTAATAACAGGTGTATTAGGAAATAAAACACAGCACACCTCCTCGTTCTTTATATTTTCCTGATACAGAATTGGCAAACATTTAAATCGAGATTAAGCTTTGAAATAATTCTATGATTGATAGCAAATGACTTCTTCGTTTATTACGGTCTCATAGTAGCAAGAAAAGATTTTACATAAGTTTAATTATAAAATAACAAGTGTTCTCTTCGGCCATTATGTTCTCCGCGTGACACCCGCCTTGGTTGGTGATGTGGTCTTCAACTCTCCACCGTCTTCGTCGGCGGTCGGATCAGTGTAGAGCCATCTGGTCTTTGCCTGTTTTTCTCTCCGCCTATACGCGGTTGCCCACCTGATCGCGTAGTTAGCTCCAGAAACCTGCTTTGGAGGTGACCGTTGGGTCAGTTTGACCCCTTTGGACCAGCCTGGTCTTCTTTCTTCTTTGTTGTTCACCGCCGTAGATGCTCTTCCGTGATTAAGTTAGCTCTCTACCCACCACGGAGCTCAACAAGGGCACGTCTATTCAGACGCCATAGCTACTAGACGATTGTCATTGCCCTTCAGATGCTCACCCATCAGTCGGCCTCGGCGGTCTAGCCCGACACTGATTGATCTTGATGGGTTATTCATTACCTACCTCTCCTGTCTTAAGCGAAATTCCGATGGAAGTAAGTAGTGCATTGTTGCCACTTCAGGTACCTAACTCATTACTGGATTGCATCGCGTGGCACAAACACGAGGGCGTCGTTTTTAGTCTGGATTCTGACGTGGGGCCGTCATTCGCCCGGCGTTACACGCCCCTTTGCTTACTAATGACGTTTGATGGATTCAATGAGCTTACAGCCAATCAGATCTTTTTATGTCTCAATACCTACCCACCTCTGCTCTGTTAGTGGCCTCATCACAATTTCTTAGGAGTCACTATATCTAACAATCCAGCGTTGCATTACGAATTTCTACACCACAAGAAAGATGATGCCAGACATTTTGAAACTTTAGAAGCTAACTAATGGAAAGGGATAGGAATTGTGCCTTTGTCAGCAAGAAGGTAGGGCTACATGCAAAAAGAACAAGACAAAACATTCAAGTTTTTATAAATAATTTAATTTTTTGTAACTGAATGTTTAAAATAACATTTCAATATAAATAATGACAGTGTATTGAAGGCGCGTTAGAAGCGCAACAGTGAGGACTTGTGGTGGTGAATGTTACCAACTATCGTAATACATATCAACCATCGGTTTTCTTTTTTTTTTTAATTATATACTTTTTGAGACGGACCAATTTACGCGTACTCATTTCAAAATGGCAGTACCACAATTATGACGATGATGACAAACAGCCAGCACTCGGCTACATTTTTGACCGCACATTTGTCGAACTTATCAAAATCGATATCAACGCACCGTTCAGTCGTATGTTCCGTATCCAAATTCCAATTGACGCAACTCATCTCCGATTTGATTATAATTTTAAATATTATATATCACAGTGTGAGCACTTAACATAGTCACGCATGCGTTTTGATAAACCACAAACGTGAGCAAAAACTCCTCGTGTCCAGCTCAATGAAGCATACCTATGTACTTACGACATCTATGAATCGTTAAAGAACACATCACCTTATCTAAGGGGGGGAGGGGGGCGCGCGAATTAGGGCGATCGCGATCACCCCCGACATTCATCCGGCGTACGAGTCCTAACGAAGCGTACGGCGGACGAATCCGATCTAAAATAATAAAATTCTAGGTGGTTTCCGTTACTGCAGAACACGAGCTTTGCTTTTTTTTTGTTCATAAATAATATGGCGATGCAGTAACGCAAACCGCGACGGGTTTCCAACGGGTTTTTTTTTTAGAGTTGCGCTTCGCATCACGTCGGAAACCGGAACATTAAACTAGTGCGTGTACTCAAAAATGTCCAGCGTACAGAGAAATTTAAAAACTCTCACCGAAAATGGTTTTTTTTTGCAACATTAATTACTCACTAAAAGCTGTACGAGGCGCGCGCGCGCACGCGGCTTAAGACTGGGAAAGTAACGCGCGTGCGCGCGCGTCTCCGTTAAGATCATCGTTGACTAGGACTAAAAAAATAAAAATCTAAATTAACAAATAACGTTTGAGAATTAATAAAGATTGAACGCGAAGGAAGGCGGGGTCTCGACCCCGCCTTCCCCCTTCACAGTAAGTTCACAATATAAAAATTTCGAGATTAACATTGTAACTTAGAAAAATAATTTAATGAGATGTAATCACATACGTTTTGTAAGAATGTTAGTTAATATATGGTGTACTTGTCGAATCTACGCCCGCGTGACACAATCTGTCAGGTCACAAATACAATTACTATAATAATAATAATAATAAATAATTTAGTAACTTGTAACATAGAATATAGAATATATCATCATCTAACATTTATAGTGTTTAGAACACTGCACAGAAACCAATCGACCAAAACAAGACCTGGGCTGCGCCTGCGGCTCCGGTCGATCCACGCCGCCTTCCGTTTTTTTTATTTGCCAAAAACAGTGCGTCGAGGAGCGGGAGCCGCGGCGACAATTTCTTCTTATTCATACAATTAGTTTAATATGACCTAGAGACAGCCTAAAGAAGTTGCCAGCCTCATTTCATGCTAGAACTACCCCCACCGCCTCCGCCTCCGCCGCCTGAGGTATCTTGTAAATGTTGCTGGGTAGAGTTGCTATTACCCTATGAACAGACAGAAAAGAACGTGTTAGAAATATATTGCAGTATGCGTTCGATATATTTTTGAGGTTAAACCATACGTGTAATAAGCGGAAAAACCAATGAATTCTAATACCAGTAAGGAGAATATCAACAATATACGTGCGACCGCGATGGCTTTTGCAAATGGCGGACAGTAGATTCCTGTTCCAGTGGCGTACCTACCTTACAGTTGTAGAAGGATACAATTATAAAGAATTTTACACGAAAACAATCTAAACCCCCATGTGTCTACTCCGCCTATGACTTTTGTTTTACTAACCTCAAACTACATTCCGATAAAAAATTTGTAAATTTACATGTACTATATAAAAATAATATTGCTATCAATACATGAAATGTAATTCCCAAACTTTTATTTTTTTCCGTTTTGGAGCAACCACAAGCACAACAACTAACCATTATTTTATGTCACTGCAAAAACCACAACAAAAATGAGTCATAAGTGGTTTTTGCAAATGGCCGACTTCCGTCCCACTCTCTCTTGTATACAACCTGAGTAATGCTCCTTCCTGATATTCTTTATTCATTGGGAAAAACAAATGACACTCATTTAAAAAAATTCAAGATGGCGGATTTTCTAACCTCAAAAGATGTACTCACCATTGTATGCGACTGATCGGCAGTAGCAGCGACAGAACCAGCTCCACTGCTACCGGGTTTGATCTTGTCACAGTAATCGGCGAGTATGTCGCGAAAGCGCGGCCAGCTCTTCTCCGGAATCGTGATCGCGGTCCGAATGTTGGTCTTCACTTCCGAGATACGCATATAAACGCCACGATTATTCTGACCGATATCGAAGTAAAAGTTCTTATTATCAACGTGAACGTGCCTACCCTCTGGAAGATCCGGTTTGTACGCGTGCTCGTCGGCACTAAATTCGTCCAGTAAATCCGTGAGCGCGTCACGAAATTCGATCATACCCTGCGCGGGTATCGCGACCTGCGAACGCGGGCCGCCGCGCGTTATCGTCTGCGAGACGCGCAGGAAGCGCCCGCGAGAGTTCTCCTTCAGGTCCAGGTAGTACCGTCGGTTGTCCTTTACCATCATTTCGCTACGCAGCTTGCCGTCCTCGGGCACGTTTTCCGGATTCGGCGGACCTATTAAACAAGCGAGTAAATTGTCGGTTTTACTTGGGATGCTGCGAGCACCCGTTAGTGATAAATACCCGGGATCGACCGAATAATGTTTATGAATTGATAGGATAACTTGAAAAATTTTAGTTTGCTCTAGGAAGTGTTGAGGGTGTAAGTATGAAATGCGCCCCCCCCCCCCCGTTCTATGTACTGTAGCATACTAGAGAGGATCTGCTTATTTTCCCAGTCCAAAAAGTATGAGGAGTCCTGAGAGATTAATGTTTTGTGGGGGAAACTTACCGGGGGGTCTGGGGAGTATGGAATACCCCCCAGTATACCATATGCAGTGGCTCCATCGTCATGGCAAGGGCAGTACTGAGGCTTCGATGTTTTGAAATCCTCGCCATGTTTTTAAGTCATTACTGGGACCCCCCAGACCCCCCTGTCCTATGTCCTATTTTGCAGAAGAGAATCTGCTCATTTCCCAACCCAAAAAGTATTACGAGTCCCGAGAGATTAATGTTTTGTGGGGGAAACTCTTACCGGGGGGTATGGAATACCCCCCAGCATACCATATGCAGTGGCTCCATCGTCATGGCAAGGGCAGTACTGAGGCTTCGATGTTTTGAAATCCTCGCCATGTTTTTAAGTCATTACTGGGACCCCCCAGACCCCCCTGTCCTATGTCCTATTTTGCAGAAGAGAATCTGCTCATTTCCCAACCCAAAAAGTATTACGAGTCCCGAGAGATTAATGTTTTGTGGGGGAAACTCTTACCGGGGAGTATGGAATACCCCCCAGCATACCATATGCAGTGGCTCCATCGTCATGGCAAGGGCAGTACTGAGGCTTCAATGTTGTGAAATCCTCGCCATGTTTTTAAGTCATTACTGGGACCCCCCAGACCCCTCCTGTCCTATGTCCTATTTTGCAGAAGAGAATCTGCTCATTTTCCCAACCCAAAAAATATTACAAGTCCCGAGAGATTAATGTTTTGTGAGGGAAACTCTTACCGGGGGGTATGGAATATCCCCCAGTATACCATATGCAGTGGCTCCATCGTCATGGTAAGGGCAGTACTGAGACTTCGATGTTTTGAAATCCTCGCCATGTTTTTAAGTCATTACTGGGACCCCCCAGACCCCTCGGTCCTATGTCCTGTAGAACACTATTTTGCACAAGAGGATCTAATCATTTTCGCAACCCAAAATATATTACAAGTCCCTAGAAATAAAACGTTTTGCCGAGGAAACTGTTACTGGGGGGGGGGGGGGGGTCTGGGGGATATGTAACACCCTCCAGTAATCTATATGCAATAGTTCCATCATCACGGCCCCCCTCTTTTAACACTGATACACAATATAATACAATATACAAAAAACTTTTCTGAACCGAAACACCCTTCCGGTTCAAGGCCGATTTATAAACTTGACGTCCGCTCGGGGTACCACAATAGCAAAAAGTCAGGTTATGTAGTAGTCAAGTTTCTAAATTATGTATACCCCACCGGTCGAACGCCAATGGCATCTGGCACTTGTTTTACACTCAAAAAATTATGACAGATGCCAATTAAGGCAACAAGAGCGGAATTATATCGAGTCGTATGATAACGCCTCGGCAGAAGTCGAAAACGATCAGATCATTACAAAACCTAACCTGCAAACTGGTCTTTTGTTTGAATTCGCGACACTGCTCATAACCAAATAACTCCACTCTAAAACAATTGACAGCAGATGGCTAGATTCCGCGTTTCAAACAGACTTCTAGCACATTGGCAACTCAGCACCTACGAAAGACGAAACTTTACGCTTACCTAAGGATGAGTAAAAGTCGCTAAACGTGGACAGGTGGTCTCTAAATTCGGCTGCCGTCGATAGGGCTAGGAATATTTGCGAGCGGCGGCCGTCGGCTCCGATCTAAAACCGTCGATGAGTGCGGTGAACGCGAGATCGCGCTACGTACCTCGGCTACTTTAATAAATCTACCTCGCCGATTCTGCTTCACGTCCAAATAGAAACGTTTACTTTGGATTTGCAACATTTTCGTCGCCAGCTCTTGCTCGACGGGTCCCTGCTGACCTATAACGAAAAAGCAAAAGTCAACGTCGGCGGTCGAGCAATGTTTCGTCGCACAAACTTGGATCGTGCCAATATTGTATTTTTTGAAAAGTCCACTCAAATGTTCCCTCCATGATTTACGGTGAAAATTTAAGAATGAAGTGATTCACTAACCCCCCTCTAATCATCGTGATCTTTTACTACATTTTCTTGGAACTAAGTGAATCATATGAAAAGATTTCCCATTCATGTCTATCCAGCGGATTACCTGGGTCGTATTCAGCACTGCCCTGCTCCATCCCTGGGTGGTATTCTGCAAAGAAGTTCAATTTTGAAAATTAGGTAAAGAATTTTACGGCGAAAATTGATCAGTTTTAACAGACAGAGAACTGGCGATCCGTAAGGGTCATTTTCGTTTACGAAACAAGTGCGTTCGCGAGATGTACGCAACCTAAAGGCTGTTGGCCAAGGTCATTCTGGATCTACCGCAGTTTAAAACCCGTCCGAATGCGCGAATTCGAAGGCAAACGGGACACGCCAAGTTTACTAACAAAACCGCGTCTCCGTAGAGGGAAAACCTCCACGTTATCCCTTAAGATTTCGCTAAAATCGGCAACGATTCGGACGTACAAAGAAACGCCATTTTGTTTTCTGTCACTAATTCGGACGACGTCCTTCAAGGCAAAACATTCGCGAGGAATGCGAACTGAGGGAACGGCAAGGGAAAAGCGTCTTCTCTAACTTTTACGAGCGGAAAAAGATTAGGTTTTTTCTTACTTTGTGAACTCGACCCCTCATCTCCACTTCCTAAATCCGACATCGCAACCACCACTCACGGACCCACAACTGTTGGGGGAAAAGTTAAAAGTTCCCGACCGATCGAGAATCACGTGCGCGGTACCTATCCTAATTAAAATTAAGCGAGAAAAAAAGTTACCGCCTATGCTCGACAATTAAGGCCAATTGCTCAATTGCATTATTGGTAAAGGGCGACGATTCTTTTAATTTAAATTCGCCGCGAGAAGGCACGATACGAATTCGATGTAAACGATATTCGATGTTGCCTCGCGCGTCTGAATCTAAACGTAACTCCTTATCGAAGGGGTGCTTTTTTTTTAAATTGGCGCGTTTTAAAACGATCATTTTCATTCCTTCTCACCCAAAAGATGTTACCCTTAGAGACTTTAAAACTCACAAAATTTCTACACACTACAGTTGTTGTTCATAATGCGATATCGTAGTCCTTTTTCAAAAAGCAGCGCCTGCGCTTTATGGAGAGTCACGTTTAATTACAGCTCTAAAAAAAATCAGTTGTCGGATGCGCCTGCGCATTTCGAACAAGCGGGACAAAGATGGCAACGATCGTCAGCCATCTTCTAAAGCGAGATAGATAGAATTGTTTTAATAATTTAAAAGTATTTTTCGCTAATTATAGGTGATATTTTGATAGGAATCGCTTAAATACGTACCGTAGTTTTTAATTGCAAAGTTGAAAGCGCGAAAATGCCGCGGTAGTGCTTAAATTGTTGTTAAGAAGGTATCGGCGTCGCGAGCATCCATTTCGAGTGAGAGCAAGGGTAAATGGCTTTCTTTGTTACTTTATATCCTTATTTCATTTCAACTTTATCAGCGTCTTTGTTGTAAAAAGAGATATGAATTTGAGCGAGAGATGAAAAACTTTCAAATTCTCGCAGTCGAGTTTTTCACGAAAAAAGAAAGGCCGCACCCTAAAATGCGATTTTTCCATGTTGTTACAGCCCTTTTTTACAGGAGACAACATGTTCGACCCGAACACCATCACGACCCAACAGTCCCAAATACAGTATCAAACCGACAAGGATAAGACCGGGCAAGATACCGGTCAGAAGGAGACCTTTCCGTCCTTCTGCTATGCGAATGTTAATATGATACACAAAATAGCGACCCCGAATACGGCCACGGTCGCTCAAAATCAACACTCGACCGTCAACATGTCCCAATTATCCGACGACAAATGCTACATCACGCAGCCCTTCTCGTACAACTACGCCCTCGTCAATCAAATGTCACTCGCGCAGAACACAATCTCGAATATAACGTTCAAGTGCGAGGTGTGCGGCCTAATGTTCGCCCACCTCAGCCTGCTCAACCACCACAAGCGCATCCATCAGGGCGCGACGCAGCCGAACGACCAGCAGCCCGGCCAGCAGATCACCGTTCAAGTTCAGGGTCAGGGGCAGCCGCAGCCCGCGCAGATACAGATCGTGTCGGCCGACCGAATACGTTACTCGTGCGAGGAGTGCGGACTGACGTTCAACACGCAGACGGACCTCAAGTCGCACAAGATCCAATCCCACCAGCCGCAGCAGCAGCAGCAGCACGTCCAGCAGCAGACGCAGCCGCAGAACACGCTCAAGATAAAGAACTGCGAGTCGTGCGGCGCGCCTCTGCCGCAGGACACGAACAAGAAGCGGGCCGTCATGAAGGTCAAGTGCGAGACATGCCTCTCGGCCGAGGCGATTCAGCCGCAGATCTTCGTCGTCGCGACCGCACCCGACGCCACGACCACCGTCAAGTTCGAGGAGTCGACCGGCACGCAGACCACCTCCAATCTTGGTATGTATCTGGCGGGGCACGAATATACAGGATGCTTCCCAATTAGGCGCCCTTTTCTGAAGTTTCTAAAAATTGGCGTCATTAAACATGAGGGGGCCGGGGGAGGAGGCTTTCTCAAAAATTGTTTATTGTATCAGAAGGTATCCCCCGACTCCCGTGTAACTCGTATGAGAAAATGACCAGATCCTCTTATGCAAAATATTTTTGCACAGAACAGGACCGCAGGGGTATAGAATACACCCCCCCCCTCAGTACAGACTTAAAAATACCCCCCCCTCCCCAGTACCAGTCCCCCCCCCCCCCCCCCCCCCCCCCAAAACATTAGCTCTTGGGACACTCATATGGGAAAATAATTAGATCCTCTTCTGCAAAATTACTTTTCTATAGACATGGACCGGGGGATCTGGGGGGGGGGTATTCCCTGCATACCCCCCAGACCCCCCTGTACCACTTTCCACCTCAAAACGTTTAGCTCTTGGGACTCTCATATAGGAAAATGATAAGATCTCTTCTGCAGAATACTTTTCCATAGCACATAGGACCTGCTGAGGGTATGGCATAGCCCCCCCCCCCCTCCGCGCAAAGACAAACATGGCGAGGATTTAAAACCCCCCCAACAAAGAAAAACTGGACGTCCCTTTCCCTCATGCCCTCGGTGCTGTCATTGGGGTTTCACCAGAAGCATAAGAAAAGTAGTGCAATTGCAATTACTTACTTGCGTTTGTTGTTCTCCTGATACCATAATTATTCACATTATTAACCTGTCCACATTCCCGTAATTTTCTATAGGGTATTTGTATCAGGAGCGTAAAAATGGTATTCTAAGTATTCTGAAACGTAAAAGAGAGACTAATTAATTTGAGAGAGACTAATTAATTCGAAACGAAGGAATATTAGGGCCACAGAAGTGTCTTTCAAACATTCTCTTTCTAATATCAACTATTTCTAACTTAGAAATTGCTACTAGGAACCCAGAAGTGTTAAGAGAATAATTAAATTCACGGGCTCTGTAACATTTCCGATTATTGATTGGATCAGGAGCGCAGAAAAGTAGTGCTGTATTATTTCGAAACGAAGGAATATTAGGGCCACACACATTCTCTTCTTATTACCAACTATTTCTAACTTAGAAATTGCTATCAGGAACCCAGAAGTGTTAACGAGACTAATTAAATTCACGGTTCCTGTTGACATTTCCGAAAATTAATTGGATCAGGAGCGCAGAAAAGTACTGCTGATCGTATTATTTCGAAACGAAGTGATATTACGGCCACAAAAGTGCTTTCAAACATTCTCTTCCTAATAGCAACTATTTCTAACGTAGAAATTGCTATTAGGAACCCGGAAGTGTTAAGGGACTAATTTAATTCATGGGACCTGTTAACATTTCCGAAAATTAATTGGATCAGGAGCGCAGAAAAGTACTGCTGATCGTATTATTTCGAAACGAAGGGATATTAGGGCCACAGAAGTGCTTTCAAACATTCTCTTCCTAATACCAACTATTTATAACTTAGAAATTGCTATTAGGAACCCAGAAGTGTTACAAGACCCATTAAATTGACGAGCCCTGTTAACATTTCCGAAAATTAATTGGATCAGGAGCGCAGAAAAGTAGTGCTGATCCTATTATTTCGAAACGAAGGAACATTAGGGCCACAGAAGTGCTTTCAAACATTCTCTGCCTAATAGCAACTATTTCTAACTTGGAAATTGCTATTAGGAGCCCAGAAGTGTTAAGCGACTAATTAAATTCACGAGCCCTGTTAACATTTCCGAAAATTAATTGGATCAAGGGCGCAGAAAAGTATTGCTGATCCTATTATTTCGAAACGACGGAATATTAGGGCCACAGAAGTGCTTTCAAACATTCTTCCTTCCTGATACCAACTTTTTCTAAGTTAGAAATTGCTATTAGGAACCCAGAAGTGTAAAAAATAATACACTTACAGTCTTGGATCGCCATTGATGTTCTCCTAATACCTTTTTAGGAACACAGAATACTATCCCGCTCGCAGTGAAGAATGCGCATCCTGTGAAACGGCGCGGCGTCGCTTCAGTGACGAAATGTACGAAATGCAACGGCAGCGGAATTATCTTCATCGGCGGATCGAAAAATCAACAGAACAACGTCGACAAACCCTTCCATTGCAACATATGCAACGGTGAGTACGACTTCCGCCCGCCCCTCCGTAGGTAATGGTTTCCTCTAGGATCGTTCAGCCGCTACTCGTCGCTATGGTCCCACAAGCGTCTCCACACGGGCGAGAAGAATTTCAAGTGCAACATCTGCGGACTGGCGTTCGCGAAGGCCGCCTACCTGAAGAACCACTCCCGAATCCACACCGGCGAGAAGCCCTACCGATGTAACGTCTGTGGCATGCAGTTCTCGCAGTCGCCCCACCTGAAGAACCACGAGCGCATCCACTCGGGCGAGCGGCCGTACGTCTGCGAGGTGTGCGACAAGTCGTTCGCGCGCCACTCCACCCTCTGGAACCATCGCCGCATTCACACCGGCGAAAAACCGTACCGATGCGACATCTGCGGCTCGTGCTTCAATCAGGCGACGCACCTGAAAAACCACGCGAAGGTGCACTCGGGCGAGAAGCCCTTCAAGTGCGACATCTGCAGCGTCGGCTTCTCGGATCGGTTCGCCCTCAAGCGCCATCGCAACATTCACGAGAAGTACGGACGCACGAAGCCGATCACGCCGCCGAAGATGGGCAACGGAACGGACGCCGAACCGGCGGTCGCCGCCGCGTCGGGCGTCGCCGGCGAGGAGACCGGCGAGTCCGTCGTCGAGGAGATACCCGAGACCAAGTACGAGGACGTCAAGTTCGACGTGGCGAGCGCTCAGGCCGGCATAACCGACGACATGACGACCGACATATCCGAATTGGAAGTTCAACTGTCGTAGATTTCTCTTCTTGTGTTAGTAGGAGGCTTTGAATGCGGGAGGTGCAAGATGCTTCTGTCAAAATATTGACAGTTGTCGTTTCCGTTAGCCAATCAAATAACTGAAATTTACTGTTTGTTGATTGGTTAACGGATCGGCCAGGTTTGAGAGATACAGCAGTTAAAGTTTGCCATTGAAACTTTCAGTGCATGTATCATGGAAGCCCCAACTTCACAGTACTATCGACAAATCCCGATCTGACGATGAATGAGCACATTCGATTACCAACGCGGTTGAATTATCAAAAATCTCTCAAGTTAGGGATTTTTTAATCTAATGTTACATGCACTGAAAACAAAACCTAAATGACAATTCCATTGCCAACCGACTCTTCGCCCTTTAGACACCGCATTTTCGTTAGCGTGTATATATTCGTATAGTGACGCCACCTTTTTTTTTTGTTAGAGTAACCTAGTTCGTAAATTGTGGTAATTTATTTATTTCGAAAGATACGTATTTAAATATATAAATTACTATGAGACGCCGTTGCTTCGAGTTTGTAAGTTTTGAGTACGTTTAGGCCTACTGTTTCGATTAAATCTAAAAGCGGCATTGTGTTAATAGAATCTAATGGAAGCTCGTCGAAAAATATTTTAAATAAACTGCAGCTTGTGTTTGTATGTACGCAGTATGAGAAGACGCTCGCCGATATCCCGGTAACTAGGTTCGGCACGTCTAAGTTTGGGTGTACCCTTTCGGTGTTGTACGCCAACTGTTTGATTATGCAAGACGAGCGTTTATCGCTGTTTTCAAGTAAGGAGACCAAACCGGACGTCAGCACTACTACTTCGGAGGCTTGTTTCAGCCAAGGCGCAACCTTTTCGGTAATCTGAAATGTTGGAACCTCGGTGGGGAGCTATTCAAAAATGGAAACGTACATGTCCAGCAGTTGCCTTGGAATTCTCACAAGTGATGATATAATCGTTATCGTGCAACTCGTACACTTTCACATTGGTTTCGTTCAGTTTACAAATGGGCTCTTGATCTCCCAAGATGCACATCTTAAAGAAAGACAATAAGGGTGCCGTTTCGATTACGAACACTTTGTTAATAGCGGAAGCGATTGTTGGAGTCGCATTCCACGACAATTCCAGACTAAAAGAAAGATTGCATTTTTGTAAGGCTTGCGAATACGTACATTTCATTTTCGGAAAATTCATCGGTGCACAGAGCACGCGTGCTGGGTTCTACAATTTCTCCAAAAACCATCGCTACAGTTTTCAAAGGGGGCTAACAATATTTGAGGTTAGGTTTCGACCATAGATTAGATTATGACATTACAAAGCAACAAATTTAGATGTACAGCGTGAGTCAGCTCAGTCGTCAAAATTAATTCTAAAGACGTCCCAGTATACGTTTCAGTTTCGATTTCAAACAATTCATTTTTCCGACCCAAAATATAGGCAGGCCTTAGATTTTCCCCGAAAATCGACTACCCCCAAAATATTCGGGAAAAGACTTTTTCTTATTAATTTGGCTGCGTAGATTCAATCTCGTATTTTTTCGATTGGACCTCTCAATCAAAAGTTATGGACAAAAAACAATTTCTTATAAATCTTGATTGAGACGTCTAATCGACAAAGTACGAATCGTTTTGGATTCTACGCACCAAAATTTATAAGAAAAAGTGTTTTCCCGAGAAATTTAGGAGAAGTCAATTTTTGGTAAAAAACGAAGGTTATACACTGGGTTCTCTATGGGCCGGAAAAAAAAATGTCTGAGATCGACCGGGAAAAATAATGCCGGAAACGGATAACAATCGAAGCAAAATGGGCAACGTGCAAAACAAGAAATTATTTTGTAGCATTCTGTATAATTTTGCAATAATCTAGTAACATTTGCGTTTGTTACTAAAAGTTTGCCGCCTTGTACGTCAATTAAACAGTTCAGCTGTTTGCAAATTTGATGACTGAACCAGATATGAATTCCGATTGTTGATTTTCTCACAAAACACAAATTTTTAGTTTAATTTACCGTAAAAATGGATACGAAAAGGAAGTTATCGTAAGTAGAAGCCCCCCTGTCGCGCAAAACACCACAAAATTTCTTCTAGAACTCAGGGCGATTCCCTCTACCAGACGTTATCCTTACCGAAAACGGCGACGGCCGACGATATAAAAAAGACTTATCGCCGGCTGGCGCTCAAGTATCACCCCGACAAGAATCCCAACAATCCGGACGCGGCCGAAAAGTTTAAGGACGTTAATCGCGCGCACTCGATCCTGAGCGATCCGACCAAACGTAACATATACGACAATTACGGATCGTTAGGTTTATATATCGCCGAGCAGTTCGGCGAGGAGAATGTCAACGCCTACTTCGTTGTCACTTCCACTTGGTGCAAGGTAAAGGGCGATCGCCGACGTGCGACCTGAACTCACGATCGGCGTGTTTTAGGCGCTCTTCTTCATCTGCTGCATCGCGACCGGCTGCTACTGCTGCTGCTGCCTGTGCTGCTGCTGTAACTTCTGCTGCGGCAAGTGCAAGCCGCGTCCGCCCGAAGACTCCGGCGATTACCACACACTAAACGTAAGCATTCGATGTTAAGTTACAGTAGTAGGTCGCCGGGCGAAGGTAAGCGATCCACCCGCATGCGAATTTGGAGGTCTTTTTCTTTTTGCTCGTCTCCCTTTTTTTTTTTATTTCGATTGATGTAGAGTCATGTTTACAGCGTGATGACCAGTCGGGAGGTACGAGTAACGGACAGCCGGTGCAAAGTCAACCGACACGGCGGGTAAGTCGTTTTTCTTAATTTACGTAAAGTCCAATTAAACGCTCCCGAGGTAAGTCGCACCGAGCCTATTATTTATGCGTGAAACGTCGGACTAATCGTTAACGTTCCGTAGGTCTAAGGCGGAGATAATGTTAGAGTGTTATTCGTAGGAGGACTTCTCGGACGAGGCCGGGGATTCCCCGCTACGGGCCGGGTCGCCGGTGATGAAGCAGCCTTCGCCTTCCAAACAGCCGAACGTACCGGTCTATGCGATGCCGCCACCTCCGTCGTCCAATCTGACAGAGAATGCGGCGCTGAATCAGGGAGACGTCCCCGTGTACACCACAGGTACGTTACTTGGCGGCCGCGATGTTTTCTGACCGCGTTTATACCGTAGGTATGGCCTCTCCGACGCGGCAGTCTCAGTGGTAGACCTATTCGATGTTCGCTTAGAAGAATGGAGGTATTTAAACGTACTTTTAATAACTATCACGTAAAGAAACAATTTCATTAGCGTCGGCACGGTGTATTCTCCTCAATTTTTTGAAATGTCTCGTGCTGTATATATATCGGCCTCCGTTTTCCCAAAACTATTCAGCTTCCAAACCTTACGCTTGTAGTTTCCGAAATTTTCAAATACAGTTTTCATTCCCTTTGGTCGTAATTTAAAACGCTAGGACTAATTCGGTCACAATTTGTATTGCTACGTTCAGTTGTAAGCGAATTATGTGTGATGTTAGTTAATTATAAGTTAAAAGTAAGAGTGTCGAGTAATTATGTAACATAAGAATAAAGTACTTCGTGTTGATTCATGCGTTTTCTGTACAAAAACTGCACGAAAGGAAATAAAATCATACTGATTTTCGTAGTCATTTGGAGTGAGAGGGGGGTATGAAATACCCCCAGCACAGGGAAGAAATCAACTACCTCCTCCTGAAAACCACCATTACAGTTGTCATCAAATCTCCCTTTAGCTGGGGGGTATTCCATACCCCCCCCCCCCAACCCCCCGGTATTAGATTCTCCCCCAAAACGTTCAGCCCTATACCTCTCGGGTATGAAATGTTCCCCAGAAAAAGAAAATGGATGAAACTTCCTAGAAAAATCATATACATACCCATTTTCGTAATCATTTGGAGGGAGAGGGGGGTTTGGGGGCCCCTGGTCCTAGATTCTCCGACCAAACGTTCAGTGCTATAACTCTCGGGTATGAAATGTTCCCTAGAAGAAAAAATTGGATGAAATTACCTAGAAAAATCATATACATACTCATTTTCGTAATCATTTGGAGGGAGAGGGGGGTTTGGGGGCCACTGGTCCTAGATTCTCCGACCAAACGTTCAGCGCTATAACTCTCGGGTATGAATTGTTGCCTAGAAAAAAAAATGGATGAAATTCCCTAGAAAAATCATAAGCATACTCATTTACGTAAACATTTAGAGGAAGAGGCGGGTTTGAGGGTATGGAATACCCCCCAGCACACAGAAGGAATCAATTACATTTTCCCAAAAACTACCATTACAGTTGTCATCAAATTTCCCTTTAGCTGGGGGGTATTCCATACCCCCCAGTTCTCCACCAACACGTTCAGCCCTATAACTCTCAGGTATGAAATGTTCCCCAGAAAAAGAAAATGGATGAAATTCCCTAGAAAAATCATAAGCATACTCATTTTCGTGATCATTTGGAGGGAGAGGGGGGTTTGAGGGTGAAGGAATCAATTACCTTTTCCCGAAAACTAGAGCATAGCATTGGGGTATGCATCCAAGTGATCCAGGCCTCCCGGTACTACACGGTGAACTAACACGCGTATAGGTACAACGCATATTGCTCCTTTCTTTGGGAGAGCTATGGAATACTGCGTGGGGTCAATTCGTGGATATCCCTCCTGTATGTGTTTTTTGGTGGAAAATGTAGCACCGAAGAGACTGTAAAACCTCCGCTTAAGGAAAGTGCGGTGGTATTCCTTCTGATATTATTAGTGGAAAACGGTAAGGGTCGAGAAAGGATATTAAAATTCTTAGAAAGTGTTTAAAAACCTTAAAAAACCCTTAAGGATTAAGAATCTTCCAGAACCAGTCTTTAGGGACCTCCACTTTTGCAAATAAAAAAAATGCACGAGACTGTTACCAAATTATACAAAGTATAACTTATAACATACATTAAGCACTAGTAAGAAGGACCAAAACAAACATTTCAAGGACTTAGGTCTTTTTTGTGTTAATACCCTGTATAATTTTTCAAACCTAATTTTGAATATGACTCCCTAAGTGTTGTTGCCTTCCTATTTGACTGGGTTTTTAAAACGTAACAGGACTATTTCTGGTGGGTTCCAGAGAAGAAATTTCGCCGCCATTTCGATCCGGAAAAATTAGGAGCCTGTTTGCCAGCTTTTTGTTTTGATTTGCCACTTCAAATTTCTCGTTAAAATCCACCTCCAAGAAAATCACCACCACAGGTACAAGAGCCGTTACAAATTGTGGCTCCGCATCCGGCTTGCCTTCGTTAACCAAACTTCTGTCGATCATTTAACCTTATTATTGTTATTTGTTAGAAGAAACTGATTCCACCGGGTTTTCCCAAAGGGCGTTGAAATAAAAGAGGGAAAATCGAAGATTAGTAGAAATGCCGGTAAGTAGAGGAAAGGCGTTGCCCCCAAGTATGACTCACCTTCGTAGGCCTACCATTCGAACTTCATGGAACCGCAGCAGGTCGTCGGCAATACCGCGATACTACCCTTCAGAACGCAGTGTCGCGGTCCCGCGCCCATCCAGCAATCGCAGGAGATGGACATTATCGACGAGGCGCTCTACTACTTCAAGGCGAACGTCTTCTTCCGCACCTACGAGATCAAATCGGAAGCGGACCGTCTCCTCATCTACATCACCCTGTACGTGACCGAATGTCTAAAGAAGCTGCAGAGGTGCCCCAGCAAGGGACAGGCGCAGAACGAGATGTACACGCTGGCGATCTCCCGCTTTGACATTCCAGGCGACGCGGGTTTTCCGTTGAATTCGGTGTACGGTAAACCGGCGACCCAGCAGGATGCAGGTTGGTCCGTTCGGCAAAAGACATCGGCCTAACGTCCTGTTTCTAGATTTCCTACGCGGATACCTGACCCAGTTGAGGCAAGAGGTTGGCATTAGGGTTGCCGAAAAGGTTTACGGCGACGACGGCAAGCCGAGCAAGTGGTGGTTGTGCTTCGCGAAGAAGAAGTTCATGGACAAGTCTCTGAGTGGGCCGGGCCAGTGAAATTGTTTAAAAATATTTTATTTCTATGTGGAATGAGTGTTGCGTAACATTTATGTATGGCTGTTCTATAAATGTAACTTTTAAGTAAGAATGTGTTTTAAATACGGTGTATCACAATCGTTCCCTACGTTTTAAGTAAAATTTTAAGTAGCTTCGTTCCCTTGTAAGATGATCGTCGTCTGCGATTTTTCGTTAATCATTCGTTCGTTCTCTCTCACGTGCTCTTGGGAGTCGACGTCGTTCCACGGTTGCACCTCCTCTGTTCCCCATATTTGGTATACGATGTAAGTTGCACAGGCGACGCCCGCCGCGATGTTGAAGACAGTTTGCCAATCCGAAAGAGTATACTAAAATGTCAGGTTAGGTATAGGCAACACACAATACGTCATTGTATAATGTGTTGCCTACATGCAAACTTGTGAAATCTCATGTTTACTGTCTACTTTTTTGAAGACTTGGGGAAAAATAAGGGTTGAAGGAAATTTTCAAGTGGAATGGATTCTAGGAATCTCTGGATGGACCTAAAAAGCTTGAAAATTTATGGAAGAGCCTGACAGAATCACGAGTGTTCCACTTTGACCTACTACACTTACCCCATCTTGAATTATGTAGCCGGAGGCGAGCGGACTCAAGAAGCTCGCGCTCATGTGAATCGTCTGCGCGAACGCGAGCACGGGTCCGGCGAAGTTCGGCGCGATGTCCACGATGTTCGCCATGGCCCCCGCGTACGCCGCCGTAATGAGCGTCACCGCGATAAACCAGCAGATCAAAATTCCGACTATGTCACAGCCTAAATAGCCTATAACTACGCACAGTAGGCCCGGTACAACTTGAGCTGTAAACAATCGAGATACAAGGGCACTGATTTACAGACGTTGACGTACCGAGCGCCGTAAATAACTTACGGACGTTGGTTAAGGACATTATTTGATTTATTACTAATTTATCGGCGACGTAGCAGAAGAATACCGACGCTATGTAGCTGCAAACAAAGGGGGCGCCGGATAGGAAGCCGTTCTGAAAAAAAATCGCATTACTTTTGTAACGAGGCAAAGTTAGGATGTGTCACAAAAAATATTATGATGGCTGATAAACATTTTGTGGGGGGGAGCAAAGCACTAGGGGGTATGGAACACCCCCCAGTACATGACATAGTTCCATTGTCATTTCCTGAATACCCCCATGAGAGTACAGAGGGTTATATGAAGAGGAGCTGTCGGATCCTGCTTTGCTGAAATACTGCAGGGGGTATCTTATACCCCCCAGACCCCCCGGTGTTATGTTATCTGCAATTGTTCTTACACGACAAACTGATAATCTTCCCAAAGACAAAAAGTATTATAAGAGACCTGATGGCTAAACATTTTATGGGGGGGAGCGTAACACCGGGGGGTCTGGGCAAATGACATAGTTCCATTGTCATTTCCTGAATACCCCCATTAGAATACAGAGGGTTATATGAAGAGGAGCTGTCGGATCCTGCTTTGCTGAAGTACTGCTGGGGGGTTTTCTATACCCCCCACACCCCCGGTGTTATGTTATCTGCAATTGTTCTTATACGACAAACTGATAATCTTCCCGAAGACGAAAAGTATTATAAGAGACCTGATGGCTAAACATTATATGGGGGGGGGGGCGCACCGGGGGGGCTGGAATACCCCCCCAGCACATGACATAGTTCCATTGTCATTTCCTGAATACCCCCACTATAATACACAGGGTTATATGAAGCGGAGCTGTCGGATCCTCCTTTGCTAAAGTACTGCAGGGGGGTTTTTCGATACCCCTCAGAGCTGTCATCTGCAATTCTGTCTGTAATTGAATACTGGAATACCTCCCAGCAAACGAAAATTGAATGACGATTTTTGAAAAAAAAATTCCAGCACAGGAGGACTTGATATGACAAACAACTCATTAAACAATTAATTATTTTAATAGGTCCAGTAGAAATTAATAAAAAATGTTTATTGCAGGCAAACCGAATGCGTCACTGAAAGGCGGCATAAGAAAAAAAGAATGGCATTAATCAGACAGAGTATTATATCGCAAAATTGACCTTCAGTTAATGTCAACAGATTTAATTGTGCAAGTTATTACCTAATTTGCACTTGGTTGTTATTTTAATAATTTGTGCTTAAACAATACACAGCTAACTGTGAAAATAAACAATGCGCATATTTAGGGGGCGTTTCCTGAGAATTGCAGAATTGGGAAAAAATTAACCAGAAAATTGTGACGGACCTTCAAACAAAAGAATTACACAAAATGAGTCAAAATCCCATGCACCGTATTTTTTAAAATAAAAATTAAAAGAAAGTAGCCCCCCACCACCCCCACACTAAAAAACAAATGAAGCATGACGGAACAAACCTTTTCTATGCTAAACCCGAGTATGTTCTTCATGTACTTCGGTCCGGATATGATGAAGACATAGTGAACCCAGATGCGTCCGAACGTCGTTATACCAATAGACCACGCGGGCATCGACTTAAACATCGCCCGCCACGGTACGCTCCGATTGCGGCTCGTCGCGTAGGAGTTGATCGTATTCTCCTTGATGTACTTCTGCTCGCTGAGCGAGATGCGAGGGTGCGTTTCCGGATTGTCAAACGCGAGCAGGTACCAAATCAAACACCAGATGACGCCGCTCGAGCCGGTCATGTAGAAGGCGGACTGCCACCCGAACTGCGCTATCAGAAATCCGCACAGCGGATAGGTGATGCCGATGCCGATCGCGAATCCCTGAAAGCTCGACATGAACCGGCTACGCTCCGGCACCGGAATCCAGTGACCGACGAGCGCGTACATCGCCGGCCACGTTAGTCCCTGCAAAATCGAGTTGAGGTCGAGTTGACGCGAGCGCGCCTACGTACCGAGGCGAAACCTTGCGCGCTCCTCAACGCGATTACGATGCCGTAGTGCACCTCGCTCGCCCACGGAATGCAGAGGCTGCACAGCGCCGTCACCAGCTGCGAGTAGCCGAACACCTTCTTCGTGCCGATCCTTTGTGTCGCCCAACCGCCGACCAGCTGGGACACGATGTACGCCCAATAGAACGTGGTCAGGACGTAGTTCTGAATCGCCGGCGACCACTCCAAAGTCCCCCCGTAGTTCTACAATGAAAAACATCGGGCATTATTTCAATTTAATTTCATTTGCCCCCCCAGGCCTCCCACCGTACTACGTTCTTCCCCAAAAACATTTAGTGATAGTTTATCTGTCCTTTTCTAAAAATTAATTTATGAGAGTCTGAGCGCTCTTGTGAAAAATCGTAGTACCGGGGGGGTCTGGGGGGTTTTTCCGCAGTAATTGAGTCTTCCTTGATGAGGGTAATAGTGCTGATACCCCCCAGAAGTATGTTCTTCCCCAAAAACACTTAGTGATAGTTCATCTGTCCTTTTCTAAAAACTAATTTATGAGAGTCTGGAGCGCTCTTGTGAAAAATCGTAGTACCGGGGGGGGGGTCTAAGGGGTCTGGGGGTTTTTTCCCTAGTAATTGAGTCTTCTTTGATGAGGGCAATAGTGCTGATACCCCCCAGACCCCCCGGTAGTATGTTCTTCCCCAGAAAGACTTAGTGATAGTTCATCTGTCCTTTTCTAACAACTAATTTATGAGAGTCTGAGCGCTCTTGTGAAAAATCGTAGTACCGGGGGGGTCTAAGGAGTCTGGGGGGTTTTTCCCCAGTAATTGAGTCTTCTTTGATGAGGGTAATAGTGCTGATACCCCCCAGACCCCCCGGTAGTATGTTCTTCCCCAAAAACACTTCGTGATAGTTCATCTGTCCTTTTCTAAAAACTAATTTATGAGAGTCTGAGCGCGCTTGTGAAAAATCGTTGTACCGAGGGGTCTAAGGGGTATGTCTGGGGGGTTTTTCCGCAGTAATTGAGTCTTCTTTGATGAGGGTAATAGTGCTGATACCCCCCAGACCCCCCGGTAGTATGTTCTTCCCCAAAAACACTTAGTGATAGTTCATCTGTCCTTTTCTCAAAATTAATTTATGAAAGTCTGAGCGCTCTTGTAAAAATCGTAGTACCAGGGGGGCTCTAAGGGGTATGTCTGGGGGGTTTTTCCCCAGTAATTGAGTCTTCTTTGATGAGGGTAACAGTGCTGATACTCCCCAGACCCCCCGGTAGTATGTTCTTCCCCAAAAACACTTAGTGATAGTTCATCTGTCCTTTTCTAAAAACTAATTTATGAGAGTCTGAGCGCTCTTGTGAAAAATCGTAGTATCGGGGGGGGGGTCTAAGGGGTCTGGGGGTTTTTTCCCTAGTAATTGAGTCTTCTTTGATGAGGGCAATAGTGCTGATACCCCCCAGACCCCCCGGTAGTATGTTCTTCCCCAGAAAGACTTAGTGATAGTTCATCTGTCCTTTTCTAACAACTAATTTATGAGAGTCTGAGCGCTCTTGTGAAAAATCGTAGTACCGGGGGGGTCTAAGGAGTCTGGGGGGTTTTTCCCCAGTAATTGAGTCTTCTTTGATGAGGGTAATAGTGCTGATACCCCCCAGACCCCCCGGTAGTATGTTCTTCCCCAAAAACACTTAGTGATAGTTCATCTGTCCTTTTCTAAAAACTAATTTATGAGAGTCTGAGCGCTCTTGTGAAAAATCGTAGTATCGGGGGGGGGGTCTAAGGGGTCTGGGGGTTTTTTCCCTAGTAATTGAGTCTTCTTTGATGAGGGCAATAGTGCTGATACCCCCCAGACCCCCCGGTAGTATGTTCTTCCCCAGAAAGACTTAGTGATAGTTCATCTGTCCTTTTCTAACAACTAATTTATGAGAGTCTGAGCGCTCTTGTGAAAAATCGTAGTACTGGGGGGTCTAAGGAGTATGTCTGGGGGGTTTTTGCCCAGTAATTGAGTCTTCTTTGATGAGGGTAATAGTGCTGATACCCCCCAGACCCCGGTAGTATGTTCTTCCCCAAAAACACTTAGTGATAGTTCATCTGTCCTTTTCTAAAAACTAATTTATGAGAGTCTGAATGCTCTTGTGAAAAATCGTAATACCGGGGGGGGGGGGGGGGGGGGTCTAAGGGGTATGTTTGGGGGGTTTTTCCCCAGTAATTTAGTCTTCTTTGATGAGGGTAATAGTGCTCTTCCCCAAAAACATTTAGTGATAGTTCATCTGTCCTTTTCTAAAAACTAATTATGAGAGTCTGAGTGCTCTTGTGGGAAATCGTAGTACCGGGGGCTGAGGGGTATTCGCAATTAAGTCTTTTATTACTGAGGGTAATGGTGAGAAAGGTTCATCTGTCCTTTCCTAACAATTAATTCTATTGTGGGAACTCGTAGTACCGAGGAGTCTGGGGGGTATAATACCCCCCAGCCACCCAATAATTTGATTACCGTTTCTCAAAAGCTAACACTAAGGTTAGGGGTAAAAAAAAATGATCCAGTCCTCCTTTGCTAAGGGTATAACTGGAGGGTTGGGGGATATTGAATACTCTTCCCACCCCCAATGCTATATTCTCCCCCAACGATAATTTTTGAAAAAAGCCCAGCGAACTTGGCAACACAATTCTGTGAATACTCCCCAATCCTCAGGAAGGGAAGATCTTAGTGTCCTTTGTGTTTACTCCCTAATTGAAGAGAGTGTACATACTATACAAATTGGGGGTGGGAATCTGATGTAAGCATATACAGGATGTTCTCGTTCATAAACATTCATTTTGTCGAATAGTTCAATGATCTAATTAATTATTGGTACACGCTGTATTCCCATAGAAAAAGAAAGATATATGGGAGCTTTCAACTTTTAAGTCGACACTATTGCTCTAAGTATACAAATACAAGGTCAGTTAAATTAGAAAATGAGTGTTTTTGTACTTCCAAGACTAAAATGACAACTTCACTCCATTATGACAAGTACTGAAGTGTCACTTTTTGTCCCGCCGGGATTAAATTTGGACGAAAATCCCGGAAGGATGAAATTACCAACAAGGCAATTTCAGTAGGTTGTTCCACATTTTGTATGCGGCACTACTTCTTAAACGCATCGTACTGCTGCTCATATAGTTTTTTGGATTTCGGTGGTATCAATTCTTTACCTACTTTGGCTGCTCTTTTATCAATATCAAATACACCTCTGTCACCCACCACCAAAATTATGACACTAGCAATGACAGTTTCCAAATTATTTTTGTTACCATAGCATAGGGTTTGTCGTACCAACGCAACGTTCCTATGGTAACTTGTTAAGAAGCGATTTTTTGAAAGAACGCGTTCTCTAACTCCATACATATTAAGTGTTTCAGTTCGGAAGTACGAAAAATATCGTATATACCTTGCGATTGAAGTAGTGGTCTTAATCCCTCAGGTAAATTATGGCCCTCCCTTCGGTCGGGCCATAAACTTTACCTTCGGGATTAAAAGTACTACTTCAGTCCCGCGGTATATAATATACTATTTTACGTTAATTACAAATAGAAAAACAATTGACTATAGCAAATTGTATACATCGACAAAAACGCATTTTTTTCAAGGGGAACATGATGTAACATTTCATTATAGTACACTTTTCTAGATGCATAAATGACATTTCCTAAAAATACAAAGTGCAAGGCTAAAAATTATACAATTAGTACTCGACAAGTAAGGAATTCAAATTTCTGGGTCAAAGCAACTTCCTTATTTTTGACTTTTGTTGACAGCGTATAGTATACAGGGTGTTCCATTAGAAAAGTGCATTGTCGATATTTTGAGACTGTCACTTGTTCTGTCTTCCGACATTGTAATCGACCAACCTTGTATCTCTGATAACAATGAAGTTAGCACTTAAGTTCGAAGACCCCGTATAGTGGCAGTGGATTTTTGAAAAGCTCTATAATTGCAGATAGCCCGACTCACCGTAACCTCGATGGTTTCATTCGTGGTCGTGAAACAATACTGCGCCGTCGTGTTCTCTCCACCGCCGTTGGCCTGCGGGTTCGCATCCTTCACCATCGCGACGATGGCGATGTTTATATCTGTGCGCATCATGAACGAAACCAAAAATCCGGACCACGACAAAAGGTAAAGTACTAAGCGTGCCGGTACGTGCCCTGAAAATGGAGAGGGGTTTGCGGAGACTTCGCGCCGAAAAGGGCACTTACCCGATAACTTGTATACCAGACAGTTCTTCTCGTGTATAGGGTAGGTCATGTCGTGGTCGTAAATGCTCGCCTCGGTGATTGCCATGATGGAACTGGATCAAGGAGGCATCCAGTACTGGAAAAACACTCGGTCGCTAATTAATCAATTAAAAACACGCGGTTAACTACTTCGCAATTAGTTTTTTAGTTTAACAATTGATTTACCTTTATCTAATCAATATCGGTGAGTAGGTGAAGAGACAAAATCAAATCGAAAAGAATTCGGATCAGGTTAAATCGAAATTAATCATTTTTAACTCGTGGCCGACGAAGTACTATCTGTATCTGATACAAAAAGTGTGAACGTCATTCATTACGCAGCAATTAAATAAAAATTAATTAAAGAATTTCGGAGCCCGCGCCGTGATTCAACAACGTGCGTCTGATTCAAAAGCAAATCGCCGACTAAAAACAGCCTGCTGCGAGCATACTGTATATATATCAAGTTCGATAACGATAAGCGACGTTGCCGGTTTAATAATCAATTATTCGATTCATTAGCATTTCCGCATACTAAATCGACCTTATTACGCTTTTTTTTTCTAGACTCAATACATGATATTGCATTCCAAGATTGTTGCACAACTTTAATTTGATATGGTCGTCGTCGCGTTTTATGTGATGATTAGTCGAGATCAGTGGCGTACGTAGAAATTTATTCTGGGGGGGATTAAATAAGTTCGTGGCACATACAGTCACCCAGTGCGTACTAGAAGGGGGTGGGGGTAAGAAATAGAAATTGGGTTGCAGGTTGCTGATGCTGGTAGTCATTTATCTATTTATTATTGTACAGGCGAAAAAGATTAGATTAGAACGGTATTTTATTTCTTACTGCTGACAGGCCCCTTTATTGCTTTTGCTTTAATTAGTCAACGAAAACTTAAAAATAATAGGTATATTTATGGGCAAAAAACCAATTTCGACAAAAAATTCAAAGGGCTGTAACTTTTGAACTAGTAGCCCAATCTTGGAACTGTTTGAAATTGTGAATTCTACAGGCCACATTCTATAAGAAAATATTTTTTTTTCCGGTCGATCTGAGACAATTTTTTTTTCGGGGCAAAAAAAGGCAGTGTATAACCTTCCTTTTTTTCCAAAAATCGACTGCACCAAAATTTCTCGGGAAAAAACTTTTTCTGATTAATTTGGGTGCGTAGAATCCAAAACGATTCGTACTTTTTCGATTAGACGTCTCAATCAAAAGTTATGGTCAAAAAACCAATTTCGACAAAAAATTCAAAGGGCTGTAACTTTTGATCTAGTAGTCCGATCTTGGAACTGTTTGAAATTATGGATTCTACAGGCCACATTCTATAAGAAAATATTTTTTTCCGGTTGATCTGAGACAATTTTTTTTTCGGGGCAAAAAAAGGCAGTGTATAACATTCCTTTTTTTCCAAAAATCGACTGCACCAAAATTTCTGGGGAAACAACTTTTTCTGATTAATTTGGGTGCGTAGAATCCAAAACGATTCGTACTTTTTCGATTAGACGTCTCAATCAAAAGTCGTTGCGTTTTATGTGATGATTAGTCGAGAATCGAGATGTCTATGACGCACGCCACTTCAATCTACCGGTGGATTTTTTTTGCGTGCGCTTTTGCAAAATTCGTAAAGGTCGAAAAGTTCAAGGCGATTTAGCCTTTAGAGTGGACAATTTGGCGGATCAACAGCCTTCACCTTCGAGTTAAGGCAAAACCACTTTGGGAACGGTCCAGGGGCGGAGCGCCCCAAGGTTGTACACAATGAATGCAAACCGAAACTGAAAATTTGACCCGAGCGCACGCTTGATTAAGCTGTTTACAGCGTGTCCAATTAAAAAATGAATCTTTGTATCAAAGTAGAAAAAACTCGCTCTTTAATTAACCGAACCCGCCCGCCTAGACGACAGGCGGGAAAATTTACGCGGGGACTTTAGTCGTCTCGCATTTAATTACGCTAATCTAATCAAGGGAATTAGTGAATACAATCGAGCAGCACATCCACAAATACAAGTGTATCAGGAGACTGGCGTTTGATGTTAATGACCGCTTTGGAGTTAGTCTGGGAAGGTGTGAAGAGATCTAGGGAAAAACTTAAAGACACAGAAAACCGTTAAAATGCTCTGGTAGTTATTTTAAGCGCGTTAAGCTAAACCGGAAAAATTCAAAATGGTCAAAAATTTCCAAAGGCAGGGTATACAATTAAGGCGGAATATGAGCCACAACCTACAATCCATTGACAGTGGCTCAGTGCGCTTTATTGTTTTTTTAGGTTATGTTCGTTCGTCAAGAACAAAAATGTTTGGACCACTTTCGTTTAAAGATTCGAGCTCGCAAGCGGAATCGAACGAGGTGGCCCCCTGTCTTTTGTGCCCCATCACCTTCAATTTGAACACGAACTTCCCATCCTTCCTAAAACACATATTCGAGGAACACAGAGTCGTCATCGAAGACGCCCAGCACATCGCCAACGTTGACTCGTAAGTTACCGCACAAAAGGGCCACCGTTACAGTTTCCCACTTCAAGCTATGTCGACTACTGGAGAGCGAGGTTCAATCAGCGACCGATCGAGGAGATTGTTCCGGCAGTGGAAATTTCGCCTTCCAATGCGAAATACTTTGTTCTCTCCACTCTACTAAAAGACGACAAGGAACTGCGACACAAGCTGAAATTGGACGCCATGCTCGAAAGGCAAGAGTTCGAACGAACGGACACTTCGTTCAAAATGTCTTGTCTGTTTTGTAAATTGGCCTTCGAAGGTAAGCGTAGCATTCGTGGTTGGAGTCTTGCTAACGTCCGCATTGCTAGGGAAACGTTGCGACTACCTCGCGCATTTGGCGACCGATCACAATGTCCGCCTCGGTAACCCGCACAATTTGGTCTACGTCGACGAGCTAATCGAACACATCGGACGCGTGCTGGACGGGCTGCAATGCTTGTACTGCGAGAAGACGTTTCCCGATCGCAACACGCTGAAGGATCACATGCGTAAAAAGCAGCACAAGAGGATAAATCCGACGAACCGGCTGTACGACAAGTACTACGCGAGCAACTACCTGGAGGACTGTCGCAGTCCGAGCTTGAACGACCTGTCGAAGCTGGGCGAGAACTCGGACGAGGAGTACGCCGATTGGAAGGACGTCGACGATACGATCACGTGCCTGTACTGCGGTCACTCGGATAAGGACATCAACAAGCTTTGCCTGCACATGAGCAGCAAGCACCGGTTTAACTTTTACGATCTCACGAAACACTTGGACTTTTACCAACGTGTCAAACTCGTCAATTACATAAGGAGGCAGATTCATCGTTTGCAGTGTATCTCGTGTGAGCTGACGTTTGAGAGCGCGGACGCGTTGGAGGGTCACATGCAGAAGACGGGCCACTGTTGTATGCCGAGCTTAAAGGTGTTCGACCAACCTGAGTAGGTGACCAAGGTAAAATACTGACTAATATCGTGGCGTGTGTTTTAGGTTCTACTTTCCCACGTTCGAAAACGACTCCTTCCTGCATCATCTCGAATCTATAGACGATTGAATATTGTTTAATTGTTACTTGTTTCTTGCAAATATTGTAAATAAATAATTGTATATGTACTTGTGGTTTAATTAGCATGTACTTTCTCATGTTTTATGTTTCCCTGGTACAAGTTTCCAAAATAGCTTCACCCGAAGCACAAGAAAGTGAAAATGATTACTTACACCAACATTTTTCGAATCTTTTAGAACTGAACGAATCACCGGGGGGCCTGGGGGGTATTCCAGACAAAAGAAATAGTCAATTTTCATTTATACCTGTAACAGACATGACATTTGCTTGCTTTAAACGTGGCAACGTCGCGCCACAAACATAGTACTGTAATTTCGCCGTGACGCATCGCACTTGTGCAAACGTGAATGATGGTTTGCATACCCACAGGCGTTAAAGTAAATTAACAATTCAATTAGTATATTTATAAACGCCAATTAACAAAGTGGCATGACAAACGTGAAGGAGGACACTCGACAAGTGAGTGCTCGGGTAGGTATTCCAACACAGCTCGATCACACCCAACAAACAGAACACCAAGGTCTTGCTATACTTCGTGCAGAAGCCCAAGTACACCAGGCTGTGGAAGTACCAGCAGTAAAACTGGTAATGCAACGATCGCGCGCACGCTACGCCGATCAGATTCGTAACGAAAAACGGCAAGAGAAACAGCTGCGTATTTCGATTGAAGTTAATCGAAGCCTTAACCTTCGAGTTCTTGCTCTTGTCGAGGTCGCGCCTGACCGAGTTCAGTTTGGCGTAACTTTCGAGGTATTTTCGCGCAAACGGCAAAAACTTAAACAGCAAGTAAAGGTGGAGCCCCAACAGGACGATGTGGAAGTAGCGGTTCTCGAAGGCCTGCCTTGTCAGAAATCGATAATTAACCGTCCACTTGTGCTCAAAGACGCGACCAATATCGAAACTTCCGCGTAGATACGAGACGGGATTCGCGTACAAAAAGGGCGCCCCGAGGACCAGTTGAACGGCGGCGCACACGGCGAGTTGTGCAACTGTCGCGATGGGCCCCAAATTCGTTAGGTACGCGACGAGCAGGCAAGGCGCGTACAGCAGTATGTTCATTTTGACCGAGACCGCCAGCGAGTAAACGACACTTCCGAGACTCCAACGGTTCGCGAGGAAAAGATTCAGACTCGCGTAGAATAAAAGGACGGCGATGGGATCGTTGAACAGCCGCAGGACGTAGATCGAGTGAATACGGTAGGAGGTGAGAGTCAGAAACGCTAAAGCGTACGGAGGTAGCTTTTCTGCCTTGGTGTACAGCCGGAAGACCAGAGACATCTGCGCCAAGTACAGTCCCAGGAAGATATACTGGGCCAATCGTATGTTACGGCCGTGAGACGTTACGAAATACAGTGCGCTGTAAATGTAAACGAAGCCCGCGGGGTAAACAAGCGGTCCGGTGTCACCTTAAATTAATAGTTACAGTTTTCAGGTGGTGGTCTCCCGCTTTTTTTACCTTTGAGGTGTTGATAGTCCAGGGTTCCATTTAAAAACCCATCCACTTCCTGCATGTAAGCGATCCAATCTATTTCGGTATAGTTCACTTTTTCTATAACGAAAATGTTTAAAAATAATTCTAAGGCGAGAAGGAGCCAACAGGTGTACTTGAGGTAGCAGGGATTCGTGCACAAATCGATTAAAAAGGCCTTGTTCGCATATTTCTTAACGCTGCCCCAAAAGTGGGGCTGCTTCCGTTTGGTCCCTGAAGGCATATCGACTACCCCCTTCAATCACATGCCCTTTTTCGTCTGCACTTGGACCTGGAGCACTTGTATTGTGATTTGTGCCACGGCCCGGATATACTATCATTTGACAGATGACATACGGTGTCTACCATCACGCTGTATCTGTACACAGTGTTGCAAATGTTTGAATCACAATTCGAAGAACATACAAATTGAGTAACGCTTTATAAATAAATTCTTATAAAATAAATTCGATCTTAGGCTTGGCACTTGACGTGCTTTTGTACGATATGCCTCGTCAGCGACGAGATGAAACTATACGAGCACCCGCATATGTCGCAGCGATGCAACGTCCCCGTACCGCGATGTATGTCGGTGTGTCGCAGCATGTTCGAGTATCGCGAGAACGCGCGTCCGCATATCTCGCAGCAGAACTGCTTCACGGGGTCGTGGATGCGACGATGGAAGTTGAGATCGCCGCGGTTGCGAAAGGAACGCGTGCAGACGTTGCACGTGTACGCCCTAATACCGGTGTGGATGAGCAGGTGCTTCTTTAGGCTGGACTCGTCGGTGAATCGTTGTGAGCACACGGTGCATTCGAGCGGTCTCAGAGACGGATCGTGTATCGTGATGTGGCGTTTCAGGCTTCCCGCCGAGTTGAAGGATTTCGGACATTTTGAACACTGAAACAGCCTAAGCGAAATTTTCTGATTACGTCTTAGAATTCTGGAAAACCATTGAGTAGTCTTAGATTGTCCCCCCATTTTGAGGGAATACCAGCAAAGCAAGCAAAGAGATGACCAACTGTCATGGTAGTTTTAAGGGAAAAAGTAATTGATTCCTTCTTCTTCTTGTGTTAGAGGGGGAGGGCCCTGAGCAAACGTTCCTTTGTAGGGAGTGTCATTAAATTTGGAAGGTATTCCTTACCTAAGGGAGTGAGCGTTATGAAGGAAAATGTCCCACGGGGGGCTGGAATACCCCCAATTCACAGAAGGACATTACCTCTTTGCTGGGAAGGGGGGGTATTAGACCTCCCTGTGGTAGATTCTCCCTCAAAACATTCACCCCTTAAAAAAAATTTGATGACACTCCCTACAAAGGGACATTTTGGGGGAGCATCAGAGGGTCTGGGGGGGTATTCAATACCCCCCAGCACACAGAAGGAATAAATCACTTTTTCTCGAAAACTACCATGACAGTTGTCATCAAATCTATTTTTGCTGGAGGTTATTAAATACCCCCCAGACCTCCCCATAATACATTGCCCCCCAAAACGTTCACCCCTTAGAACCCTCGTGTATGGTATACCCCCCCAAAGAAAAATTTGATGACACTTCCTAAGAAGGGACATTTTGGGGTGAAGCGTACCACCTGGGGAGGGAGGGGGGTTCTTGATACTCTGCAGGACACAGGAATGAACGACTGACTTGACAGGGTCATCAAATCTCACCTTGCTGGGAGGTAGTTAAGGTCTCAAACGCCCTCCCACCCCTCCATCGCCAACTCCAGAGTAATGAGGAATAGTTTTTTTGCGGGATTTGGTCATCATACAAAAGGGGAGGGGGAGGGGGCATGCTTTTTTTTGGTACCGTGACAAGACACTTACTTATGACACGCGAGCATTCTCTTATGCCTTTCCAAGAGGGAACCGTTAACGAAATTTTTCCCGCATCTGTCGCACGTATGCACCTGGTGGTTGCCGTGCGAGTTGAGAACGTGCCGGCGTAGCTGCTGCGCGGACTTGAACTCCTTCGCGCACAAGCGGCACCTCGCCGACTCAAACGACGGCACCAAGTTGACCCTCATCGACTTTTTCCCCTGGCAATCGACCGTTGTCAGAATCGTCACGAAGACAGTCGACGACCCGTCCGAGTTCGTATCTGCCAAAAGCGAAACAATGTAAAAATTCATTCACACAGGAGGGGGTTCCCACCGTTTACGTCGTGCACGTCGAAAGTCCAGTCCTCGTCGTTGACCTGCGCCATATGACCGTAGACGTATGCCACCGTTTTGGTGAAGTCGTTCGTTTGCGAGCCGTAAATTTTGTCGACGATTTTCACTACGAGCTTCTTGTTGCGCATCTTGTTACGGACGCTCTCTAAGTCCATCAGACCGGCCAACGTCTTCACGATATTCATATCACAATTTTCCTTCGTCAAGATCCGCTGCTCCTTACGTACAATCAGAGGTTGGACCGCATCCTCTTCCTAAAATTCAATTCCAACTTTACAAGACATGGAGAGAGAGAAAGTGATACCTTCCAACCAAGGAGAAAGGAAGAAGAGAACAGGAGGTTCAAACCAAGGACAAGGAAGAGAGACAATGAAATCTTCCAAGAAGAAAAGAGAGGGGATCACTTACATTTTTGACGGTCATCTTATCAACGCTTTCGCTACTTTGAAAGTGAAGAATTTTTCCGACTATCCGTTTTCCGCCGGCGGTCTTACCGATCGTCACTTTCCGGTTGACAAGACCGCCGCCGTCGTCGGCGGCAGACTCCTCGGAACTCAGTTGAGTCTGCAGCTTCTGAAAGTAACGATCGAGGGTAACCGTCTGGCCCGTCACGAGATTTCGCCCCGTAATTTTTTTCAGGTCGACCGTGTGCACGTCGTCGTCGTCCGCCGTTTCCGCTTCGCTCGCCTGCAGCTCCTCCATTTCGACGGTTTGCAGGTGAAGCTTGCCGTCTTTGAGAATCGCGTACTCGCATATCGGCTCGAGCTCGGAGTCGAACACGACTTGGTCACCTGCAAAAGGTAGGCGGTGAAGATGGACGGCGTTACTTAGAGCTAGCACCTTCCGTTTCGTTGCTCTCGCCGTTATCCACAATGAAAGTGTACTGTGAAGCGCTGTCTTCGTCGTAGTACTCTTCGTTTGTATAGTAAACGATCGGACTCTCCGTCTTGCACCCATTATCGCCCAGGTTGTTGACGAGATACTGTTGGCCGTCTTCTAGGACGACGGTGTGCCCGTCGAGGGGGACTATAAATTGACCTTGCTGCAGAAACAGAGCGGTTTCGCTTTGGTCATCCACTTCGCACTGCATCTACAAGGGGGGAAAAAAGTGACCATAAAATAAACAAAGAATTACACTTACGTCGTCTGCAGTTGCAGCCGGTGGTTCTGTTGGCTCTTCGAAATCCTGCTTAAGGACGAAATCCATAACAACGGGAATAAAGCTGCAAGAAAATTTGAAAAATTGGTCATGTTTGTTTATTTATTTTCGATTATTCCTGATCGGTAAATAAACTCACCTTTTTATTAAAGGAGATCAAAATGGCGTCTTGTTACCAACAACGGAACAAATGAAACGAAATTCCCCAACATAATACATCGTTTATGTAGTACAGGGTGCGTGAGCATTTGGGTCTTTCTATTCGTTTACACACATTTTCCATGTACGGGAGTTCTAGTGGCGGAAGAATCCAAAGGTTTTCGAGAAGAGTGGGAAAGGTATTAAGAATGGCATGCTAGGATGTGGGGAGGCGGTTGGACTCGTCGCCTCCCCTGCCCATTAATCGCCTTCTACGATCTCCAGGACGGGGAGTGGGCCAATTCTATCCCCGAACCCACAGGGGGAAATTGAATTTGAAAGTGATTCTCCTCAAAACCAAAAAATGGTTGTATTCACAGTCTACAGGAGTGTTTATTCTTATAAAAATTGTTGTATAAGGATCACAGATAGTACACAAGGAGTTTGGTTACAGAAAATCTACTCGAACAACTTCAATATCTCAAATATTTTCCTATTACACCTGCTGTACACAAATAAGGTGTAAATGATGCTTCTAATACAATTACGCACCTTCCGGTCTTCGGTACGTAGCATCGACAAAGGCTGGCAACCGGACTGTAATACCTCCGTACAATACCTGATTATCATTTTCTCTACGACATACACGAAATTATCGAACAGAACCGTTCGGACCGTTTCCCCCACAGTATCTAAAAAGTCAGTATTAGCGTGAAATACACGAATGAAGTGTGACAACCAACCGAAATTGTGCCACACATATTCTAGGCACGCTTTCTCTTCGGGACTGCGGCCTGGTCGTGCCGCCCAATTCAATAGTATTCCAGTTAGTAGCTCGTCGGCGTGCGAAACGTTTAACAAAGCGTAGACGAGTCCGACTTGATCACCCTGGAGAACGGGGTCTTTAACAGGCCGAGACGGGACAGTCTGAATTTTGATAGCTTTCACGATCTCCAAGCATTCGCCTAACGCTGCGTGCCGGTTTGCGCCCCCGGCACTCGAAGCATTGTCCTCTTGGTAGTGTTTTCGGATTTCGTCTGAAAGATGGTATTGTTAAATACACGCGTCGTGGCCGTGTCACCTTGGCGTCGCAGCAGTTTCGTGCGGAAAGTGTGTAGGCTCTGCAAGTGGTCGCATATCGTCGAGACTGGTGGGGTGCAATCGTCTGCACTTTGCGCGGTAATTACGGGTCTTAAAGTTTCCAAGAAACATTTATAGCTTGCGTTGTCTAAGTGGTAGTGATTCGTTTCATTTACACATAAATTCCTCAACGCTACCTGCAAGTAAAGTGTTAAAAACGTGCAAGTCCACCGAATTACTAACAATTGTATTTGTGTACTTAGGGGAGACTTTATCCGATTCGTATATGTTAGACGCAATTTCCCTTGCGGTAATTTCGACCTGACACGGTTTTAAGGCCGTGTACTTGCAATTTATTTCAAATAATTCGGTAGTCATTTTACAGAGCACATAACCTACAAAATTTCAAACTGTCACAGTGTTGCCAGTTTCCTATCATTATACAGGGTGTAGAAAATTCGAACGGCTAATTTTAATTAATTAAATACATAAAATTTACACAATTACATTAACGCTTAAAAAAAATTTAAACTCTAAGCCAGTACATGGCCCCACGTACTTCATTGTAATCGGGCAACTGCTCAACGGGCCCGACACCGGCGACGGCGGGACAACGATCGTATATATATTTGTAGCAGACGTCCCGTACGTTTTTGGCTGTAATCGCGTTAATTCTATGGGTCAATTCGCTAGGCGATATTCTTCGTCCATAACACAGCATTTGTCGGCCTACAAAAAAAACATAGTCAAAACACAGGAGGCTTAGTGCATGAAAAACACCCTGTATATACTCCATGGCCTTACCTATATCTTCACACACCGCAGTTGACGTGTCCAATTGGAGCAAAGTATTTGCAGCTAGCAGCGAACGCGCTCGTGCCACCTCGCCTTCGGTTACGTTCGTACACAAACGCATCAACTCGGACTGCACATTAAACATCATATCTTCAATTTTCAACGGATCCGACACAAAGTAAACGCCCCAAAGTCCTGTGTCCTTATAGCAGGTGTTGAAGCTCTGATACGAGTGACACAAGTCGTACTCGGCGGAATATCGTGCTAAATTAGTCGCGTTCTGCTTGGCGGACGCTTGCGAACGATCCCACGCGCCGAGCAACGTGCTCGCCACCATCAACGTAAGGGTATCAGGATCCGTCCAGCCGGCACCTTCGACGGCGAGCGCGACGTGCGCCAAAGGAATGCTATCGTCGCGTACGCGAATCTCGGATCCGGTGAATCGGCACGGCTCGATGCACGGCACTTCGGCACAATAGGCGTTACAGCCCTTACCGAAATGGCTCTCGACGAGCTTCACCAACGCGTCGTGATCGACTCCGCCGGCACCCGCTATAACCATCCGGCTGGGCTTGTAGTGATTCTCTAGGTAGCATCGCAAATCGTCGGCGCTGATCGCCTGAATGTTGGCGGTCGGTCCTAGAATTGTGTTCGCCAACGGCGTGCCCTGGTAGGCCGTCGAGTGGAGATGATCGAAAACGACCTCCTGCAGATTCGACTCGACCTCCTGCATTTCTCGCAGGATCACGCCACGTTCACGTTCGATCTCCGATTTACCCAACTTGGCATTCTGCACGATGTCGGCCAAAATCTCGATCGCCTTCGGTACGTCCTTCGCCAGACACTTGGAGTAGTAGACGGTTTGCTCGCGACTGGTGTACGCGTTTAGCTGCGCGCCCATGTCTTCGATTTCGATCTCGAGCTGACCTTGCGAACGCTTGTCGGTGCCCTGGAAGAGATTCGACTTAATCTCGTATGCAAGCATGTTGGATTATACTTTGAAAGCCATGTGTTCCATAAAGTGGGCTACTCCGTTGTTCTGAGCGGTTTCGTACCTGCTGCCGGCGTCAATCCAGATGCCGACCGTCGCCGTCTGCGAGCCCCAATCTTCCGTCGCAACGCGAATGCCCGAGTCTAGGACCGTGCATTTTGTGGGCGGCACGTTTAGAACCGCCGGTTGAGCGCTGGCACTTGCTAGACGTCTAGACTGCTTCAGTACCTGGAGATTTTGACTTACGTAATACACGTTTTAGATTAATCATTAACGGGTCATGAAATACATTTGGGGGGTATTATAGGAATGTAATTGGTAAATCGTGAGGGTACTCACCTTTGCAAATTCTTTATTTTTCGGTAATTTGGGAAAAATACGAGAAATATGTAGGAACGCCATCTTTTTTGTAACCAAAAAAAGGTGAAGCCAATTCAGTGTTACCAACCTACAAAGAAAAGAACTAAGATTAACCAGCACAATTGTATACACAGTGCTTCAAATTTTTAAGCGGAATTATTGATGGCGCCAAAAAGACCTTTTAACAAGGGACCGTTACCTGTAGAGCATACTGCGTGAAAAAGTTTCCTTCATAGATATTAATAAAATGTCATCACCTTAACTTAAAACTAAAAAACGTTTTGAAGCATAACTGTGTAACTTTAAGAAGGGGATAGCGTAGCGTGCGTTGCCACCCCATTAATAAACAATGTGATAGTAACCGACCCTCCGATTCCACGCTTACGTACGCTGCATTATAGTAATAACACTTTATTATAAACCAGATATGTCACCTACTTTACATTTATAATTTATCTTAACTTATTCGAGTTTCTCTTCTTCTTTTATTGTGATAAAGCAAATCAATTTTTACAGCAATTTTGTTTTTTATACATGGAGGTTTCGCGATATCTAAGCGAGAGCGTTAATAAGATGAATATAATAATAATAAATACAATAATAATAATAATCTGATTATTAAAAATTTATATCTATAACATAATAATGCCAATATACAAAAGAAATGCTATTAACGCTCGTTCACTACGTGCATCACTCGTCGTTTTCGGGGTTCGAGTTTTGCTCGCCGTCGCCCGCCTCTCGTTGCATGTGCTGTATTAAATTGTCGTTGGGGGTGTTCTCTAGGAAAGTGTCGCTGGTGGAGACGTCCTCGTCGTTCGTCGGCGACCTGACGCCCGTGAATATTTCCTTATCGTCCGCTTTCACCGTGCTACTGTCGGGTAGGTGGGGTACGATCTGTAGGAAATGATCTTCGCTGATGTCCTGCCCCTGATTGTTTTGCACGTTGGACTTTCGAAGACGGTCCCCCTTTCGCCACAACGTGATCTCCTGCTGTTTGAAGTATCGACGGTCCTCGGTGTCCATCAGGACCAAATTGAGAAAGTACCTAACGGAGAACTTTTTGTTGATGTCGCGCATCGTCGGCGTCAGCTCGTAGCCGGCCAAGAAGACGCGAATCGGTATGCTCTCGCCCCGAACGGGCGCCCCGTCCATGATTTCGTATTTCGCGATCGTCTCGTTTTCGGTGAACGTGTTCGGTCCCGAGCCGGTGATCTCGCGTTTTATAATCGCGATCTCCATGTGCTTTATTTTGATTCGTACGAGAAGGAAGTATATTTTGCCGACGATGACGTCTTTCAAATGATATTTCGATTTGTTATACTCGAACTCGATGTGAAGGCAGTCTTCGATTCCCACTTCCATTTTGATCGAGTTGTTCATCTCCGGATAACTGGAGAGCGTGTGAACGGCTATATCGACCTCTTTTATTATGTCGGCCAGTCTCCGTACGATCGTCACCTTAAGAAAGTATCGTAACCTCACATTGCAGCCTACGGTCACGGAATCATTGACGTATACGTTTAGTGGCGCGATTCAAGGTTAGTAAAGTTAATAGGTTGCATTGTAACTAATAGCAACGCGTTAATAATTATGTGTAGTAGGCCCATAGAGACACGGGGGGGGGGGGGGATCTCGCAAACCCCCCTTCCAGTATTCACAACAACAACAAAACTCAATAACTCCTTTTACTATAACTCGCAGCACTCTCATGGGAGTTTTCTGAAAATGAGCCCTCTTGTGGAAAATCATAGTACCATGCGATCAAAAATGAGTTGCTGTCGAGTCGCCTTTGAAATTTTTGTTTACATGGGAAATCGTATTTAACTTGAACTACCAAAGGCGACTCGACAGCAACTCATTTTTGATCGCCCATTATCAAATACCTTAATATATTAATACAGGAAACTGACGTTGAAAACTGGTCGCAAATTACAGCGCCATGACGTTGCGGTAGGAAGTGTCAACACAAGCTGTCATACTTGGTTTAAACTTTATTGATGGCTTTACGCGCTTTATTATTGTTACTGTTATGGATAAATTGATAACATTAAGGTATTTAGTAATATCACATATCTTGGATGTTAAATAACCTTGGTAGTACAATTAATTTGCTCCTTAATTTTTCGTCATTCTACACCGGGCCGTGTAGATGACGCTCTTTTTCGTGTCGCAGCTTACGCAAGTGCAAACGGTAGCGAGTTTCCTGTATTAATATATTAAGGTATTTGATAGTATGGAATACCCCCCCCAGCCAGCACTGAAAATTTGATTACCTTTTTTCAAAAGCTAACATAAGGTCGTTAGGTGTAATAAAGAAATAATTATCAAATCTTTCTTAGCTGAGGATACTGCTGGGGTGTATTCCATACCCCCCCAGAGCTATGTTCTTCCCCAAAAAATTTAGTATTAGCTTTCTCTACACAAAAGAAAGCTTCATCTACCCTTTTTTATAAACTAATTATCAGGATCTGGATGCTCTTGTGGACAATGGTAGTACCGGGGGGTCTGGGGGGTATTTGATTACCTTTTTCCAAAAGCTACCAAGACGAAAATATCCTAAATTCAGAGGAATTATCTTGAGATTGCAAAATTATTTACAGAAAGTTACAGTGCAACCCGTTACCTTGACTAACCTCGGCCTCGACTAACCTGTGTACACCTCGAAGGGCTTCTCGACGCAACTAAACTCGAACGTGTAACTCGTGTGCGCGATCATCTCGCCCGGACGCGCCAGCTCCTTAACCAAACTGGTAAACTCGTGATGATTACCCCTATCGTAAAACAATTCTATTTGGCCTATGAATTCTATTTTTATACCCTGGTGCTCCAGTTTGCTACCCGCCTTTTTCAAACTGACGTTCACCTGCAAACGACCGTTGAAACAAGCGCGACCTCGTCGAGGCCAGTTACCTTTCCCGAAACCGTCTCCCCATCGTAATACAACAACATGAGCTCCTTCTTGCCGTCCTCGGTCTTCACCTCGACCTTTTTCCTGCTATCTTGACCGTCGAGGCATATGTCAATGTCCGCAGACTGTCCGAATCCAAAAAAACTCTGAAAAGAGGAGACGTTATCGCCAGGACTCCCTTCCGCCGCCGCGCTCTTACCATTCTCGTAAATTGTTTGTATAATAAGCGCCTATTTACTAACCGGGATGGTTTGAACTTACAACTAAAAGTATTTTTGACACTCTTCCGCGATTTTACATAAGTTTAATCATTTAATTCGTTGGGGAAGATATATTTCTGTCGCCATCAATTATTTTGGCATATGACAGTCGGTGTAAAATTCGACGTCGAAAGTTCAATGTCGAATTTTTCGATGTTACGTTGACTTTTGATCGCGCGCTGTTGCAAGTTTTACAAAAAAGTGTTACCTAGAGCTTGGTTTATTTCAAGGACGTTAAAAATAAAAACTTGTTCAAGGGAATTGATGCGGACCAGGACAGTTTATTTTATAAACTTTGGAGCTCCTTGTGTGACTGTGATCCTAACACAGTAACAAAAAATGTATAACCAGGAGAACAGAAGTTTGAGTCGGATATCACAAATTAAAAATATTTGGAAATGTTTTTGATACCTTTACAAAGGTCTTCCGTACTGTTGGAAATGTCTTGGAAAGTTTTTGGAAAACCAGTTAGTTCATGCTGAACTGCTCAAAGAAAAATTCCAATCGCCTACCTCAGAAAAAATGGATATGGATATGCATCTTTGACGAATGGGAGTAAGGGTTAAGTAAGAATGAGTTGGTTTCGGATAATAAAAGATCAAATTACGATTATCATGTACCTTATACCTAATGACATTTACATCCTATTAAGACATTGACTAGATTAAACACAACCATGAAAAGAGAGACTTTTTGTGCATTGATTGATACACATATATCTTTTGTTTTGTTTAGGCGATCGAAGGATGAACAGCGGAAACTTATAAGTACTCGACGATGTCGCACTTTATAGAAATATTCGGACACGAGCGTCCAAACGAGTAATTAATATTGTGTTGGCTCTTATTCTTCTCGGTGAGTAGCTTCTGGAAAATTGGCAGTATCTCTTTGTCCAAGAGTTCGGACTCGGACGTCGCGTTGTGCATCGGCTTCTCGCGGATCGTCGCCGACGACGTGAAGCTCGGCTTGAGGGTCGCGACGTTCGGCGTCGACTGGTAGTAGCCGATCTTCGCGTGCTGATTGCAGATGCCCGTCGCGTGCTCCTTCTTCGTCGGGCTCTTCTCCTTCTTGGGATTCGTGTGGCGATTTTTCTCGGACACCGAGCGGTGCATGAATCCGTCGTCTGAAATATTTATACTTAGTTAAAATAAAAAAGAACTCCCCCCCCCTGAAATGTTTAGGGATAAAGAAAACTAACATCCCCCCCCCCATTTTGCGGGCGCCGACGCATACCGTCTTCCTGTTGCACGGTGACCACGCGCGAATTCTTCTGATGCACCTTGTTGCAACGATGCTGGCTGCCGGTGTCCCACAGCTCGCTCTTCGCGACGACATGCTGGCCGCCCTCGGTTTTCTTCTTCGGAGTTCGATTTATCGGTATGCTCAGCCGACGGTTGCACGACGCGTCCGAGTGCTCCTCGGTGCGCATGCTCCCGCGCCTCTTGTCGACGTAATCCGACTTGCCGCCGTCGGACATCGCCTTGTGAACCTTCTCGCTGCCGAGACGCTCCTCGACGACGTCCGCGTCCTGCTTGCCGACGTTCCCGTTCTGCATCACCAAGTTCTCCTCGGAATCTTTCACCGCCGCTATCTTGGGCGATTCGGACATGACCTTCTTCTTCCTGCAATGGAAAAGGAGTTATTGAGTCCTCCTTTACTGGTAGTGGAGGGGGGGGGGGGATTCCCCCACATCCCCGGAGCTACGTTCTTTCCCATTGTTCTTTGGAGAAGAGGATTCAACAAAGTTCCCTAAAACTACTGTGCGAGAGCCCTGAGGATTAAACTTTTGTGGGAGACAATGTTACGGGGGAAATCTAGATTACCCCCCCCCCCAGTACACTACAACAGTTCCCATTTTTCCATTGCCATTTCCTTTTCGGTCTGATAGCCTTTCCTAAAACTACAGTAAAAGCCCTGAGGGTTAAACTTTTGTGGGAGAAAGTCGTACCGGGAGGTCTGGGGGTATGGAATACTCCCCCCCCCCTCCCCCGCAGGTACTATGTTCTCTGACATACTTCTTTGGAGAACAGGATCTGATAATCTCCTCAAAAACTAATGTGAGAGCCCCGAGGGCCAAACTTCATGTGGGAGACAGTGCTACCAGGGGGTAGAGGATCATATGACAAGAAGTGTCAAGTCCTCCTTTGCTCAAAGTATTGCTGGGGGGTATAATACCACCCGCCAGACCCCCGGTGTTACGTTCCCTACAATAATTCTTTGGAGAACAAGATCTAGTAATCTTCCCAAACAATACAGTGAGAACCCTGAGGGGGGTTAAACTTCTTGTGGGAGACAGTGCTACCGGGGGGTCTGGGGGGTATGGAATACCCCCCAGCATATGATAGTTCAATTGTCATTTACTGAAAACCCCCATGAGAGTACAGAGGATCATATGACAAGAAGTGTCAAGTTCTCCTTTGCTCAAAAGTATTGCTGGGGGTATAATACCACCCCCCAGACCCCCCGGTGCTACGTTCCCTACAATACTTCTTTGAAGAACAAAATCTGGTAATCTTCCCAAAAAATACAGTGAGAACCCTGAGGGGGGCTAAATGTCTTGTAGAAGACAGTGCTACCGGGGGGTCTGGGGGGTTCCATTATCATTACTGAAAACCCCCATGAGAGTACAGAGGATCATATGACAAGAAGTGTCAAGTGCTCCTTTGTTCAAAGTATTGCTGGGGGGTATAATACCCCCCCCCCAGACCCCCTGGTGCTACGTTCCCTACAATACTTCTTTGGAAAACAAGATCTAGTAATCTTCCCAAACAATACAGTGAGAACCCTGAGGGGGGCTAAACCTCATGTGGGAGACAGTGCTACGGGGGGGTCTGGGGGGTATGGAATACCCCCCAGCATACGATAGTTCCATTGTTATTTACTGAAAACCCCCATGAGAGTACAGAGGATCATATGACAAGAAGTGTCAAGTCCTCCTTTGCTCAAAGTAATGCTGGGGGGTATTCCATAACCCCCCAGACCCCCAGGTTCTATGTTCTCTACAATACTTCTTTGGAGAACAGGATCTGATAATCTTCCCCAAAATACAGTGAGAACCCTGAGGGTCAAACTTTTGAGGGCGAAAGTGTTACGGGGCGTCGGGGGGAGGAGGAATACCCATAGTAGTAGGCGATAGTTCCATTGTCCACAAGAGTACAAAGGGTTATATGGGTGGTATGGGAGGTATTCGAATACCCCCCCCCCCCCCAACCTACAAAAATTATTTCAACCCACTTACTTTTGACTATCGGAATGATGGAAGGATGCGAAATCTTGCGAACTTAAGCTACATATTGACGTAATATCACTGGTTTCGGTCGCGCTCGGCGCCTCCTTACGAAGCAGAGGCACGGAAAGTCGATTCACGTCGTTGATCGAATCCGTCCGCGCGTCCAGTATATCTTTCGCCTCGGCGCCCAAACGCTTTATCAGCATCTGCAATTGTTTCATTCGTCACGCGCGGTCGACGAGTTTATCGTCTCACCTGAAGTTCGGTCTCCTTCTCGAGCAGCGTCTTGCGAAAACGCGAGTTGTTCGCCTTGACCTCCTTCAGCTTGTGCTCGAGCTCGGTGGCGCTCGAATCGCGGCGCGTCTTCGACATCGGCCGCAAGGTGGCGCGTATCCGCTTGTCGATGGAACCTCCCGGATTGCGCTTCAGCTCGACCAGCTTCGGCACGAAGACCAGCCACAGGGTTGCCGTCGTGCAGAAAAGCACGAAAACGCCGATGATCAGAAACATCGCGTCCTGATGGTCGACGAGAACGAGCGCGACCGCCGCGCCGCAGATGCACATGATCGCAACGTTGTAGACGGAGAGGCCGACGTGTCGACTGTCGTTCAAGGCCGGTATCGAAACGTTCCGCGTTTCCCAGGCCAAGAAAGCGCCGAAGATCTGCGAAAATTTCATGAGTTTTCCGATTGCGATTACGACTGATTTACCATGAGCAGCCCCTTGTACGCGTAGATGGAGCCGACGAAAAGAGTCATACGTTCCGATGCGCAGTATTCGTTTTCGGGGATTATAAGAATATCATCGCTTGACGGATGAGGCTAAAGACATAGTTTCATTAACACACACTAGATGGCGCTCTACCTACTTACATAGGGCTCCATTCTCTTCGTTTCCCTATAAAATGGATCGGCCACCTGCCACGTCGTCATAATCGCCAAATCGATAAACAAAAGAACGCCGACGACAATGAAGAGCTGATAGTCCTTTATGACCTTCTTGTTGAGTTTGACGTCGGTAAAGATCGAGTGCACTCGCCAGGTTTTGCTGAACATCGATCCGAAGGCGAGCGAAAATCCGGCCATCAACGTCCACGCTCGAGCCGTACAGATGTAAGGAAACGCATCTGAAAAGAGCCGCTCAAAATTCAGTGCTCGACAAGCGGCCCGCGCTAACCAACGCTCGAAAGTCCCGAGTCCAGGCCGAGAAAAACGATGCTGGTGTAGGTGAGCATGCAACCGATGATGATCAGATTGTTCAGCTGCGGACTCGACATCTTGATGTACCGCTGATTGCGATACTTGATGTTGAAGGCGAGAAAAACGGACGCCATGATTATGCCACAGATGGCGAGCGATGCGAAAATCGCGTAAACAGTCTTGTTGACGCGCGTGTGCTCGATAATCTCCAAGGTGCGATCCTTCGGTGGCTGTCTGCAATTGACATGTTTGGCAACGTTGCAAATAGTAGATTAGCACCTCACCGTCCGATCCATTTCAGCGGGCTACCGAGCGTCAAGTCGAGATGCTGGGTCGCCGCACTGTACTCGCCTACCTTAACTTCGATACCCTCCTGAAACTGCTTGAGTAGAATGCTCGCCTTGCGCTCGTTGTCGTAGAAACGTACGGGACCAGTCACGCCTAGTAGAAATAGTTATTGACATTTATTAAAACACCATGTACATAGGAAAACTGCACCCAATAACTTTAATAAAAAAATGACAGAGACAAGGGCTGCCATATCGACATGATTTGTTACACTAACTTGTTGAACACCCTGTATATATGACGGCTATTTTGTTAAAAATCCTATAAGAGCCTTTTTGATTTTTTGAACACCCTTGAAAAATGCGACCAAGCTGTCATTGGGGGACCCGGAATTTTATTAAAAATCCCGTAAAAGGGCCCTTTTGAATTTTTTGAACACCCTGTGTATACAGTAGCAAGACCAGATTATTTTTTACTTACAAGATAGTAACTAAAGAGACACTTTGGTGAAAATGCGGTCAAGCTGTCATTGAGAGACCCGGAATTTTGTTAAAAATCCCGTAAAAAGGCCCTTTTGAATTTTTTAAACACCCTGTGTATACAGTAGCTAGACCAGATTATTTTTCCCTTACAAGATAGTAACTAAAGAGACACTTTGGTGAAAAATGCGGTCAAGCTGTCATTGAGAGACGGAATTGTGTTAAAAATCGCGTAAAAGGGCCCTTTTGAATTTTTTGAACACCCTGTGTATACAGTAACAAGACCAGATTATTTTTTACTTACAAGATAGTAACTAAAGAGACACTTTGGTGAAAAATACGGCCAAGCTGTCATTGGGGGATCCAGAATTATGTTAAAAATCCCGTAAAAGGGCTCTTTTGAATTTTTTGAACACCCTGTGTATACAGTAGCTAGACCAGATTATTTTTTCCTTCCAAGATAGTAACTAAAGATACACTTTGGTGAAAATGCGGTCAAGCTGTCATTGAGAGACACGGAATTTTGTTAAAAATACCGTAAAAGGGCCCTTTGGAATTTTTTGAACACCCTGTGTATACAGTAGCTAGACCAGATTATTTTTTCCTTACAAGATAGTAACTACAGAGACACTTTAGTGAAAAATGCGGTCAAGCTGTCATTCAGGGACCCGGAATTTCGTTAAAAATCCCGTGAAAGGGCTCTTTTGAATTTTTTGAACACCCTGTGTATACAGTAGCTAGACCAGATTATTTTTTACTTACAAGATAGTAACTAAAGAGACACTTTGGTGAAAAATGCGGTCAAGCTGTCATTGAGAGACACTGAATTTAGTTAAAAATACCGTAAAAGGGCCCTTTTGAATTTTTTGAACACCCCGTGTATACAGTAACAAGACCAGATTATTCCTTACAAGATAGTAACTAAAGAGACAGTTTAGTGAAAAATGCGGCTAAGCTGTCATTGAGGATTCTAAAATTTGAGATGGGGATGGGAATTTTTGAATTTTGGAACACCCTGTGTACAGCAGCTAAACCTTCTATTTTTTCCCAAGCAAAATCGTTACTCACCCTCGAAGCTTGTGTTCTGCAACGCGTCCAAAAAAAGCTTCTCCCACAGCGGATCCCTATACCTGAAATCGGAAACCGTCTGGTTTCGTCTGAAGTAGCGAATCTTGTGGGCGACATGCTGAATCGCCAACGCGACGGCCCAAATTCCGTCGTAGGTGTACCCGTGAAATCGCGAGTACTCCTTTCCGCGCCTCGAGTCGTACTCGGCACTGTACTCGTCGGCGGTCTACGGGGGAGAAATAAAAACGGTGCGTAACCGAAGGTTCCAAACTTACGACTCCCGAAACTGTAATCTCCCCCGTGGTCGATAACGGCAGTAGGTCCGTCAAGATCGTCTGCTCCATCGCGATTTCGATCTCGTCCTCTGTGCAGTTCGAGTCGCGATCCGGTTTCCGCCACCAGTACTCGTTGTACGTCCCCATTATAATCCACTGGTACTTGCGGCCGTACATCTCCAGCTTGTACGCCTCGCAGAAGATCTTCCTCGCCCAGTACTCGTTGAAGTTGCCCAGAATCACACGCGTGTCCTTCTCCTTGAGCTTGACGAGCGCCATCGTCACCTCGTTGGTGAAGCTCTGCGTCTCGACCACCTCGTAGTTTAACGTGTCCAAATCGGCGACGAGCCTGTTGTGCGCCAGCGAGTATCTCGGCTCGTTTTGGTAAATTGTGCCGACGCGCGTCCAGTTGAACTCCCTCAGAAGGGAGAGGCGCGGTTTGTTGAATGCGTTCTCCGACGGTACGATGCGGAAAAAGTTCGGGAAGCTGTCCTTTGTGAACATGGGATGGGTGTCCGCGTAGGAGAGCTGCAATATGTGACCTTCGCATAGAAATAGGAAAGGTCTGGAGCCTACAAAGCTTACATCCTCCCCCCTTACCTTTTCTCAAAAACTACCATAACAGTTCTATCTGCATAAAGTCATGAAATCTTCCTTTGATAGGGGAATACCCCCCCCCCCCCAGTGCTAAATTCTCCCCCAAAAACGTTCAGCCAAATAACTCTTGTGTCTGGGAGTATCCCAGAGAAAAGGAAAATGGATGACACTCTCTACAAAATCATACACGGACTCATTTTCCTAAACTTTGGAGGGAGAGCATATAACCGGGGGGTATGGAATACCCCCCAGCACGCAGAGGAAAGGAATTATCTTTTCCTGAAAGCTACATTACAGCTTCTTTCTACGTAGGGACATGAAATCTCAATTGCTGGGGGGTATTTGGGGGGTATTCCATACCCCCCAGAGGTACGTTCTCCCCCAGCACGCAGAAGAAGTGAATTATCTTATCCCGAAAACTACCATGACAGTTTCTTTCTGCGTAAGGACATGAAATCTAATTTGCTGGGGGATATTCCATACCTCCCAGACCTCCCGGTGGTACGTTCTCACCCAAACACAGGAAAAGAAAATGGATGACACTCATTCGCACACTCGTTTATGTAAAAATTTGGAAGAAGAACGTACCACCGGGGGATGGTTTCCCAAGATCCGACAATATAAAAGTGGTACTCGTTAAAGACCCCTACCTGTGTTAAATGCCAATGCTTGGAAGCTTTCGCAATCGGATCCGTTACGTGCGTGCAAGCGGCACCAAACAGCATGAGCTTGTGCGGGCCACTGTGCATCATATCGAAGAATGCCTTTACACCCACGGCCGCGTTACACTACAAACTCAGTTAGCATCGGTGCATCGAAGTAACGCCGATCGTGCTTACCATAGTATCGTTCCACCACATGTGAAGACGGTAGTTTCTGAGCACGGTCGAGTGCTCGTTTACGTGGTCCAACGCGAGCTTGACGCTCGGCATCACGCCGCGGCCAGTATTCGCGTTTTCCACACCTTTCCCGAAAGGAAAAAATCCGGCGATGTAGACATCGTGCCTTCTGCTGTCGACGTTCGGCTTCTGCGGCTGGCAGGTGGTCAGGAAGGACGAGAGTACTATTATTTCCGCGATGACCAGGCAGTACATTCTTCAGTTATTCACCCAAAGATCGCATCCGAATTACTTCGCTTTTCGTTGGGGCATTTTTTAAAATCGCGAGCGCAAGACGAGATCGGCTCATTGCCCAGCTACCCCTATATTGATTTTTCGTTAAGTGGCGGCGATCAACGAAATTTTTCGGACGGAACGACAAGGGACTGGTCCGCTCCTGACGAAAGAGGACCTAGAACGTTCGATATTGCAAATTTTTGAATTATTTAATTAATTTACGGCCGTCACGAGATTCCTTAAACGTTTAAATATTTAAAAATGTGTATAAAAAATGATTTGTATAAATAAAAACACTCATGGTTGTACAGGAAGGTTCAATAGTAATGAACTCTATCTTTCTCACTCACACCATTGAATATATCACCATTAAAAGTCGACTGTAAAGAAGTTTCTGGACTGCTATCACAACTCAACGCGTAAGCTCTTGGATCAAAATTACTGCGCAGTGGATATTTCAAACATTCCCATTGGTTACCACAAAATGGGGCAGATAGTTGTAATGTACTTAACCCCCAGGTTCTACGCTAACCTTCACACTACAAGAACTCGGAAATAAAGTCAACCCGGCTCGGAAATTTAAGTCGAAATAAATAACATTGCAAAAATAAACTTTGAAAATGGTAGTTCACCGAATAAAAATAGAAATAGGCTGGTGAAAAAAAGAACTTACCAATAAAAAAAAACAGCCGTCAAATTAATATCAAATTGTGTTGTAAAATTCATTGTTAGTAATGATGTGAATGCGTAACATAGAATCATAACGTCACAAAAAGTAGCAGGTAAACTTCAAGAGGTTATCATACAGGTTAAAAACAAGTTTTGGGAATTATGGGTCAGGTAAACAGGTACCAAGATTCTAAGAAAGGGTGAAATACACAGGATGTGACTCATATTTGGTGCAATAAAGTCCTTTTGTTAAAAGCAAGATGGAAAATTACATGGTCTTGTAGGCAAATTTAACTAAAAACAAAATATGTGGCAATTATTGAATCGCCACCCATTTATCGCACATAGATTCTAGGGGGGGGGGGGGAAGCCCCCCCCACCCGGTTTCGGGGTTTCGAGCCTACAGTTGAATGTCGAAGACAATCACGGAATTAGGTGTCGTAGCTCAATTTTGACTACAGTTTTTTATCACCCCCGTGACTGCTTCATTCACGGAGAAAATTGAATGTAACTTCAGGGACAAGCCTAAGTAATCACCATCAATAAACATTAATTAAGCAAGCATTACACCAAAAACGTAAACAATTATAAACAAAAGGATAACGGTATTAAACATTTCATTCTGCATTGCGATTAAACCAAGGAAATTTCAAAAACAAATTCAAACACACAAAAAATATAAAATGCGGCATACAAAACACAAATACGATATAAAGAAATGCAACAATTACTACCTGCACTAAATAACACAAAATAACAACAAACATATATGGAGCGACGCGTTCACGACCGCCATTCAAAACAAGATGCCAAACGTAATCAACGTTCGCACTTTCTAGATGGCGCAGGCAGCTTTTCCCTTAGACCATATAGTACTATATGGTCTAAGGCTTTTCCCCACCTAAAAATTGCGTGGTTGTCAACTCTCAAAAATGTGTGCATCGTCGTAAGTTGTATATACAGGGTGGAACCTCTCAAGTGAATATTTCAATCATTCCCATTGGTAAACGGTTACCACAAAATGTACAGTAATTTACGTGCCCCCCCCCCCCCTCTCGCGGAAATCATTGATTACGTTTTTCAATTACCATAACAGTTGTTTTCGGATGGGGCAATGAAACCTCCCTTTGAAGATGTTAATTTAATCCCAAAACACAAGCATGTCGCCTAAACTACTCTGATCTACCCTAACCTTCAATCACCTCCTCGCACATTATATTCCCCCACGAGTAAAAAATAAAAGGAGAGAACCTTGCATTAAAAGGGGACTTGACGGAAATGGACAAAAAGGAAGTGATAAAAGTGCGAGAAGAGTGGGGAGAAAGGCGTCATTATTGGCAGTGATGTAATAAAACAAAACTGACATCGTCTCTTCTGTTTTATGATAAGTCAAGTCGACATAACTGACCAGCGCAAAGGAAGTGATATTTTGACGACTTCCGTCGCGTGTTATGCTATTTCCCACCACCGTTATATTCTCTCCTCTTATTTTTTACTCGTAGTTCTCCTGATATAAGAATTTTTACCTAACCTAACTAGCACTCTAACCTAACCTCACTAATACTTTATCCTAACTTTCAATCTTCTCGCACATTATGTACTCCTGATACAAGATTTCTGACCTAACCTAACTAGCATTCTAACCTAACCTCACTAATACTTTATCCTAACCTTCAATCTCCTCCCACATTCTATTCTCCTGATACAAGATTTCTGACCTAACCTAACTAGCACCCTAACCTAACCTCACTAATACTTTATCCGAACCTTCAATCTCCTCGCACATTATATTCTCCTGATACAAGATTTCTGATCTAACCTAACTAGCACTCTAACCTAACCTCACTAATATGTTAACCTAACATTCAACCTGCTCGCACATTATGTTCTCCTGATCCAAGATTTCTGACCTAACCTAACTAGCACCCTAACCTAACCTCACTAATACTTTATCCGAACCTTCAATCTCCTCGCACATTATATTCTCCTGATACAAGATTTCTGATCTAACCTAACTAGCACTCTAACCTAACCTCACTAATATGTTAACCTAACATTCAACCTGCTCGCACATTATGTTCTCCTGATCCAAGATTTCTGACCTAACCTAACTAGCACCCTAACCTAACCTCACTAATACTTTATCCGAACCTTCAATCTCCTAGCACATTATATTCTCCTGATACAAGATTTCTGATCTAACCTAACTAGCCCCCTAACCTAACCTCACTAATACGTTAACCTAACCTTCAACCTCCTCGCACATTATGTACTCCTGATACAAGGTTTCTGACCTAACCTAACTAGCATTCTAACCTAACCTCACTAATACTTTATCCTAACCTTCAATCTCCTCCCACATTCTATTCTCCTGATACAAGATTTCTGACCTAACCTAACTAGCACCCTAACCTAACCTCACTAATACTTTATTCTAACCTTCAATCTCCTCGCACATTATATTCTCCTGATACAAGATTTCTGACCTAACCTAACCTCACTAATACTTTATCCGAACCTTCAATCTCCTCGCACATTATATTCTCCTGATACAAGATTTCTGACCTAACCTAACTAGCACCCTAACCTAACCTCACTAATATGTTAACCTAACATTCAACCTCCTCGCACATTATGTTCTCCTGATCCAAGATTTCTGACCTAACCTAACTAGCACTCTAACCTAACCTCACTAATATGTTAACCTAACCTTCAACCTCCTCGCACATTATGTTCTCCTGATACAAGATTTCTGATCTAACCTAACTAGCACCCTAACCGAACCTCACTAATACGTTAACCTAACATTCAACCTCCTGTCCTCCTCGCACATTATGTTCTCCTGATCTTAGGTCAGAAGACCTAACCTAACTAGCACTCTAACCTAACCTCACTAATATGTTAACCTAACATTCAACCTCCTCGCACATTATGTTCTCCCCGATACAAAATTTCTAAACTAACCTAACCAGCACCCTAACCTAACCTCACTCGCTTTAACATAACCTTCAATCACCTCCTTGCACATTATATTCTCCTGATACAAGATTTCTCACCTAACCTCACTAATACTTCCACGATATTAAACAGGTGCAAGCTAGAGAATGCCCAGTAGAAGAGGACAGTGTGTGGGACGCTCTTCCTTTATGCACATTCTAAAACTTGTCTGGCTACGTTCTTTTCTCTTAAGCACCTTCAAAAGCTTTTGTGGCCAAGCCTTTTTATCTTAAGCGCCTTCTAAAGCATTTTTGGACACCCCCTTTCTCGTAGGCGCCTTTTAAGGTATTTATCACGCCCTCGTGTAGTATGGGCCTTCTAAAGCTTTTTTTGTCATGCCCTCTTCTCTTAGGCGCCTTCTAAAGCATTTCTGGCCAAGACCTCTGTCTCCTAGACGCCTTTCTGACATAGGCGCCTTCTAGAGCTTTCTGGCCACGCCCTCATCTTGTAAGTGACTTCTACACACTACAGCTCTTTCGGCCAGGCCCTTTTTTGTTAGGCGCCTTCTAAAGCTTTTATCATATTCCATACCCCCCCCCCCTTCGTATTACGTTTCTTCCCCAACACGTGCAGCCCTTAGAACTTTCGCGTGTGGAATGTCTCCCAGAAAAAGAAAATTCGATGGCACCATAAGCATGACGATTGTCGTAAATATTTTGAGGGAGATCGTATCACCGGGGGGTTTGGGGGGAGATCGGGCCTTCAAACCTGCCTTAACGAAACATCAGAAGGCCGCTTTTTCAGTGGAGTCGGGATAGAGACGGCCAGGGGGAAAACGCACTGGCGACCGCATCTCCTCCAGAGGAAGATGACGAAGGCGTCCGCATCCGCGAAACGAGACCGGCGGCGTGTCGGCGTTTTCCGTTCACTCGAGACGTAAGCGGCGGCGGCCACGTCTCCGTCCAAGCCGAACTCTCCCCTGAAGACAAAAAAGCGACGAAGATGCCCACGGAAAGGCCAAAGGCATCCAAACCGAAGAAGACGAACGCATTCTTATGCCCTTTTCTTGGACTTCCGATGGGCGAATGGAGCTTGTTCAACCTCGTCGATTCTGATGGCCGGTTGCAGAAGGCAACTCCAGAACTTCGGCGACCCACTTTACCGTGTAATTTTTCCCGGCCATTTTCAAAACTGTCGCTGATCGACGATGGTGTAGCATGAACGTCTGCTTAGGAAAGTATAATTTTTTTCCCACCCGATTATAGGTGTGCGGTTTGAAAATAATTTATCGATATTATTGTTAAACCTTTCCCATTACCTTGAAAACTGTTGCCGATACGTATGTAAGGTGTGCCACCTGGTATTTAGACTGATACTCATCTATTTACCTAATGAATAATAGCAAATTTTATTAATTTTCTCACATTTCAGTACAAGACAAATGGTAGGTAACCAACGTATAACTTTTTTTGTATTGCAAAGTGCAAATGATTTGGTAAAATTCATTTACTGTGAGAACTAACTTCAACAAGTACGTCAAGTTAACATGAAATATAAGACATTACGGAGCTTAGAGCCATGAAAAGTGCGAGAAAGTTGTGACAGTCCAGCGGACTTTTAAAGCTTCTAGAAAGGTAAGTTAGATATGGGTCATAGCGAAACTGCGCTTTACTCCATCCTGGCTGGTGAACTAATTCAACCCTTATTATAGAATGTGTACGATAAGTTGCCTACCAGCCCGCGTCTAGGCCCTCTCTGACAAATTTTTTCTATTGCCTAAACGAGTTACAGGCAGCTGTTCCCATTGGACCTTTACGCGCCGCATCTAGACTGATGCTATTCCTATTTCAGATCCCTACGTCAGAACCGCCGGTAGTCGCATGACCGTTTCGATCCCGATGTCGTCGGTCTCGCTTGGTTCGGCGAATCTCTCCCCCAAACGATTCGCCCCGCTTTATTATTGATTTCTTAATAAAATTAATAAAAATACCGTAAAGAATGTGGTGCGTGAGTGCGGATAACGGCGGACGTTAATCGAACTCTCTTCCGCTTTACTCCTTATCAATTAATTTTTTTTTTAATCATGGATTAGTAGGTGCGCTACCGATTCGAAACCGTTCCAACCCCCCTTTTGCGACATTGGAAAAAGAGGTGAGGCCCAAACGAAACGCGAAACCGGAGCTCCAATGTCATTACCATTAAAAAAGCATTAGCGATCTTTCGCCTGATCTTCAACTTTCTACTCGTGCACAAATTGTCCTTCCTGTGGCGTTAGAAGTCAACGACCGTTTTTTAACACTTGACCGACTTAGGTCGACGCATCATCGCCCTACTAACCACTTACGGAGCTCCGTTTACCGCCGTCAGTTGTTTTCTAACGTCCACTTAACTCGGCAATTAATAATAATCGCGCCCGGCGACGATGAAGAGAACACGTCCAGATCTTCCAGTCCGACTCGACTTCCCTTAAAGGGGCCCGCACAAAAATCCTCTTCCGAAATTTCCTAAATGGCCGCCGCGATGGAGGGCCTATCGAAGATGTCGGTCGCCGACTTTTACGTCGGCAAGACCGTTTTCATAACCGGCGGCACCGGCTTCATGGGGAAGGTGCTGCTCGAGAAGCTGCTGCGATCGTGCCCGGGCGTCTCCAGCATATACCTACTGATACGGCCGAGCAAGGGACAGAACGCTCAAGAACGGCTGCAGCAGTTACTGTGTTCACCCGTAAGTAGTAATTTTAATCGAAAAAAAACCCACCCCTCTCCGTGATTTGCTTCAAATATAATTTGCCGAATAAATAAGCCAATTCCCTAAACTACTCTACCATGACCTACTACTAATCGGGTACTCCGTATAACACCTCGCTGTGATATTTTGTCCGGTTAAAGCTATTCAGTATTCGGCTGTACGATTTAAATAGATATCCCGAACTTGTCAATGTAGAAAAGTGGGATAAGTGAAATCCCACTTTTCTACATTGACAAGTTCGGGATATCTATTTAAATCGTACAGCCGAATACTGAATAGCTTTAACCGGACAAAAAATCACAGCGAGGTGTTATACGGAGTACCCGATTAGTAGTAGGTCATGGTAGAGTAGTTTAGGGAATTGGCTCTTTCATAAATAAATAGAACTATCCAGACAGACAGACAGACATTGCCTTTTATGTACAGGGTGTATCCTTTGGATAGGTGAAACTCTCACTACGTAATCCCACATTATTTTCTGAGTCAAAAAGTCCCATATAATATAAAAATTCATAGAACATATCACCAGGGGTTCCATACCCCCCTCCCCCAGTAAAAAAAACTTGACAACATCACGAGGACCACCCAACCAAGAACTACTCGACGACCCCTTTCAGTCTGACCCTGACCAACGTCATGGGTGGGGGTTTTCTGGAAATGACAATGGAACCACGATATAATCATTTACTGGGGGGTATTCCATACCCCCCGGTTAAGCTTTCCCCCACAATACATTTAGCTCCCCAGAATTCTATTATAATTTTTGGGAAAATGATCAGATCCCCTTTTGAAAAATAGTATTCCATAGAACATATGACCGGGGGGTCTGGGGGGGTAAGGAAAACTTAAGAACGTGACAAGGATTTAAAATCACCCAACCAAGAAATACTCGACGACCCCTTTCCCTCTAGTTCCCACCCACGTCATGGGTGGGGGTTTTCTAGAAATGACAATGGAACCACGATATAATCATTTACTGGGGGGTATTCAGACCCCCCGGTTACGCTTTTCCCCACAATACGTTTAGCCCCCCCAGAATTCCATTATAATTTTTGGGAAAATGATCAGATCCCCTTTTGAAAAATAGTATTCCATAGAACATATGACCGGGGGGGTCTGGGGGGGGGGTAAGGAAAACGTAAGAACGTGGCAAGGATTTAAAACCACCCAACCAAGAAATACTCGACGACCCCTTTCCCTCTAGTTCCCACCCACGTCATGGGTGGGGGTTTTCTGGAAATGACAATGGAACCACGATATAATTATTTACTGGGGGGTATTCTATACCCCCAAGACCCCCCGGTTACGCTTTTCCCCACAATACGTTTAGCCCCCCAGAATTCCATTATAATTTTTGGGAAAATGATCAGATCCCCTTTTAAAAATAGTATTCCATAGAACATATGACCGGGAGCGTCTGGGGAGTATGGAATGCCCCCCAGCAAAGGAAAACTTAAGAACCATGGGAGGATGATAAAATGATTATATCGTGGTTCCATTGTCATTTATAAAAAACCCCCACCCATGACGTGGGTGAGGATTAGAGGGAAAGGGGTCATCGAGTATTACCCCCCAGACCCCTCGGTCATATGTGTCAATGATAGAAATTTACATTTCAATTATTTTTATTATAGGAACAATGTGAACTATTAAATTGTTTACATTGAAGTAAACAACGTGACGGTATCATATCACCTTATGCGCATACCTGAATCTACATATATTTGATAGAAGGGAAATTCAAATTACAATTGAGGGTTCTGACAATATGTTCTATGGAATACTATTTTTCGAAAGAGGAGCTGGTCACCTTTCCAAAAATTATAATGGCATTCTGGGGAGCTAAACGTATTGTGGGGAAAAGCGTAACCGGGGAGCTTGGGGGTATGGAATATCCCTCAGCAAAGGAGAACTTAAGAACCATGGAAGGATTTAAAACCTCCCAACTGAGAAGTACTCGACGACCTCTTTCCCTCTAGTTGTCACCCAAGTTTTTTGGAAATGACAATGGAATGTTGTTGTATTTTTGTTTTGTTTTATTCCTACGTTTTAATTTTTTTTTATTCAAGGCTCAAATAAACTTTATTATTATTATTATAACCACTGTATATAATGTGCTGAGAGGGTATTCCATAACCCTCGTCAGAACCCCCGGTGCTATGATCTTCCCCAGAAACGTATAGCATTAACACTCATACAATAATTTCCGAGAAAACATAATGGCAACATGGCATGATTTCACAGATTTTTGTGGTTTAAGAGTCAATACCATTCATGTTTAAAGTAGTAAGAAAGAGAAAAAAAATAAGCTTTCTAATGACGTATCACATGATCTATGTTGCCATTTAAAAAAATTCAAGATGGCGGACACCATGTGTCAAACAAATTTTTTTAACCTCAAAATATGATTTGACAAACTGGTTAAATTACCCCGAGGGTTACATGTGACCAAATTTTTTATGAATCGGACATAAGCTCGGTTTTTTCCGGCTGCGCCGCCTCACCTCGCTCGACATTACCATCAATGCTGCATTCTCTCCCAAAACATGCGGTTCCTAGCACTGCCGTGATAGTTTTTTTGGGGAGAAGTAGCATTGGAGGCTTTAGACATTAGACACACAATTTAAATTGGTTACTCTGACCTTTGCTAATTTCCCGACGTCCCTTTTAGCTCTTCGATATACTACGCAAGGAGTGCCCGACCGACCTGCAAAAGGTGTCCGCGATCGAGGGCGACATCACCCAGCCGGAGCTCGCGATCGCGCCGTCCGATCGCGCGATGCTCTGCCAGTCGGTGAACGTGGTCTTTCACAGCGCGGCGACGGTGAAGTTCGACGAAAAACTGAAACTGTCGGTCGCGATCAACATGCTCGGCACGCAAAGGCTCGTGGAGATGTGCAGGCGGATGACGAAGCTCGAGGCGCTGATACACGTCTCGACGGCGTACTGCAATTGCGATCGGAGCAAGGTCGAGGAGAAGATCTACGCGTCGGCGCTGGAGCCCGGTCAGGTGATAACCGTCGTCGATTCGCTCGACGAGAATTTGGTCGATACGTTAACGCCGAAGTTGGTCGGGAATCGTCCGAACACCTACACGTTCACGAAGGCGCTCGCCGAGTACTGGCTGAAGGAGAACAAGGGCGATCTGCCGCTGGTCATCGTACGGCCGAGCATCGTGATTAGTACCATAAACGGCCCGCTTAAGGGATGGGTCGACAATTGGAACGGCCCGACCGGGATCATTGCGGCGGCCGGTAAGGGCCTGTTTCGTACAATGCTCTGCGACGCGAACAAGAAGGCCGATTTAATTCCCGTCGACATGGTGATTAATCTCATGATTACGGCGGCGTGGAAAATCGGAACGCAAAAGTCGAAGGAGATCACGGTGTACAACTGCTGCACGGGTAAGCGGGGATCGTACCGAATTCGAATTGTACTCACTTTCGTTTGCAGGTTTACGACGCCCGATCACGTGGAACCGCTTCATCAAGCTCTGCTTCGTGTACATGCGAAAGCATCCGTTCTCGGAGATCAAGTGGTATCCCGACGGGACGGTTACGTCTTCGGTGCTACGAAACAATGTATATAGGATATTTTTACAATGGCTGCCCGCGTATATTATGGACGCAATGAGGTGGTTAATTGGCTCGAAGCCCATGTAAGTAGAACTTACTTTACATCCTCTTTCACTTACAAAGTGAGGTTATGTCATTCACTCAAACTAAAGGTGAAATTGTCAAGTAACGGCTCGTTTACAATTACCAGCAATTTCTTCCGGTTCCATCCGTCAATTAGACGACGTCTATAGTTAATAACAATAATAAATAATAAAATAATAACTAATAATTCCATTCAAATTTTGCAAAATTGCACAAAATACTGATTCTCGAATGGCGCCATCTATGGACCACTGACGTTACGCGAAGCAATTGGTACTACTCCAAGATTCAAATGAACTACCTTGTAAATGTTGTCGTTGTACCTACTGTTCAGGATCGTATCGAGAAAAATACCTTGCAATACAACAAAATTATTGCATAAATACATCATCCAACCTCGCTTCACAAATCCTTTCGATCGCCCAAAAGGATCTTTAAAACCAAACGTTTTTTAAGAACCTCCAAGTGTTTCTTGGATCCTTTTGATTTTCAAATGTCTTCAATAAACCTCCAGTTTCCAAGAGATCCTTTAAACTCTTTATTAGTCTTTAAGAGCAGTTAGGAGCCACTAAGAGCTTGCACTGATCTCTTAAAGAACATTTGAGTCTTTTAACTTCAGGTGCATGACTGAAGCCGAATGGCATCCAACCCCTCAATTCCCTTTAATTTCAATTCGTTTTGCAGTATGGTACGTATACAAGACAAATTGTGCAAGGCGGCGCGATGTTTGGAGTTCTTCACGACGCAAGAGTGGGAGTTCGACGATAGCAACGTAAACGCGCTCAGCCGCGTCCTAAACGAGCACGACAAAAAGGAGTTCTGCTTCGACGTCGCTCAAATCATGTGGGAGGACTATTTAGAAAATTACGTCTTAGGAATACGAAGGTGAGGGTTCGCGAGATGCGATGTAAAGTTCACTTGGCGTTTTTCAGATTTATTTTCAAAGAGGAGGCGGAGTCGCTACCGAGCGCGCGAAAGCAGGTGTCCAAACTGTATTGGATCTATCGAATTACGCAAATTCTATGCGTAATGTCGATATGGCACTTTTTAACTTTGCGCTATGCGCCACTGAGGCGATTATGGAGCAACGCGTTACGTTTATTAGTGCACATAGCGAGAATGCTATCGATTGTCAAGTAATTTACCATTACGTTCCTTATAATTGAAGTGTGACACCTTTATTATCGACACGATTTTATTCAATATATATTTATCAAGAGCATACCGTAAAATTAGATTATATATTTAATAGATATAATTGCCGTGGTACTGTGTGCTTCTTACTTTTGTTATATCTTCCATTTTCTATTTTTAAAGATTTTAATTATTTATTTGCAATTTAACTGAGTATAATAAATAGCTCATTTGACGCAGATCGTTTTATTTTAACAAAATATCTCCAAATGAAAAGCATAAAATTTATTACCACGGGATCTGGGGGGTCAGAAGGAATCAATTAGATTTTCCCTGACGACTACCATGACAGTTGTTATCAGATATTCACTATCCCCCAGAGCTACATTCTCCCCCAAAATGTTCGGCCCTTAGCACTTTCGTGTATGGAACGAAAAATTGGGGACACTCGCTACAGAATAATCATAGGCATGGCGATTGTCCTAAACCTTTTTGGGAAAAAATAAAAAAGTAACTGTCCAGTGTCCTGGTAATTTTCCGGAAAAAGTAATCGGTTCCTTCTGTGCTGGGCGTATTGAATTTAAATGGGGGGTACGACCACTGATCTAGATGAAAAAATTGAGGGTAATGAGAAATCTGGCAACATCCGGACATCTTTTGGAATTTTCGTGAACTAAATCAAAATTGTCAAAAAAATGACAGATCCAAATAACTAATGAAAGAACTGATAAATAAATAAAATTAACGCCTAAAATGAATTACACAGGCTTAAGCAAGCTCTTCAGCGTCTTTCGAATAATCAAAGAATCGGGAGGCCTAAGAGCCTCCCTCTATAAATTGTACAGGTAAATCCGTCTCGATTACATAAGCTGGGGGGTATGTTTTGATGGGTTAAATTCGCAGAATGGACGAGCTAAAAGTGGGGACGCTCATGGGAACCGACAAGTACGGCAACAAATACTTCGAGAACAACCGCTTCTTTTACGGACGCAACCGTTGGGTCGAATACGCGCCGTACTACCGTAAGTCGCTCCGAAGTTTTCACGCAATCGTTTTATGTGCGACTTGAAGGTTTGGAGTACGACGGCAGTCAAGTGCCGGCCGAATGGTTCGGCTGGCTGCACTACAAGACCGACTTCACTCCCGACAACGATCCTGGCAGGCCCAAGTACAAGTGGATGCTCGACCACACGGAGAATTTGAGCGGTACGCCGCAACAGTACGTGCCGTACAGCACGACGACGCAGAAGATCGACGCGTGGAAACCGCCGTGTCCGAAGTAAATTACTCACGATCTGTAGTCGCACTTTGTTTCTATGTAAATAAACTTTTGAATCCTAGATTTGTAATCATTGCCAAGCGCTTTTGCCATCGGCAGGCGGGCTATACGCATTTCGGATTTGAAACGGTGACGGAGCAGGAAAAACAGCAGCGCGGTATGTATGAGACGTGGTTAAAACTTGGCACGGTAGCTGTCGATTTAGAGAACAAAAAGCTGCACGATAGGACCCGGAAAACCAAAGGTTTCTGCTTCTGATTCCTCAGCCTAGGATTTCTAGGCAAATTTCCTAGGTTTTTGAAAGATCATTCACTCAAAAAGGTTCATGGAAAATGATTCCTGAATTAGGACTGGTAAAATATCCAGGAAGACCTCCCAAGAAAGTTATGTAGAAGTAGTGCAGAAAAATTTGAAATTTAAATTTGCCTAGGAATACCTAGGAATTCTTCCGAGTATCAGGAGCACAAAGATTTGTACTCCTGATACCGCAACTCGGCGCGAATGATTTTAAATCGAGAGTTACCGTGGCAGAACCGGTCGACTCATTGCATGAATAACACGTAACTGTAGTACATAAGATCTTCGACGAGGTCGCCCAGTCCTACGATTTGATGAACGATCTGATGTCGTTCGGCATACATCGCCTTTGGAAGGATACGTTCATGGACCGTCTCGGGCCAACTCCCGGTACAAATTTGTTAGATGTGGCCGGAGGGACAGGTAAGAACTAGAGGGAAACAACTTTGAATTTTTGATGTACACCAAGCCGTGGGCGTATTTAAAGCAATAGCCCCCCCCCCCAGTGGCGCACGTAGATTTATTGGGGGGGGCGAACTTGTTTTAACCCCCCCCCCCGTTCGTAGATTTATTAGGGGGAGGGGGGGGTAAAGAAGTTCGTGGCACATACAGGCACCCAGTGCGTACTAGAAGGGGGGGGGTATTTTATTTCTTACTGCTGACAGGCCCCTTTATTGCTTTAATTAGTCAACGAAAACTTTGAATAATAGGTATATTTATGGGCAAAAAACCAATTTCGACAAAAAATTCAAAGGGCTGTAACTTTTGAACTAGTAGCCCAATCCTGGAACTGTTTGAAATTATGGATTCTACAGGTCACATTCTATAAGAAAATATTTTTTTCCGGTCGATCTGAGACAATTTTTTTTTCTGGGCAAAAAAAAGGCAGTTTACCTTCCTTTTTCCCAAAAATCGACTGCTCCAAAATTTCTCGGGAAAAAACTTTTTCTTATTAATTTGGGTGCGTAGAATCCAAAACGATTCGTACTTTTTCGATTAGACGTCTCAATCAGAAGTTATGGGCAAAAAACCAATTTCGACAAAAAATTCAAAGGGCTGTAACTTTTGATCTAGTAGTCCGATCTTGGAACTGTTTGGAATTATTGGAATATTTAGATTTTAGTGACTTGAGACTTTAACCAAAACCAAAATTGCTCTCTATATATACCTATACCTTTATTTTAAAGTGGGCGGAGCGGAGTATTACCTAAATATAATAGCTATGATGATAACTCAATATATCCCCTTCATCCCCCCGTAAATACGCCACTGCCCCCCCCCACGTGACGCTCTTTTTCGAAATTTGGAGGGTGAGGGGACAACTTAACTACAGCTTCCTATTTCCTGTAATTCCTCTCAAGAGGGGCGGGAAGGTTGTTATTTATCCCCCACCATCGTTTGGCAGAGATAGGCCTCTCCATATCGGGTGTGCCTAAATGTGCAAACAATTGAACTATAAACGGTACATTTGGGGGGAGCTCGCGCGGGTACCCTCTACGATTGCAAATTGCAGGTGACATCGCCTTTCGCTACTTGAACTACCTTAAATCGGACCGCCTGCACCCCAACAGTCACGTCACCGTACTCGATATCAACACGGCCATGCTCGACGTCGGACAATATCGAAGCAAAGGGTTGGGGTACGATTCCTCTCAGATAACGTTTCAAGAGGGCAACGCCGAGGAGTTACCGTTCGAAGACGGCTTGTTCGACGCCTACACCGTCGTTTTCGGGATTCGAAATTTCACCCACATTCAGAAAGCCATCGATGAAGCGTACCGCGTGCTGAGGCCCGGAGGACGCTTCCTCTGCATGGAGTTCAGTCAAGTTACCGACACCAACTTGCAATGGTCAGTAGTTCACCCGCTCCGCCCCGTGCTGAAACCCACAGTTACAGGATCTACGACCAGTACAGCTTCCAAGTCATTCCGCTCATGGGTCAATTGGTCAGCGGCCAATGGCACCCCTACCAGTACCTGGTGGAGAGCATCCGCCAGTTTCCCAATCAGGTACGCGATTTGCACGCGTTCACTTTGACTAACGAAACGTTTCAGGATCTCTTCAAGTCTATGATAGAAAAGGCAGGCTTTCGAGAGGTCATTTATGAAAACTTATCGTCTGGCATTGTCGCAATTCATTCAGGCTTTAAATTGTAATTAAAGTTTGCTTAAAAGTAAATATAAATAATTATCGTCCTCGTCCGGGCAACGACCCAGGGTTCGGTGGCCCCCCTTGCCAAGTGGCACGTCCGCGGACCGGTGGCGCGACACCGCGGCCTCGACCTCGTGCAGCTAAAACGACACATTAAAGTAAATACGTCAACAGCCTCGTGCAAACCTTGCGCTCTAAGTATCGCCGACTTCCCTCGGCCAGCAGTACCGCTCTTCGTTTGCTTCTTGAACATTGGCGCGTTCTTCAGCATGTCGGGCAGTATGAGAAAGCGGATTTTGGAGCCCCGGATGTAGACGTTCTCGAGCTGCGTCACCCTGCCGTCCCTGTAGGTGACCGTGATCTGTGTCATTTGGCAGTTCATGTTGTCCTCGGCTTCGATTAGCTTCCCCCGGTAGATTTCGCCGGTTATTGTTTCGCAGGTTACGATATGGCCTTCCGCCTCGTGCAGGACCTTAATTGGGACACCGATGGACATGTTTAATACTATTTTAGAATTTTTCCGTTTAAATTATGTCGGATGATCTAAATTTCCCGTAATAATTTCGGAATATTTGGATGTTTTTATTTTGTAAACAATTCTAAGAAAATGGCGGCCGTATCAGGATTCCGGGCGACATCTGTCAATGGCTGTTGTCAACAAAAACCACAGAATAAATGACATTTGTTTATACAGAGTCCTAAAAATATATGTATTAAAAAAGTGCACCACGTTCAGAGCTTTCCATGTCAGTTTCAAAATTGTATTTGCACAAGCTATCCAATTTTACGTAATTTTGGAAAGCGAAGGATTAAGGTATTCTTGAAACGCACGTTAATTATATGATTTGTAGTGCTAAAAATCCTCCGAACATGTTCTAAGAGCTATTCAAGATAATCAAAACTAGAATCATCGTTACCTGTTATCTACGCTATGCCACTGGGTACCCCTCTCCAGAGCCCTGGTGCTGCATTCTCCTTCAAAGCGTTCAGTCCAAGTTCCAGTTTCATAAAAGTCTATCAAAATTTCCTAAGGAGTATTCCAGATTCCGCATGCTACTGGGTTGTTACGTTCGATAGTACCTCTGCAAAAGGCATAGAGTAATAAAGCTGAATTTATAGTTCCGTACCCGCAACGCCGTGCCGTAACGTTTGGAATTAAACCCTACTTGTTGCGCGTGAACATTTATAATTCGCGTTAACGTTGCGTTAGAACGGTTACGGTACGTAGGAAATGCCCAAATCTTATTTCTTACGGTAAATCGTGCTAACGCGCTTGTCTTCGGTAGTACTCGGATCATTCAAACAGTTGAGTTTATCCTGACGTTCGTTTCGTTTATTTACAATAATTATTGACACTTTGTTGGTTATTATTATTTTGAAATGCACGTTACTCTTACTGACAGATGACATACAATGACAGAATTCGTTACGCGCTAATGCGCAAGCTGGCACTTGCCACTACGGAACTATAAATCGTATTATTTTCGTTAACGTAAGATTTTACGGTTCCGTTCTTACGTTCTTACGGTTACGGAACTATAAATCCGGCTTAAGTATTAAAATCACTAGGGGATAATGTATAATCGGGTAGTATGATGGGATACCCCCCAGCAGACACAGAAGAAATCAATTACCTTTTCTCGAAAACTACTGTGACAGTTTCTATCTGCATAGGGTCACGAAATCTCCTTTTGTTGGGGGAGTATTTCGGGGTTATATTCGCCCCCAAAAACGTTTAGCCCTATACTCTCGTGTATGAATTATCCCCCAGAACATTCTCTACAAAAACCATATTTCAGGAATGAAAGAGAAAGGGAATAGAAAGTTGTAGATAAACTGAAATGAAAGTGTAGATTCTGGTCTGGGAGTTAATGAACAGCAGTGTATTTATTTGTAACGTGAGACACAGCCGTAAATTGAGCACGTGTTTATAACCACACCTAACCTCTAATTTTTTGAATGTTGTAAATATTATGCTTCATGGCAGAAGCTTTAAAGGAACTTGTGGGCTTTTTACACAACGAAAAGAGGCCCGATTTACAGATATTAGCTTTGGACAGCATTTTAGGTGAGAATCAGCCCTAACCTAACCTAACTTTCCGTTCCGATTTCAGCAACGACCGGAACCACTGAAGGAATCGACTTAATTCTGAAGGACGACGTTATAGTCAAGAATCTAATTAACTTACTTAGAAGTCCCAGTTTATCGGTTAAACGCACAAGCGCCTCGGCGCTCGTGAACCTTTCCGCGTACGGCGATGGCCCCGGAACATTGCTCGGGGCAGAGGAGAACAGCCTGGCTGTCGTACTCGTCGAAGGCATTACGGATCCAGATTGCGAAGTAGCGGATTTGTTTTGCATGATTTTGTCAAATATAACTCGCACCGAGGACTGTGCACTGGTGGTAATCGGCTTGATCGATTTGGAAACGATCGTCAACATCGTGACAAAAGTGAAATTTAACAATAAGGCTAATAACCTTCACTACTTAGGCGTGGTACTCTCGAATTTGTCGCGGCATAAAGTTGTACGCGACGCCATCGTCGAGACCTCCATTCAGAAGTTATTGCCGTTCACAGAATTCGATGGATCCGTCGTTAAGCGAGGCGGAATTGTAGGTGAGTGACGATTATCGCCACTGAAACAAACGCACATCTCAATTTAGGGACTATTCGCAATTGCTGTTTCGACATTGAACGTCACGGCTGGCTTTTAAGCGACGAGGTCGATATACTCCCGAGACTGCTTCTGCCGCTAGCCGACGGTACCGAGTTTAGCGACGACGAGTACGAAAACATGCCGCTCGAGTTGCAGTACCTGCCGAACGACAAGCGGCGCGAAGAAGACCCCGACATTCGGTGTATGCTGATCGAGTCGATCACGCAACTGTGCACGTTACGGGCGAATCGAGAGATCGTGCGAAGCCGCAACGCCTATCTGATTTTACGCGAGCTGCATAAGTGGGAGAAGGATCGCAAGGTGTTGCTCGCGTGCGAGAATTTGGTTGACATACTTATTAGGTGCGTTGCAGGAGGGTGGGGGACTGTTGAGTATTTTCCGATTTTAGAACCGAAACCGAGATTGGAAAGGATAACATAAAGGACGCCGAGGTGCCCGACGATCTAACGAATGTGTTCAGTAAAATGGATAAGGATTTTTTGGATAATTAAATTTTGTTTCCGTTCATTTTCTTTGCGTCCCCGGAAGATCTGCAAAAATGTCCTTTACTCGTTTTATTAAATCGCCAAGTTATAAATTCTGTGTATTGCATTTAGCGCGGCGGTATCCTTTGCTATTTCGATTGACTCGCCCCATCCTAAAATTGCAACGGCTACAAAATGTTCACCCAGTTAACGACTTACCGATCCCCAGCAATTTTTTCTCGCTGTATAACCCGACCTGGTAATTCGCCAGTATCGTATTTGAAGCGGACTCGTTGCATAATCTCGCCTCGATTTCGGTCACCCCGTTCTCTTGGGCGAGCTGTTTCAGCACCTCGTATGGATTTTTCGGGTCCCAAATGTCGAAAATGCCCTTGCCGTTCAACTGGCACAGTAAGAAGTCTTTCACGAACAGGTGCGCCCGATCCTCGCCAGTCGACCGGTGCAAAGCCGCGACGATCGCGCGGAACGTGTCTGCGAGCGTGCTTGCTTCTGCGGGATATTCCGCAGTTAATACGATATCTTTGGTACCTAAGTGATAGGCGACGTGCGCCAACATTGTATTATTGACGAGGTGATTGCATAGGGCCTCGACGATTTCATCCGGAAAAGTCGTATACTGCTGCCTGACCGATTTCAGGATTATAGAGTTGCCTTCGCTGATCAGTTCGCTGTTGTCCTCAAATGTATCTGCAAGCTGCCGATTATATTACGGTGGTTAACAAGGGACGTGTAAACCAGTGGGATTTCCCGCTAATTCCTTCTGTACCACATACGATCGATGCGTGAAGGCCCGTTTAAGTAGGGCCTGGTTGAACTCTTCGCCGAGACGTTTGCCGAAGGAGTACAGCTCCGCGTCGTGGTTCCACTCCAAGAAGGAGGAGCGAGGGATCGGCGGTTGCGGTTCCTGCCTTTTGCGTCTCCTTTCGAGCTCGATTAAGGTCGGTGCCACCCATCGTTTTATGCCTTTCGCTGGAAGCAATCATGAGGAGACCGTGCGGGCGCTTGGTCTGCTTACCAGTGAGATTTGGTGATAAAACAGCTCTCGGAGGTAGAAGTGCGAGAAATTTTAAAAACGAAGCCATCTTATTTTGATAACATAACCTCAAATTTTAAGTCGTTTGTGGTCACCATCACAGTCACTATACAGGGTACTCGGCAGGTACGGGGTGCGTCACCAGGATTCAAATAGTGCCCGTAATCTTTAAAGTAAGATTGTATACAACCAAATCAAATTAAGAAAATTAAAAAGAGAAAGGTAGGCTCATAAAGACTAAACGATCACAAAACGTAGAGATTTCGGTAGTACGCAGAGTGTGACCGAGGTAGTTCAAACAACCCAAATAAATAAACATTCAGTAGTTCTACTGCAATTTTTCCGAATGAACTACGAATTTTGTTGCAAACGGTTTTCCTTTACTTTTAAATGTTAATTTTTGCATATTTCCCTTTTAAATGTCCTTATCACCGGCGAGTATTTTAACGAAATTGGACGAACTAAAAAAATGGCAACAGCAGCAGCAGGAGCGCCTCCTGTGCCTAAACAAACCCACCCTCCGGAAATCGAACTCATCCTTGGATACATCGGGAAAGGAACCCCTTACTATAAAAAGTACCTCTACCGACGTGAAGCCGAAGCAGCCGTTTCTAAGACGAGGTGCTGGTCTGTCGCGATTTCGCATGTACCCCGGTGAGCAATTCAAGCCTTTCTCGGCGACCAAGAGGCCGACCATTGTCAAAGACCCGCGACCTCCGCTCACTCCGCTCAAGAAGCCGAGCGACAGCATCGTAACGAAAGCGGTGTGGGGACTGCCGTGCGTTGACAAAAACGACACCGATAGGGAGCTACAAATATTCGAGGCGTTGGAGGAGCGTACCAATCGCCCGAGCTTCTGCTCGACGAACTCCAGCGTGGTCAACTTACTGGCGAGCACTCCGCAACCGCGTTCGATCGTAACCGACGGCGAGGAAACCTGCGAGATCGACGAGTACGAGGAGCAAATACAAAAGGACTACTTCAACTTGATCGAGAAGGCGTTCGAGTTCAAGCAGTACGTCGCCACTCCGAATTCCAGTTTGAGCTCGATCGCCAACGACACGGACGTCGCGTACAATGACGAAAATCGGTGGACCGAGGTGGAGGTCCAGACGACCGTCAGCTCGGCGAGCAGCTGCATCTCCGAGAAGGCGCAGACGAGACGGAGCGTCGAAACTATGACCGAGCCGATCGAACAGGCCGACCCCAAAGTCGGAGGTCTGGAGGCGGAGTTGAAACGTTTACACGTGGAGAATGGCAATGCGAAGAAGCTGAAGGAGAAGTACGAGCAACAGACGAAAGAATTTGAAAGGTAGTTTTTTTAATTTAATTCCCCCCCCCCCCTCTCCTCCTCCTCCAAGCTGACAATAGCAAAAGTAATAAATTATATCCTACTTAAGTGTTTAAAGTGAGCATTTTTAGTGCATTTTTACCGAGACCCCACGGTGCTATGCTCTCCCCCAAGATGTGTAGAAAAATGAGTATTGTGGTCACATTTTTCTTTTCTGGAAGATATTCTATAAACGAGAGTTGTAAGGGCTGAACGTTTTGGGGGAGAATGTAGTACCGGGGGTCTGGGGGGTATGGAATACCCCCCAGCCACAAGAGCGATTTAATTACCCTATCCCAGAAGCATCATAGTAGTCTTTGGGAAGAGATAATCAATTCCTTCTATGTGCTGGGGGGTATTCCATACCCCCCAGACCCCCTGGTGCTATGCTCTCCCCCAAGATGAGTAGAAAAATGAGTATTGTGGTCACATTTTTCTTTTTTGGAAGATATTCTATACACGAGAGCCTAAGGCCTGAACGTTTCGGGGGTGAGTGTAGTACCGGGGGGTCTGGAATATCCCCCAGACAAGAGCGATTAATTACCCTATCGCAGAAGCATCATGGTAGTCTTTGGGAAGAGATAATCAATGCCTTCCGTGTGCTGGGGGGTATTCCATGCCCCTCAGGGGTCCCGATGCTACGCTTTATTGCATTTTGATTAGCCAAAACTCAATCATGAAACTAGCTCTACTTTAGCGACCATTTTGGGATCAAAGAAACCCAAAATTCAGTTCAGGAAACGGTTAAACACATTGATAAACTTGACCTTGTTATGGAGACCACGGTTAACCCTTTAGGTCATTATTTGTTGTGTCCTTTTTTGAAAAAAAAAACGCATGCGCAGAACCAACTTTCTTATTTATGAGCGGTTTTTTCTGAAATGTTAAGGGAAAGTGCTTGGTAAATAGATAGACTAAAACGCGCAATACAATTATATAGGTACAAGAAGGAGATACTAAAACAAATCGAGGATGAGAAACTGAAAATGGCAACCACACTGGAAGAGGAACGGAAAAAGTTGGCCAAAGAAAAGATGGTTTTCGAAAAGTACGTCAAAGACCAACAGAACAAGCCGTCCAGGAAGGAGCGCGCGGAAATTACCGCCTTAAAAATCGAAGTGGCGACGTTACAGGAAACGTTAAAGGCGAAGGAGTCGAAAAACGGAACTACTCAGGCGCGTTTGCGCAACCAAATCAAAAACTTGGAAAAGGACAACGCGAACCTCAAGGCGGAAATCGAGGACCTAAACAGACAGCACGCCAAGGCGATCGTCTCGCAACGAATGCGACGCAAGCCGTCCAGTACCAAGACGTTGCACGAAATCAACGACAGCTTATCCGAGCTGATGGTGATGCGTAAACCCGCAGATCTTCCCAAGGAGAACGTAACCCCCGCGCCACCGGAACCGGCGAACGGTAAGCGATCGTTCGTACCGAATCCGCACTGACTTCTTAATCTTTTCAGATCGTATCGAGCGAACGTCAAACGACGGCTCGAAACAGATCAAGTATAGCAACGGTAATATTAAAACGATCTCGCCGGACGGTAATGTTATAATATTTCAGTATTTTAACGGAGATATTAAAGAGACTAACTTACTGGAAGGTACGATACGTTACCATCACCGCGACAGTAAAGTAAATCACACGACGAATCCTGACGGTACCGAGCTGATTCAGTTCGCCGAGTACGTACGTCGCGCCGATTTGCGCGCTGTCCTAAAACGACGGTCTCTGTTTCAGCGGTCAGATTGAGCGGCGTCTGCACGACGGCGTCTGCGAGATCGAGTACCCGGACGGCGTCAGGCGGAAGACCTACTCGGGCGGCGTCGAGGAGATCGTCTTTCCGGACGGGACCGTCGTCAACGTCTTTCCGGACGGGACCGTCGTCAACGTTAACAAGGACGAGCAGGTGATGACGCTGCCGAACGGCCAGAGGGAGATACACACGAGCGAGCACAAGGTGAGTTGGCCGGTTCGTCTGCAAAAGATCAGTTTTTATTAGTGTGTCCTAGCGAAGGGAGTATCCGGATGGTACCGTGAAGATATTGTATCCCGACGGGTCTCAGGAGACGAGGTACTCCAGCGGGCGTGTTCGTTTGAAGGACAAAAATGGAAAACTCGTCATGGATTCTCAATTTTAGGGTTAAGATTTACTATTGTAGATGTACCTACACTAAATACAAATAATTTTATAGCAGACGTTTCCATCTTCAGGTGTAACCCATCTTCAGGTGAACAGTGGGGGGGGGGGGGTATTCCAGACTTCTGATGGATTTATGTATTATGCCCCACAAAATGGAAAACCATAACGTACTTCCCAGGAATAAGACATCGATTTCTAATGTGCTGGGGTGTAGACGGGGGTATCCATACCCCCCAGTGCTATGCTCTCCCCAAGATGTGTGGAAAAATTAGTATTGTGGTCACATTTTTCTTTTTTGGAAGATATTCTATACACGAGAGCCTAAGGCCTGAACGTTTTGGGGGAGAATGTAGTACTGGGGGGTATGGAATACCCCCCAGCCCCAAGAGCGATTTAATTACCCTATCCCAGAAGCATCATGGTAGTTTTTGGGAAGAGATAATCAATTCCTTCTATGTACTGGGGGGTATTCCAGACCCCCCGGTGCTATGCTCTCCCCCAAGATGTGTGGAAAAATGAGTATTGTGGTCATATTTTTCTTTTCGGGAGGATATTCTATACACGAGAGCCTAAGGCCTGAACGTTTTGGGGGAGAATGTAGTACTGGGGGGTATGGAATACCCCCAGCCACAAGCGGGAATTGATTACCATATCCCAGAAGCATCAAGGTAGTCTTTGGGAAGAGATGATCAATTCTTTCTGTATGCTGGGGGCTATTCCATAAAAATGGACACCCTGTATAATGAGCGAGGAGGTCTTTTTGCTCTTAATGCAGAGAATCATTGAGATACCTACACTAAGTGCAGGAATGGTGATATTAGTATAGTTTTTCGCTTTGTGCGGTAGGAGAACAGATCTTTGACTCCCAATTTCACCAATCAGGAGCTCATAATAAGCACAACATTTTTTTTATGAAGAGAAATTTGGGTTTGTGGTGAGCGAGGAAGTTCCTCTGGCCTGCAATATTAATGTCATACCGATTTTTTCTTCTGCCAAACTAATTTGTATGTAAAGCGCGTTTCTGCGGTTATCAATTGGGGTTACCTTCGGTAGCCGCGCGCGAAAGGCCAACATGCAAAGTGTAGCATGCATAATTAAGTCGATTCTTTGTATATAAACACCCAGGGAGCACGAAACAATACCAAAAGCTAATAGAATGTTAGTCGTAAGTCTCCTACTCTCAGGCGCGCTCTGTGCGCCAACAACCGACGTCTACGAGAAATCTGGCATCAACTTGAACGAGTGGCGCGAGGAGTCCGGCGTTAATCCCGAGGAAACGGGCGAGTACTTTGAGGGCGACATCCTCCTCCCGGCGGACTATTCCAAGAACGGCCTCCTAAACGAAACGTACCGTTGGACGGGCGCGGTTATTCCCTACGAAATTGTGGGCCTGTTCAGCTCTAGGGAGCGGGAGTTGATAGCGAGGGCGATGGGAGAGTACCACAAGCATACGTGCATTAGGTATGTGCTTTTTATTTGAAATTACTGTAGAGATCTGTAATTTTGTCGCTACTCTCTCTATCGGTGGTTTCATAATCTAATCTTGCCAGATTTCGTCCTAAAACCAACTTCGACGCCGACTGGGTTACGATCACTAGCACCAGCTCGGGATGCTGGTCGAGCGTGGGGAGGTCCGGCGGTAGGCAAATCGTCAACTTGCAAAGTCCCGGTTGCCTTACGAAGATCGGGACGACGATCCACGAGCTCCTGCACGCGTGCGGATTTTACCACGAGCAGAATCGCTACGATCGCGACCTCTACGTCGCGATTAACTGGGAGAACATCCAAGAAAGTGAGTATTGTGACCAGATTTCGACCGGAAAACTGACGACCTCTATTCGCAGCGAAGAAGACTAACTTTCGTAAGATCGAGAATGACACGATTACAATTTTCGAGATCGATTACGACTACGGTTCGGTCATGCACTACTCGGCGAAGGCGTTCTCGGCGAACGGACAGCCGACGATCACGACGCTGAAAGAAAACGTCACGATTGGCCAACGCGACGGTTTCAGCGAGAGCGACCTAGTGAAACTAAGAAAGATGTACAACTGCGACCCGACCAATCAAAATTCGATCACGAACGGGTCGATTATTATTGGTCAGAACAGCTTGATCGATCTAATTTCCATATTACTACCGTAGAGACGAAAAAATGAAATTAAAGCGCTCCAGCGATTGTAAAATGCGCATGATTGTTTTATTTGTCGCGCTTGCGCAGCCTCTCGTTTGTTAGGTGAAAATTTACTCCTAATGCGCCGGGAAGTGGGAGTGAAAGGAGGGAGGGGGGGAGATTATGCCCTCCAGACCCAAGGTTGGTATATACCAACCTTGCTCCAGACCCGCCGGTGGATCATGTACATTATGCGCCATAAAAAAGGACAGTGTCATGACACTCCCAAGGAAAAATCATAAAGCTACTAAGGGCCAATTGCACCGTCAAAATTAAGTATCGCTTAAAGTTAAGCATAACTTAATTGCCATAGCAACGATTGTCTTAATAATCGTTGCCATAGATTTTAAGTTCGACTTAACTTTAAGCAAGGCTTAATTTTGTTGGTGCAACTGGGCATAAGTGTCCTAAACATTTTGAGGGGAGAATGTAACACCGAGGGGTCTGGGGGGTATCCCAGGAAAAAGGAATCTATTCCTAAAATGTACTGGAGGGTGTAGGCTGGAGGGTATTCCACACCCCCAGACCCCCCGGTGGATTATGTATTACGCCCCACAAAAAAAGACAGTGCGATGACACTCGCCCAAGGAAAAATCATAAAGCTACTGAGTGTCCTAAACATTTTGGGGAGAGAATTTAACACCGGGGGGTCTGGGGGGTATGGAATACCCTCCAGGAAAAAAGAATCTATTCCTAAAATGTACTGGAGGGTGTAGGCTGGCGGGTATTCCACACCCCCAGACCCCCAGGTGGATTAAGTATTACGCCCCACAAAAAAAAGACAGTGCGATGACACTCCCAAGGAAAAATCATAAAGCTACTGAATGTCCTAAAACATTTTGGGGGGAGTTTAACACCGGGGGGGGGGTCTGGGGGGGTAAATTAAAGAATGTTGTCTTGGAATTTTAATTAATGGGAAAGCTGAAAAGATCCCTCTGTAGTAAGTTGCCGCAATAACTGGACTTCATAAAAGAAATTTATTTTTTAAGTTTTACTTTGCTTTGGTCACTCATTCTTCCACTATCCTGCTTAGTAGACGATCATCCCCGGTCTCCTCCTGTAATTATAAACGCGAATAAACAGCACGGCTTTTTCGCCGCCTACCTGCTGCTGCCAAAAGCACCGGACGAAGAAGAGCGACCTTTCGCATTTATCCATTTCGTTTCCAGCCGTGCACTTAGACAGTATGTAGTTTAGAAATTGCACCCCCTTATCGGCGATTGCCTCTTCAATGTTGTGCGGTAAAATACCGCCCTCTTCGTCCATCCACCCGTATTTGACCAATAAACAGTGCAGGAAGCAGCCGACGTCCTTCTGGCGCGCTTCGTGCAACACGAGCTCGCGAAGTGCATCTGGGGGGTGAAATCGCGCTAGGATTAATCAGCAAAGGACGAATTTGGCTCACCCGAAGCAATCGGCGATGTCTCGTTGCATTTCTGCACGTAGTCCAAATCGGCGATGAAATCCCCTGACGAGGCCGGTGAGGCGATTACAATCAGCAGCACGTACAAATAGCGCATTGCGCCACTAAAAAAATGCAAGTGGGCGCCTTATCGCCATAGAGTTGACTGACCAACGTTTTGCTATCATCGGCGTTCGTGAATCATTCCCGTTGTAATGCGACTCCTTATCGCGTGTCTTCTTCTGGTAAGTGCCAATACATTATTGCGTTTAAAAGTGGATCGAATACGTTTGACAGGTTGCGCTCCTGGAGGCGGCGAGGGCCAATTTCGATATGGAGGAGCTGTTTAAGCAGAAGGACAACGACGTGCAAACGACGAAGGCGCAGAAGATGAATCGGAACATCGGGAGGATGCTGCAATTCGTGAACATCCTGGGGCAGGTGGACACGTTCCTGTCGGAACGGCTCAAGATGGTCATTAGGAAGTTGGCGCTGCTCGCCGAAGATGACGACGCCTATTCCAAGCGTAAAAAAGTTTAAAGGGTTGAATAAAGAATTTTTGATTTTGATCAGTAAGTTTTTGACACGTTCGTACCTCGGCCTTTCCACTCGAATGTGCTCCCTTATTAATACTGTCTGTGACACGCACTCCTGCTGTGCCTCTTCGGGGGAGAGTCTGGAATACCCGCCTGTTGATTAAAGCACATTATACATTTCGAAAAACCTATATTTACGTCCTGCCGTGTACACATGCCTTTAGAAGGATTTTTTTTTTTGTTCGTAGTAGTTCAAACGTACACTCAACAGATAAACTACACCACTTGAAAACCTAACCTCTTTTAGTAGAGATTTTATTTAAAAATGGCCTGGCCAGAGGTATTAACGGCGCAAAACGAAAATCGGCACGAAATTATTCTTACGGGACGCGAAATTTCCAACTCTATTTCGCGAAACGGCGTCGATCCAACGCTTTTCACTTTAGTCAACCTGAATTACCTAAATATACACAGTACGGGCTTAGAGACCCTTCCCGATGCCATCGAAAAGCTCCACAACCTGCAAACGCTAGTGCTGCATTCGAACAAACTGGCGACGCTCAACTCGAAAGTCGCCGGCCTAGACAAACTGAAAATCTTGGACCTTTCGGGCAATCTACTGCACGAACTACCCGACACGCTATCGGATCTATCGCAATTGGTTACCGTAAACGTATCGAATAACCAGTTAAACTCCCTACCCAAATTCCGTACCAATTCAAAGTTGGCCGTGATCGACGCGTCGAACAACAACCTCGGCGCCTTTCCCGACGTGTGCCATCCCGAAATGGTGAGCCTCGCCGAGATACGCTGCAGCAATAATAAAATCGCCGAGCTACCGAACGCGATCGGCGCGTTGTCGAGTTTAAAAGTTCTGCTCGTAAATTCGAACGAGATCAAGGAGGTTCCGGGCGAGTTGGCGAAGTGCGGCAAGCTGAAAGGTGAGATCTGACCGGGCGAATCCGTCCGATTCATTGGCGAGTTTTAGATCTCAATTTGAAGGAGAATCCGATCGCGGACAGGCGGCTGCTCAAGTTGATGACGCAGGGGCACACGAAGAAGATTATCGACTACATTAAGCAGCACGGGGTCACGACGACTGTTAGCACCGAGACGACGAATAAGGGGAAAAAAGGGAAGAGGGCGGTCGACGATGAGGTCGGTGCGCTCACCGAAAGTCTGTACAAAGTCAGCATTAATCATTGCAACGACAATTTAAGCGTTATCGTCCACGAAAACGTTAAGAGTATTCGTCCGCATCTCATAGCGTGTCTAGTTTTAAACGTGACGTTCACCGAGGAGATTTTTAAGAAGTTTATTCAGCTTCAGACTAAGCTGCACGATACACTCTGCGAGAAGCGCAATGTCGCCACCATTGCGACACATGACGCTGAGAAATTGGTAAGTTTGGGTTTTACGCGTGTGGCAAAATGTCGAAAACGTCCTGATTGAGGGGCGAAATCCGTCCTTGACGTCCAAAAAATGCATGAAACACTTGCACAAAACAGTTTCACATTCTAATGCCCTTTACAAAGTGTTTAAAGGGGTAAAATCTGCCCTTGCGGTCCAAAAAACTTCATGAAACACATGCACAACAAAGTTTCACAGTCTAATGGTCCTTAAAAAATGTCTAAAAGGGTGAAACCCGCCCTTGAGATCCAATAAAATTCATGAGACACTTGCACATAAAGTTCCCGTTCTAATGCCCTTTAAAAAATGTCTAAAGGGGTGAAATCTACCCTTGATGTCTAAAAAACTTCATGAGACACATGCACAACAAAGTTTCACAGTCTAATGGCCTTTAAAAAATGTCTAAAAGGGTGAAACCCGCCCTTTAGATCCAATAAAATTCAAGAGACACTTGCACAATAAAGTTTCACGTTCTCATGCCCCTTAAAAAATGTCTAAAGGGGTGAAATCTACCCTTGATGTCTAAAAAACTTCATGAGACACATGCACAACAAAGTTTCACATCTAATGGCCTTTAAAAATGTCTAAAAGGCGTTTAAACCTAAAAGGGTGAAACCCGCCCTTGAGATCCCCTTGATTCATAAAAAACTTCATGAGACACATGCACAACAAAGTTCTCGTCTCCTTAAAAAATGTCTAAAGGGGTTAAATCTACCCTTGTTGTCTAAAAAACTTCATGAGACACATGCACAACAAAGTTTCACAGTCTAATGGCCTTTAAAAAATGTCTAAAAGGGTGAAACCCACCCTTGAGATCCAATAAAATTCATGAGACACATGCACAACAAAGTTTCACAGTCTCATGGCCTTTAAAAATTGTCTCAAAGGGTGAAACCCACCCTTGAGATCCAATAAAATTCATGAGATACTTGCACAAAAAAGTTTCACGTTCTAATGCACTTTAAAAAATGTCTAAAGGGGTGAAATCTACCCTTGATGTCTAAAAAACTTCATGAGACACATGCACAACAAAGTTTCACATCTAATGGCCTTTAAAAATGTCTAAAAGGGTGAAACCCGCCCTTGAGATCCAATAAAATTCATGAGACACTTGCACAATAAAGTTTCACGTTCTAATGCCCTTTAAAAAATGTCTAAAGGGGTGAAATCTACCCTTGATGTCTAAAAAACTTCATGAGACACATGCACAACAAAGTTTCACAGTCTAATGGCCTTTAAAAAATGTCTAAAAGGGTGAAACCCGCCCTTGAGATCCAATAAAATTCATGAGACACTTGCACAATAAAGTTTCACGTTCTAATGCCCTTTAAAAAATGTCTAAAGGGGTGAAATCTACCCTTGATGTCTAAAAAACTTCATGAGACACATGCACAACAAAGTTTCACAGTCTAATGGCCTTTAAAAAATGTCTAAAAGGGTGAAACCCGCCCTTGAGATCCAATAAAATTCATGAGACACTTGCACAAAAAAGTTTCACGTTCTAATGCACTTTAAAAAATGTCTAAAGGGTGAAATCTACCCTTGATGTCTAAAAAACTTCATGAGACACATGCACAACAAAGTTTCACAGTCTAATGGCCTTTAAAAATGTCTAAAAGGGTGAAACCCGCCCTTGAGATCCAATAAAATTCATGAGACACTTGCACAATGAAGTTTCACGTTCTAATGCCCTTTAAAAATGTCTAAAGGGGTGAAATACCCTTGTCTAAAAAACTTCATGAGACACATGCACAACAAAGTTTCACAGTCTAATGGCCTTTAAAAAAATGTCTAAACGGGTGAAACCCGCCGTTGAGATCCAATAAAATTCATGAGACACTTGCACAAAAAAGTTTCACGTTCTAATGCACTTTAAAAAATGTCTAAAGGGGTGAAATCTACCCTTGATGTCTAAAAAACTTCATGAGACACATGCACAACAAAGTTTCACAGTCTAATGGCCTTTAAAAAATGTCTAAAAGGGCGAAACCCACCCTTGAGATCCAATAAAATTCATGAGACACTTGCACAATAAAGTTTCACGTTCTAAGGGCCCTTAAAAAATGTCTAAAGGGGTGAAATCTACCCTTGATGTCTAAAAAACTTCATGAGACACATGCACAACAAAGTTTCACAGTCTCATGGCCTTTAAAAATTGTCTAAAAGGGTGAAACCCACCCTTGAGATCCAATAAAATTCATGAGATACTTGCACAAAAAAGTTTCACGTTCTAATGCACTTTAAAAAATGTCTAAAGGGTGAAATCTACCCTTGATGTCTAAAAAACTTTATGAGACACATGCACAACAAAGTTTCACAGTCTAATGGCCTTTAAAAATGTCTAAAAGGGCGAAACCCGCCCTTGAGATCCAATAAAATTCATGAGACATTTGCACAATAAAGTTTCACGTTCTAATGGCCTTTAAAAAATGTCTGAAGGGGTGAAATCTACCCTTGATGTCTAAAAAACTTCATGAGACACATGCACAACAAAGTTTCACAGTCTAATGGCCTTTAAACAATGTCTAAAAGGGTGAAACCCACCCTTGAGATCCAATAAAATTCATGAGACACATGCACAACAAAGTTTCACAGTCTCATGGCCTTTAAAAATTGTCTCAAAGGGTGAAACCCACCCTTGAGATCCAATAAAATTCATGAGATACTTGCACAAAAAAGTTTCACGTTCTAATGCACTTTAAAAAATGTCTAAAGGGGTGAAATCTACCCTTGATGTCTAAAAAACTTCATGAGACACATGCACAACAAAGTTTCACATCTAATGGCTTTAAACAATGTCTAAAAGGGTGAAACCCGTTTCACATCTAATGGCCTTTAAAAAATGTCTGAAGGGGTGAAATCTACCCTTGATGGGACACTTGCACAATAAAGTTTCACGTTCTCGTGCCCCTTAAAAAATGTCTAAAGGGGTGAAATCTACCCTTGATGCCTAAAAAACTTCATGAGACACATACACAACAAAGTTTCACAGTCTAATGGCCTTTGAAAAATGTCTAAAAGGGTGAAACCCGCCCTTGAGATCCAATAAAATTCATGAGACACATGCACAACAAAGTTTCACGTTCTAATGCCCTTTAAAAAATGTCTAAAAGGGCGAAATCTACCCTCGAGGTCTAAAAACCTTCAAATTTTTGTTGTAGCTCGGTGGGAACTTGGTATACACCGCGCTTCCGCCGAATGACCTACGCATCAAGCCCCTGAACGGTGGCCAAGAACTGACCGGCGCCCAACTATTCAAAAAGCTTCAGCTCGAGGCGGAGAACCTACGAAAGGAGAAGAAACGCAACACGTACTCGGGCATTCACAAGTACTTGTACATGCTCGAGGGGAAATCTCTGTACGCCTGCCTTACGAATACGACCGGCGACGTGATATCGTTCCCACCAATCACGAACAGCGAACTTACGAAGGTGAGTCGAGCCCGCTCTTTCTACAACTGTACGATGACGCCTTTCAGATGACCATGTCGACCACGTCCCTACTCATCGAAGTGACCGGCGCCGGCTCACAGGGAGCCTGTAAAAAGGTGGCGGACACACTGATCAAAGAAATGGTTCCGCTATTCGGGGGGAGCCTAACTATACAGCAGGTGAAAAACGTTGACGTCGACGGTAATCTAAAGTCGGTGTACCCCTCACGAACCGATCTAGTTTTCGACGATAACAGCGGCATCGCCGTGCTACGAGAATAAGTTACACGTTTTTTAATGTTTCACAATAAAGCTATACATTTAACAATACTCTTTTTGGAATGCCCTTTACTCGCGTTTCTCGCGTCGACGTTCATTAACGTCGATAATGGAGAGATTCTTGCTGGCGACGAACAGGTGCAGCAGTGAAATTCCGGATTTGATCAACGCCACCGGAGTGGACAGGTAGAGGACTATGCGGTAGAGAGATATACCTAAGACTGGAGAAACGTTACGATTTGTAACACGCACACGCCCTCGTGACTTACTCAGCGGGCCCTCGGTGAAGTGCAACAGGTAAAGGGCACAGTAAAATGCTTCGTTACCGAAGCACATCCAGAAGAGAACGGTACGATTGGTGTAGTAGAGGTTCATGATGGGATTCTCGGACATGTCGACGAATTTGTGGCTACTTTTCCCTTGTAGGAGCGAGCTGAAAGATTTAATTATCCCCTTGCGCGTGCGGTTTTTAATTACGTATGAAGGAAGATCCAGTGGCAGGCAATGTCGATTGTCATGGAGAGAAGGAGCCAGAACGAGTACCGCGGGTAAAACGAAATGAGGACGGCGCACAGGCACATCGTACCGCAACGGTCGGTGAGCTGATCGAGCATGGCGCCAAATTTCGTGCTCTGATCGAAGTATCGTGCGGCGTATCCATCGAAGGCGTCGAGAAGGGCGGAGAGGACGTAGCAAGCGGTCGCCACTACGTAATTCGTGGGCATAAAGTAAAAGGAGATGATCGCGAGGATTATCCGCCCGTAACCTGCAACTAAACACTGTAGGGATGTAATGCATTTAATTAACGTTACCGATAATGTTTGGCACAAAGAGGAATATATTTTCCGAACTCATTTTTGTAGTTTTAACTTTACATTTCCACTTTTGTGGTTTCGTATTGATTTAATTTGAGATTTGCGCCAAATCGGCGCTAGATGGCGCTACGCCGAAATCACTAGACAATTCATTGTTATATACAGGGCCGCCATGCTCAGAAAGTCCCTGACAAGGCGCGTCCGAGAACGCTAGATTTTTACACCGTACATTCTGATGCAAAGTTGATTCTTTAGTGCTACATCAGTTGCATAACATTAAAACGCTTTTTACACCTGAATTGGGTCTAAACTCTCTGATAAGTGTCTAGACGGAACCCAAATGACATAAAAAGCTTTTAATCTACTCTAAAGGATATAAGAGGGCCTTGAAAAATATCGAAGGATTGCCAAGTGCATTGAAATGCTTTAATGATAACGACCATAGGCGCTTTCTTTCGGTGATCCAAACGCGTTTGGATTGTCAAATCACGTTCTTTCGAAGTGTGATCTTATGATCATGATTGCTAAAATCGTGAACAAACTGAACATAAAAGTTTTATGATCACGAATTCCTAACCTATAAATGCAAGGATATTTTTGCTCAAATGTTCGATTAGTCAATATTTGTAACTGAAGAGGAGCATAATTGTGCAAGTACTTCCACTTGTATTTAAATTATTTTCATAATCCAAACAAAAAATACGTAATTCGAATGCAAATGTGTACTATACGTAAACTTAACCATACTTTGATTTAAATTCGCGCGTTCTTTCGTAAAACGTGATCCTACGAATCACGATTTTGAAATCATGATTGCTAAGCAGCCGAAAGAAAGCGCCTTAAGTTTACAAGGTCTTGCCGTTGTTTAGTCGCCTCTTACGACAAGTGGTGCCTCCACTACTGGGAAATTCTGCTACCCGTCCCAGTACGGGAAAAGCGCTTTACAGCTTTTCTAATTCAAAACGTTTCTGAAACTGATATGCTTTCTCCAAAACTAGATGGGCCCTAAAAGCGCGTGGGGGTGCTTAAGAAGCTATAAAAAATACAATTAGATCCTTCTAAGGTCTCTCTAGAGCAAATAGTCCATGAGCTGGTCACAGGGTGTTCTGGAAAGCACCAAGTGGAGCTCTAAGATGATTTAAAAGACATGTAAAATATTCTGCCTAGAAAACTCTGGCAGAAACCTAATATGCTCAAGACTATTTGGTACAAATTTCATTGCGCTCGACGTGCAAACAGCTATGAACGTTTTAAGAAGTAAATTTAAATGTGGCAACGCCGTCGCATAGCAATTTTCATAGCAGTACCCGAGACACACATCCACTGTGTAAGAGACACTGCTTATACAGGGTAATTCTTATTTTGTTTATTATTACATAAGTGTCAAAATCTGTTTTAGATTTAATTAATTGAGAATGTCCATGTTGTAGAATAATGCGAATAAGGCGCCCCTACAAGCTGAAAACCCAAGACTTGCTCTTAGTGACACTGCTCGGTGTTGTTAGCGGAGTGTACATTTGGAAACCGTTCTTCGAGCCGAAGCCCGTCGCCATCGAGAAGAAACCAGAATGAACGGCCTCGTCAAGCTAGCGAGATCCCCATTCGGAAAGTTCGTGGGAATGTTCAGCGCTATCTGCGGCGGTTACTACCTCGTTTCACACTACTTGCGACCGTACCACAAGCGATGGCGAATGAGGGAGTCCGAGGCTTTCGCGAATCAGGTTTACGACTTGGAAGAGCGACAAAAAGTAGATTAGTTGTTGATTTTGTTGTAATAGTTTAATAAATAATAAATTTGATGCGTTTTGTTTTTTTGGCGGGAGATGGCGCGCGCACTTGACACACTTAAAAATTGACAGTTACATTTAACCAAAAAATGTGAGAGGGAAGGTTTTTAGTGTTAAAAATAATAGAATTTGTACCTGAAAATTGGTTTTATCGCTGTATTTATGTTTGGATGTAATTATGCCCGCGTCTATCGGTGTTAATTTGCGTGTGACTGGCAACTGCTGCCAAGGCGGGAGGAAGTACATGGAAGATTTTTTTTCTGTTGCTTACCAACAAACTGAGGATGAGAGGGATCTCGAGTACGCTTTTTTCGGCATATACGACGGTCACGGGGGTGCGGAGGCCGCGCTGTACGCCAAGGAGCATCTGATGGAGTTAATTGTTAGGCAGAAGAATTTCTGGAGCGATAACGACGAGGATGTTTTGAAAGCGATTAAGGAAGGGTACATAGCAACCCACTACGCTATGTGGAAGGAGCAAGGTGAGTGAGGAGACTCAGTAATGTGTTGTTTACCCGTCGTGCTTTAGCCAAATGGCCGAAAACACCGTCCGGACTTCCGAGTACGGCCGGCACGACCGCCAGCATAGCGTTTATACGGCGAGGGAAAATTTATATCGGTCACGTGGGCGATTCTGGAATAGTCTTGGGTAAGTTTCGCGTAAACGGCGAACGTTGCTTTACATAACACGCTTTTAGGTTACCAAAACTCGGATTCGCCGGATTGGTTAGCGAAACCGCTAACGAAGGATCACAAACCGGAAAGCGCCGGTGAAATACAACGGATTAAGCAATGCGGGGGGAAGGTGGTTTCGAAATCCGGTACGTTAGCAATTCGGCACGGTCGTCGTGCTTATCTTTGCGGTTTTAGGTGTGCCTCGGGTCGTGTGGAATCGTCCACGGTTGGGACACCAAGGTCCGATCCGTCGCTCGACCCCGATAGACGAAATTCCGTTTCTGGCGGTCGCGCGCAGTCTCGGCGACCTGTGGTCGTACAATTCTCAGCTGGACGAGTTCGTGGTGTCGCCCGATCCGGACTGCATGGTGATCCCGATCGATCCGAACTCGTTTCGGTGTCTAATTTTCGGCACGGACGGCCTCTTCAACATGCTAAAGCCGCAGACCGCCGTGTGCATCGTGCACGGCGCGGAGAGGCACAACGAAATCGCGGCGTTAAGCGACGACCGAAGCAAAGTGTGGATCAATCCGAGCAAGTTTCTGGTGGAGCATGCGTTAGATCGGTGGTCCGTGATGAGAATGCGCGCCGACAACACCTCGGTCATCACTCTCCTGCTCGACCCGCCCGGCCCGCCGCGTGCCGAGGTGCTGCAAAATCGCAAGTGCAAGGCGTATCCGGATAGCGGGCTAGAGATAGTAACCCGCTTCGAGGGCGGCGCGGAGGCGGCCCCCAAGCGACCGTTCGCCGACGAAGACAAGCCGAACGTCGATCAGAACATCCAAGTCAACAGTAGAGAAGTCGGCGAGGCGACGACGTCCCTGAAACCCACATGCGAAATTAGTACAAATACAGATCTAGAACGGAACATACCAAAGAGTCGCGAGAGTCTGAGCTACGACGTGCGCGAACCCGAAAACGTCCAAATCCACGAGATCTCGTCGAGCTCGAACGACGAGGACGCGCCCGAGACGACGAAGACCAGGCCCAAGATCGACCGCACGTGCAAGAAGTCGATAACGCAAACGCTCAAGATCCAGAAGAAGTCCAAAAAATTGAAGGAGGAGGTTCTCGCCGTGCGACAGCTCCGGGTGCGGACGAGGTCGGGCGCCGCGACCGCCGAAAAGGTGTGGACGAACGCGTCGATTTTCCTGCGGAAACGGAATGTGCTTAGAACGTCGCGGTTGGAGGGACCGTCGCGCGCCCGACGGAGCAACTTGGAGAACACGAAGAAGAACGAGACGAAACAGAAAAAGGAAAGCGTACAGAAACGGTTACGCGGCCGACCGTTGGAGATGAAGAACAACGTAGGATATCTACCGAGATACGGATTAAGGAAGGACTTTAGTAGTAGTAGGTAGAGGAGGCGTACGAAGAATTCTTGTGTATTTTTACAATTTTATTTTTGCATTAATTTTAAGTCAATTTTATTTTGTACGATAAGGAGTTTTTAACAAAATTAGTTCGTAAGATTCAAGACTTTGGTGCCTTTTTGTTAGTTTTCGAAATTTTACCGAGCGGAATCGTTTATTCACGTTCAATAAAGAAGAACCTAATGCATATTTTCTGTAATAAAAAGAGAACAAAAATAGGAAAATAAAAATTATTTTGTGACATCGTTTTTTTCAATTGTTTCTATTCATGTTGCTTACCCGAAAAGAGGTTTGGAATACAGAAGAAAGGCTTAGTTTTCTTCTCTGATTTTTTTACGCATTGCATTGTAACAGGTAAGGGAAATTTACACATACCGCTTCATAGTAAACGTGAACGAAAGTATGTCGGGAGATAAAGGCGATAACCAGCGCGCATTTCTAACAAAACGCAGCTCGACAATGTTGCCAGTTCTAAAAAATGCAACCATGCATGGAACTTCACATCAACTCCCTGATAACTTCTTAACGCGAGCTGTCAAATTTATTAAATTTACACGGCCTTTTCTCAATCGTAATTTTGATGCTTCTACGTATTAAATATATCCACAAAAGTGTTTCCTATTTTCCAATCGTTTCCAATGTTTCTTGTCAGCTTTAGGACAATAATTAGAGGGAGAAATGGTACAGATTTCCATCCAAATAGGTCTGCTCTTGAGAGAGTTATACGTAATTCAATAAATAAAATATCGATTTTGTTACCAAAAAGGCATTTGCCATTATTGATCGAAACTCTACCGCAAGAAATTTGGCAAGTGATTTAATAAAACCTACTGCCAATGTTTTATTGGTCAGTTTAAAAGCGTCGCGGCGCAACGAAGAGGAAGGGTGGGGGAAGGGGCTGATGATTTCAATTACGATCTTAATAACGGGGAGTATGGAATACTCGTCCCAGCTATACCAATCCAATATACACGAAAAGCTTAATAGTACGAAAAGGAATTTTGAATGTCTGTTTCTGAGACGGTATAAGGTTGAGGATATTCCATAATGGCACTTTCCATACTAATTCAATGTGTTAGAGAGAGAAAAAGCATAGGCACGATGGTATGATCTCTCTCTAACACATTGACATATTAAAAGGTCTATCCATTGCCAGAGAGGGTTGCAATTTTTGTGGTTCATTTGTTTCTGTGACATGGTTTTGTTTAATGGGCCCACAAACCATCCCGTAACTGCATAATAAGATCCCTCTCCCCTTCCTGTCAAATTAATTATAAAGTTATGAAAAATCTCCCAATTTATATCTCTCCACCCATATACCATCATCCCTACACGAAAATCTTGATCTTGAATTTTTCAAAAGTTCATGAAATATTTTTGTTTCTGTTTAATGAGTCCCCAAATCAGCCTAGAATTGCATAAAATTGCCCCTCTCCCCCTTCCTGTCTCAAAATTATTTAGAAACCTCCGCCCTAACAGGCAGTGAGACTGTATTGATAGGCGTCGGTTTAGTCGGGAAGGAAAGTTCTTGAATGAGTATCTATAATGGGAGGGGGGGGGGGGTTTTTTCTGTGAGGGATTTTGTTTAAAGGGTCCACATAATATTGCATAGACCCCCCCCCCCAACTTCCTGTTTCAAAATTATTAAAAGCTCTCGCCCTGATATATGAGGGTAACCATCTATCATCTATACCCATTGCCAAAGTTACACTTTTTATGATTCATGAAATATCTTTGTTTCTGTGACTGAATTTGTTTAATGAGTCCACAAATCACCCCATAAAAAAACTCCCCCTTCCTTTTCTGTCAAAATTATTTAGAAATCTCGCCCTTACAGAGTAGTCTGTATCTATCCATTACCAGGGTTGGAATTTTTATGATCCATGAAATTGTTTTTTGTCTCTATAACTGATTTTGTTTAATGAACCATCCCATCATTGCATAAAAAGATCCCCCCCCCCTTCTTGTCTTAAAATTATAAGATTATTGAAAAATTTCTCAGAATACCTCTCCACTCCACCCCAATACACGAAAATTTTGGTAGTAAGGTACGAAAAGGAATAATTAAGAATATTTATGACTGTGATGGTATGGGGGGGGGGGTGTATAAATCTTAAATTCATTTGCCAGTAGATACAAGAGTTCATGAAATATTTTTATTTCTGTAACTGATTTTGTTTAATATGAGTTCCCGAACCACCCTATGGATTGCATAAAACAAACCCCTCCCCCCTCATGTCTCAAAATTATGTAGAAATCTCGCCCTTACAGAGTAATTATCTATCCATTGCCAGGGTTGCAATTTTTATGGTTCATGAAATATCTTTGTTTCTGTGACTGAATTTGTTTAATGAGCCCATAAACCACCCCATAAAAAGACCTCCCCCCTCCTTTTCGGTCAAAATTATTTAGTAATCTCGCCCTTACCGAGTAATCATCTATCCACTGCTATAGGGTTGCAATATTTATGGTACATCAAATATTTTTGTCTCTGTAACTGATTTTGTGTAAATCAACCACCCCATCATTACATAAAAAGATCCCCACCCCCTCCCTTCTTGTCTCAAAATTATATGATTATTTAAAAATCTTCCAGGATACCTCTCCATCCCAGTACACGAAAAACTTGATAGTAGGTATGAAGGAATAATATTAATATTATTTATTACTGTGATGGTATTGGAGAGGGGGAGGGGGAATATGGATTGCATAAAACAAACCCCTATCTCTCCTCATGTCTCAAAATTATTTAGAAATCTCGCCCTTATAAGGTATAATCATCCATCCATATTGTCAAGGGTTGCAGTTTTTATGGTTCATGAAATATCTTTGTTTCTGTGATTATGTTTAATGAGTCCACGAACCACCCCATAAACAGATCCCCCCCTCCTTTTCTGTCTAAATTATTTAGAAATCTACTCGCCCTTATAGGCAGTGAGGGGTGTATTGATAAATTACGGTAAGGGTATACGCAGGCGTCGGTTTAATCGGGGTGTATTGTGAGTGATTTTGTTTAGAGGGTTCACAAACCACCCCATAATTGCATAGACATCCCCCCTTCCTGTTTCAAATTTATTAAAAGCTCTCGCCCAGGTAGGGTAACCATCTATCATCTATCCATTGTCAGAGTTGCAATTTTTATGGTTCATGAAATATTGGTGTCTCTGTAACTGATTTTGTTTAATGAACTACCCCATCATTGCATAAAAAGATCCTCTCCCATTCATGTCTCAAAATGATTTAGCAACATCGCCTTTTTATATGGTAATAATCTATCTATTGCCAGGGTTGCATTCCCCCCCCCCCTCATGTCTAAAAATTATTTAGAAATTTCGCCCTTATAAGGTAATCATCTATCCATTGCCATTGTTTCATGAAATATCTTTGTTTCTGTGACAGATTTTGTTTCTTGGGTCCACAAACCATCCCATTATTGTATAAAAAGACCCCCCCCCCCGCGATTGTTGTCTCAAAATTTATAGCTATTGAAAAATCTCCCAGAATACCTCTCCAGCCACCTTAGTACAAAAAAGAATGTTGAATATTTGTTTCTGTGATGGTATGGCTGGGAGGTATTGCATACCCCTCAGTGGGGTGGGGGCATACAATACCACCAAACCAGCAGAGTGCCCTTTTGAGCAAAGAAGAATATGATGATTCTATCTATTTTACTCCTATCACTTTCATAGCAACAATTCTTTGGGAAAAGGATCGCATATACGGCCCAGATTTACCAGTGCTATGTTCTCCCCAAACACGATTTAGAACCCTGCCTACTGCAGAAGAGAACGTACTACCACGTGATCTTCGGGGGTGCCATAGGTGCTCAATTTTATTTAATGAAAGTGGGGTTTTCAACCCTTGTAAATTTAACTAATCCGTGCGTGTTTCTGAACCAAAATTAAATAAGAGAAGAAGGGGAAGACGTGTAGCCCTAAATTACTTCAAGTAACAACAGTTTAAGACAAGGTTTTAGAGCTCTGTCCATGTAAAAACATTTCATTAATTTAAATTCGTATTCTTAATCGTTTTAAGGTCAATAAAGAAGAACCTAATGCAAATTTCGTGTAATAAAAAGAGAAGACAAACATTTTGAATTATTTCTAGATATATTATGGCACTATAGTGAGGTTTAGTTGCCCCCCCCCCCTGCCATCGTCCTATACATCTTTATTTCTCCTCTCGCTTTGACATGGTGAGTTGGCTGTGGGGTTTAAAAATTGTCAGGACTAAAGAAGACACTCAGAGGCGAGTCGTTGGTGGAGGGGGCTACTTAACCCCCCCCGCCATTATTCAGATACTAAATTCCTTAATCATAAATCAATTAAAATTAGATCTTCGTCAGTTCCATACGATTTTCGAGCATCCTCGAGCGCATCAATCGACATCACGCACACCCCTACAACCGAGGCGGTTAATCGGTCAAGAATTCAAACACTTACGATTGTGAAATGAGGGATTGCGATAGTACACCTTTCGCCTCGACTTGTTATAGCCGCACAAGACGATGTAATGCCCCTGATAGCCGGCGGGCCACGGCAGGCACTGTCGCAGCTCCAACGAGACCTTGTTCAACTTGCACAGATCGCACGTGAGCAATCGCGCGTTAGTCAAAACGATCGCCGGACCGTTCAGCCGGAGATGCCTCAGGATGGTTACGATCTCGACGGATCCCTCGTGAACGTTAATTCCGTACATTTTCGCCTCGCCAAATCTACTATTTATTCGTTGTTCGTCCTACACAAAAGAATCATGAACGAACTTTTACGAGATGCATACCTTCGCGAGGACCGTGCGGTAAAAAGCGTTACTGTGGTAGCCGGGGTGTATTCCGATGGTCACCGTGTAAAAGTTGTGATCGACGTTGTATCTACGTAGAAGGTAGCACAGGTCGATGGTCCACGTGCTGAAATCGCTCAACTGGTTTAGTGGCTCGATTGCGGTCCTTTACCTTCGGTGAAAGCCCTCGTCCTTGCAAACGCTGACGAAGTCGCGCGTAAACGATTCCCTGTCCGCTTCGGTGAGGACCATGAGAACGCATGCTATTCCGCAGTCCCAATCGTAACGTTGCCGAGAGTGGCGTAGGTTTATGAAGACCTTTTCGGGCAGCTCTCTCAGATCCACCACTGATTCTTCCATGAGAGGCACGACTAGGAAGCAGTTGCGGGTGTTAGTCGTTTGAAGGTAAACATAACCTGCAAAATTACAATTTAAATTATTTTTCAAGGGCAAAACGAAACTAATTACGATGATGCAGTACACCAATTTCAATGGAAATTAAGTAATTTTTTCACACTCTACTCGATACCATAAGAAGAAACTAACCCTGTATATTAGCGTGACAGTAGTTCTAGTGTCCCATTCATTGAATCTACCTACAACACTAATTAATAGTTCCGATATTCCGATCGTAGTTCACATGTGCCAAGGATCTCATTAGCAAAACTGACCCTCCTAAAAAAACTTGTCCTCGAGCCAAGAGGCAGTTCCTCGTCTTTGTTTCCAAAGGGGGGCGAGTTGTGGTGATCGTCGTCATAATTCGAAGATGCCAAGCAAAAAGAGACACTAATCACGTAATGCCTTCCCTCCGTAAACGAGTGTCGAGCTACTTCCGACAACTCAGCTTTTACAATGAGCCACGAGAGAAGAAGTACAACGTCAACGAGAACTCCTTTGTGACGAAATACTTGGAAGGGTATATCCGTTGTTGTGTCGTTGTCACATTGATTTCTCACGCTAATTCGTAGACAAATCACGGTTAAGGATGGGTCGCCGATTTTGTACGGTAAGAATCCGACCGACTTGCCGAATTACGACTTGGGTTTGTACGATGTCGGACCGACCACAATCGTTGGGTGCTACTCGGGACCCAACGGCGGACTGACGACGGTTAAACGAACCGAAAAGCACCTCTCAGTGCCCGATACCGATATCGACTTCATCGACACCCAAGACGAAGTCGAAGGTAACTATATTCCGCGAGTCGTAAGTAAGTACACGTTTTCTTGTAAGTTCCAGTTAAAAAGACGTCGCGTAAGCACGTCGATAATACGACGATGCTTATAAAGGTGGCGGGTCAGGAATATTTAGTTACGAATCGTAAAAAAAAAGAGAACAAAAGTCACAGTTTGGGTAGCTTGTCCGACTTAGAGGTCGAGAAAACTAAAATTTGTACCGATAATAATAATAGCGTAACGGTTAAGTGTAAAAACCAGGAGATCGCCGCCGGTCGCGGTCGACAGGAGCAAAACGAGAGGAGGAAGGGCGTCCTCGTCGTCGACGCCACCCCCGCGAGGCCGAGTTACGGATTGTCCAAATCTAAAAGTGAGGGCAATCCGTTTCAGCAAAAGAAAAAGGGGAAAATTGTTAGGCTAGCGACTCGACCCAGTGACGGTAAATTTTATTGGCTCGCGCATGCGTTTTTGACGTTGCTGTTGTGCATGTGCATGCGTTTTCGTGATGTAGATTTAGGATGCGCGTTCGGAGTTGTCGAGGTCAAAGGATCAGTTTGCGTTATCAATTAATTAAGCTAAAATTGAAATTATAGTCTCTAAAATGACAGGGGGGCGAGTGGGGGAGACAACCTTTGATGATGAGCAAATGAACATTGAATGTTTCTCTATCTTGATACCCCCCAGACCCCCCCGTGTCTACGTTCAGTGGTACTTTTTGAAAAAGGGATAAGTGAGCGTATCATTTTGATGGACAATGTAATACGGGGGGGTCTGGGGGGTATGGAATACCCCCCAGGAGCAGGAGAGAGAAAGATTCAATGTTCATTTCCTTATCATAAAATCTTGTAGACCCCCCGGTATTACATTGTCCATCAAAATGATACGCCCCCTTATCTCTTTTTGAAAAAGTACCACTCAACTTAGACCCGGGGGGTCTGGGGGGTATAACACTCCCCCAGCGCATCCGAGACTTTTATGATGAGGAAATGAACATTGAACCTTTCTCTCTCTTGATACCCCCAGACCCCCCGGGTCTACGTTCAGGGGTACTTTTTGAAAAAGGCATAAGTGGGAGTATCATTTTGATGGACAATGTAATACCGGGGGGTCTGGGGGGTATGGAATACCCCCCAGCGCCTACAAGATTTTATGATGAGGAAATGAACATTGAATCTTTCTCTCTCCTGCTCCTGGGGGGTATTCCATACCCCCCAGATCCCCCAGTATTACATTGTCCATCAAAATGATACGCCCCTTTATCTCTTTTTAAAAAAGTACCACTCAACTTAGACCCGGGGGGTCTAGGAGGTATAATACCCCCCCAGCGCATACAAGATTTTATGATGAGGAAATGAACATTGAATCTTTCTCTCTCTTGATACCCCCCAGGTCTACGTTCAGTGGTAATTTTTGAAAAAGGGATAAGTGGGCGTATCAATTTGATGGATAATGTAATACCGGGGGGTGTGGGGGGTATAACACTCCCCCAGCGCATACAAGAATTTTATGATGAGGAAATGAACATTGAATCTTTCTCTCTCTTGGTACCCTCCAGACCCCCCCAGGTCTACGTTCAGTGGTACTTTTTGAAAAAGGGATAAGTGGGCGTATCATTTTGATGGACAACGTAATACCGGGGGGTCTGGGGGGTATGGAATACCCCCCAGTGCCTACAAGATTTTATGATGAGGAAATGAACATTGAATCTTTCTCTCTCCTGCTCCTGGGGGGTATTCCATACCCCTCAGACCCCCCGGTATTACGTTGTCCATCAAATTGATACGCCCCCTTATCCCTTTTTGCAAAAGTACCACTGAACTTAGACCCGTGGGGTCTGGGGGGGGGGTATAACACTCCCCCAGCGCATACAAGAATTTTATGATGAGGAAATGAACATTGAATCTTTCTCTCTCTTGTTCCTGGGGGGTATTATCCCCCCCCAGACCCCCCGGTATTACATTCTCCATCAAATTGATACGCCCTCTTATCTCTTTTTGAAAAAGTACCACTGAACTTAGGCTTGGGGGGTGTAATACTCCCCCAGCGCATACAAGAATTTTATGATGAGGAAATGAACATTGAATCTTTCTCTCTCTTGATACCCCCCAGACCCCTCGGGTCTAAGTTCAGTGGTACTTTTTGGAAAAGTGGGCGGATCATTTTAATGGACACTGTAACACGGGGGGGGGGGCGGGCTGGGGGGGGGGTATTGAAATAATTCGTGACGATTTAGTAAATTGATCCTTTGACATCGGTGGCGCATGGAAATTATGCCTGACACGAAGATTTCCGTCGGCTAAAGTTACTAAAGCGGCGTAATTTTTAGGCGCAACAGGCGGGGGCGAAGACGACCCGATCCTACCCGAGAGTTGGAATCGTAAAACCGATTACGCGTTCGGAATTTCCGATTCCCTGTACGACAGGAACCAGGTGACGAAGAATCGCAACGGCGACCCGATCGCGGATTGCTTTGGAATAATCGCGCGAGGCGATTCGGCCATTCTCGCGGTGGCGGACGGCGTGAACTGGGGGGAGAAGGCGAGTATCGCCGCGAAATCTGCGATACACGGTTGCCTCCACTACCTCGACAAGACGATTTTTAACGACACCAAACCGTTCGACGAGATTAGCGCTTCCAAGGCAGACGCGATTATTAGTCAGAATCGTGTGAGTAACACTCGAGAGGTTTTCGTTTGTCTTCTACGCGCGTTCCACTGCGCACACGATCTCATCTTGGAAAATCAGGGGATGCTTACGACCCTAACCGTAGCCGTAGTTCTACCCTTGAAGGTGAAGGACGAGGTGGAATCCGTGTGTTGTGTTTGCAACGTGGGGGACACCCTCGCCTACGTTTACTCGCACAAGTACGGCGTGCGCGAGCTAACGAAAGGTAAGTTAACTCCGCCCACTTCCGCTTTTAACATGAACCCGCCTAGGCTCGCACGACGTCAACTGTAATCGAGACATGCGCGACGCCCTAGGCGCCCTCGGTCCAGTGGACGGCATCAATCCCGAACTAAGCAACCTAACCCTTTCGATCACGACCGTCCATAAAGGCGACATTATAATGGTGGCAAGCGACGGACTGACGGACAATTTCGATCCGAACGTCTGCAAGTTCACCGTGAACACAAAGGACGCGCTCAAGCCGAAGAGAAGCGTCGCGAAAGACGCCCACGCGACCTCCTCCAAGGAGGCGGCGCCCGCGAAACCGCCGCGCAAAACCAAACCGGAAAACGTCAAGACCACCGACAATCCGCTAAAAGTCCAATTTCTGCGCGAGAACTCGCTCGAAGCGGAGGGGCGCGCCCACTCCACCTTCAACCCTCGCCCGAGACAGCCGCCGGTGAAAACCGGCGCGACGTTCGCGCGCTCGAAGACCTCCCTAGACATGCGTGCCGGCGCGAAGATCATCCTGAGGAACGAGGACGGCGTGCCGTTCGTCTCCCCCGTCCAACGCTACGAAATCTCCCTGCTGCTGATGGAGGACATCCTAAAGAGGGGCATATCCGGCCAGGACCTGCAGTGCACGACCGCGAAGAAGGCGTGCGAGAACCTGGTGAGCTTCGCATTCAGTATATCGTCGGCGAAACGTCACACGCTCGAGGACGCCGACCTCTACTTCGACAACGTGAACGGCGTAATGGTCGAGGTGTCGCAGCAGGAGAAGAAGCTGCGCAGGCGCAAGGGGCTCGAGCGCGTGCAGAACCTTCCCGGAAAGTTGGATCACGTCAGCATCGTCGCGTACAACGTCGGCAACTACGCGCACGCGTACTAAAAGTGCAATATTAGTCTTCGCATTTACTTTGATCTCGTCTTTCGTACTTTTATAAGTCAGAGTATTTTACTATACTAAAATAAAGCTCTATTTTGCATTGCAGCTCGTTTACTTTACGTGTAGGATGTAAGTGACCAGTAACTTCGCTAATTTTAGGTTAAGTTACTAATTGTTATGTTCTGTTTGTGATCTGTAATCTATATATACACTTATTCTCTATGTTTAATTCGAGATTTGTTTTCTGTCGATGTTAACTTTTTTAACGAATAAATTTGTGTTTCCATTTATATACTGAGCAGTCAAGGGCGAGATTTACAGGTTCAGGTAGATAGTGACTTCTACGCTCCTGATAAGAATGATTGGATTTCTCTGTGAAACCAGAGGGGGTGTAAAACGTGGCGGCTGCAAGGGTATCCTAGCCATCAAAGGCACAGCAAGTTTGAAAAAGACGTATCATGTTCTCCTGATACAAACTACTCTTGAAGAAATGGTATCCGGACCACGGGAATGCAACACTTTCCTGATACAAATTCTAATGAAAAGAGGCATCAAGATTACAGGAACGCCAGAAGGTGTATTGGACTTATTGAATGAGATTTTTTTTATATGTCATCCTGATACAAATTTATTCCTATACAAAATTGAAGTGAGAAGGTATCGAGGTTTTCGAAGAGATATTTTCCTACAATTTTCTGTATAAGAGACATACGTTTGACATAATATATGCTCCCCTAAAGCACATAGGAGAGATTTTGTGCTCTCCTAATACAATTTTCGTGTACAAATTTAATGCAAGGAATTGGAGAAGAATTATACCATAAAAATAGTTGTATCCGGAGGTCCTTATGTTCTCCGGGCACAAAAGACAGTTGAGTATTAAAATCACAGGAATGTAAGAAGATCTAGACGTTATTGAATGGCGTTTTCAAATGTAATTATGCTCTCCTGATACAAAATTCATTAAAAAAGTAGGTACATGTAACAAAATCTCAAAGCCTTTTTTTTATAAATGCAATGAGAGTGCTAGGAGTAATAGAGAAAGAACTACCAAGTCCTCCGAGGCCGAGGGTACTCTCTCTGAAGCTGGGGGAGGGGGATTCCATACCCCCCAGTAATCCACTTCTCGAAGGAGAAAAGGAAAATTTTTGACTGTCTTTTCCCAAAAATTATCGCATGCGAGCGAACGATTTTGAAAAATAACGTAATACCGGGGGGGGTCTGGGGGGTATGCAATGCCCCCCGCATACCACTAAGTGACTACCTTTGGCAGATTGCCATGATGAGCGCGCTAGGGAGAAAGAATGATCATTCTCCTCTTTATGCCGAGGATAGTCTCTTTGCTGGGGGGTATTCTATACCCCCCCAGACCCCCCGGTCATACAATTTTTCTTTAGCTTTGCAATCTTGCGATAATTTTTAGAGACTAAGCAAGAGGAAAGAAAGATTCGATTGTTTTTTCCCAAAAATTATCATATGAGTGAACGATTTTGAAAAAGAACGTAATACCGGGGGGTCTGGGGGGTATGCAATACCCCTCGCATACGACTAAGTGACTACCTTTCGCAGATTGCCATGATGAGCGCACTAGGGAGAAAGAATTATCAAGCTCCTCTTTATGCCGAGGATAGTCTCTTTGCTGGGGGGTATTCCATACTCCCCAAACCCCCCGGTAATACACTCCTCACGGGAAACGTTTAGCGTTATAGCACTCTCGTGATAATTTAGAGACAAAGCAAGAGGATTCGACAGCCTTTTCCAAAAAATTACTATGAGAAAAGTATAGCAAAACGTTAAACGATTTTGAAAAAGACATTTCGCTATTATGTTCTTTTGATACAATTTTGTTTTTTCTCACTTAACGATCACAGAAACGCAAGAAGGTGCAGAGCTTATCGTAGGACATTTTCTCAATCATTATGTTCTCCTGATGCAAAACGTTCAAAAACTGTACCTAAGAAGCTATTAGATCTTTAATAAGTTTGAGGGAGAATCTCTTACGTATCATGTTCTCCTAATTATTTACTAAAAAATTATGGGCACTAAAGAAGGAGGGGGGGGGGGAAGAGGAATATCTTGGTGCGTTATCCTGATACAAGTTATTCTAAAAACTGAGTTGTGTTACAGTAGATGTCTAAGCTTTTGAAGGGAATTTTTTGACGTACCTATTATGTTCTCTTGATACATACACGATCACAAGAACGCAAAAATATATTGATGGCTCTCCTGATACTAATTTCGTGTAAAGATTTTCCGCAAGACGGGGATGAAGCTTTTCAATGATACCTTCCTTCATCGGGTTATGTTTTCTCTCCTCAAGAAATGTTTGTACCAGGACCACACCACCGTAAATATGTGCAGTAATCAGAGAAGGAAATTTCTTTATCTATATAAATTTGTACCTACGTATTTTATTCTCATGACAAATTGTTCTATTAAGAAATTTGTATCAGGATCGCAGGAACGCTAGAAGTTGTACAAATGTGTAAAAGTGCATAGAAGCCCTTAAAGAATACCTTTCTTTTGAATGATGTTTTCCTGATACAAACTTGTGTTGAAATATTTGTTGTATAAAGATGACAGGAACGCAGGAAGGTCTAGAACTTATTGAATAGCATTTATACAATGTCCTCTGGATAAAAATTTCGTACAGAAATTCTAACAAGTGATTTTTCAATCTTGGAGAGGCATTTTAGTTTTTGCATGTACGCTGCTCCCCTGATACAAAATTTGCTCAAAATGGTGGCAAAGCTGTCCAAACGTATGAGTTCTACTATAAATTTGTACGGAACAAATTGGCACACTTTTACCGGCAACTTCTTTTGCGCTATCTTCTTCCTCATTAACAATTATGTTTCCCTGATAAGATTTATGCTATAAAAATTGAAACACTTGAAATCTAGACGGTATAGCAACTTATTGAAGTTTTCCCGACACAAATTTCTGCTGAAAATATTATATTAGGACCATAGGAATGCAAGAAGGTGTAGTAAAGGACATTGTTTTATAATATTATTCTCCCCTGATACAAATTTCCTATAAATGTGCTGAGCAAATAGCAAGAATTATATTCTCCTGAGTTAAAACAATTGTAACAGGATCACAGGAAAGTGAGACATCTTCGATTTTTTATGTTCTCCTAATACCAGTTTCGTAAAAATTTAAAGCAAGGATGCGTTAATGTGCTTATAATGTGAGTGTAATACGTATCATGTTCGAAAAAACAAATTATTTTATAAAACTAGATGTATCAGGATTACAGAAGCGAAATAAGCTGTAGAGGGCATCTTTCATGTATTGATTAGGTACTTAAATATTGAATCAGGATCGCAGGAACGCAAGAAGTGGTAAATTAATTGACCCCTATAATACCTTGTTCCCTAAAACATCAACTACCTCGTACGCAAATTCTAGATCCTAAAATATGTTATCCTGACACTAAATGTTCTACGCTCCTGATCCAATCAATAGGCCGTTGAGGGTTGCGTTCGAATAAGAAGAGTATAAAACCTTCTCAAACAAGCCGCATCTTCGGCTACCACTAACAAAAATGTATGATCAGGGGCACATAATTCTTTTTTGGTTATCAGGAGATCATCTACGACCTCTCTAGTTTGGTGCCGAGCTGTGCCTCGAGGTTAGGTAGTTAAACTGCGACAACATCACCAAATACGTGGTGGTTGCCCCGACGATCTAAAACCGATTTGTGAATCACAGCCTGAATTAAACAACACCTACTTTGAAGACAAGGGAGAGGTCCACCTCGAGTATCCCTCCGATCGTGGTCCTCATATCCCAGTGGAGCATTTGCAAGCCGAATGATGTAACCTACAAACAAATCCGATGACTGCCCCCCCTTGGCCCTTTGTGCAACTGACCTGCTTAGAACTGGCGGTCAGGAGGGACAACTCCAAGACTCTTCGCTTGAGCAGCGTCTCGCGATTGGTGACGAGCGTCGCGGAAATGACGATGGAAAGCGTTTTCACGGCGGCCAAGGTGAGCCAGCAGACGGTGGTGAGGACGTGCTTCCAATGTACGGACCTTTTGCCGAAGAGGACCGAAAATTCGTACAGCTGCAAGATGACGACGATAAAATTCCGCAGCAGCACCATCAGCACGGGCAGCGAGTACACCTCGCCGATCACCTGCCGAACCTGGCAAAGCTCTTGGAGTAGACGTCGAGTTTTTGGCAGATTATCCTCGGTCAGACCGGCGTGGAGTGCCTCCAGCCTGACCTTGAGCGATAGCATCCACGCTTGAAAGGCGGAAACTGTGCCGATCATGTAAAAGCACATGATCCAGAAGAGAGTGTTGGAAACCTCAAACAAGTGCAAGCGCTGGTGAGTAAGCACTTCCTGCGCCGTGAACTGATTGCACGTGTTGACCACGATGGCGACGACGAGCCAAGCGCGGCTGTAGAGACCTACGGGCCGATTGTCCACGGTCATCTCGCCGTCGACGGCCATGATACCGTACCAGGCCTCTCTGACGCGACGGCCCCGCAGGAGGACGCTCACTACTAACGCTCCTTGATAGACGACATCCACGTGGAGGTCGACAAATATCAGGAACCAGGCGAACGCACCTTCAACTTGAAGCGGTTCCAGAATGTCGTTCTGGACCACAAACCACGAGGTGTAGCACAGGGTGACGGTGTAAAACGCAAACTTGTACAGACGCCCGAAGGGCACGTCGGCCAATCGACGCTGCCCCACGCGACCTTTTACGACGAATTCGGCAGTGCCCAGGCAGAGTTCTAGGCGCTGTGACGCACAGAGTGCCGTGTAAAAGTCTCCTCCACGTTGCATGACCACGACTGCACCCACAGACAAACAGGAGGGGGCGATTAATAATTCATCCGCTAATGTAATTTGGTTGCAACGTTCAGTCAATCAATACCGCGTTTTCGTTCATGCAATTTTTATATCAGGAGAAAATAAAAGTAGCAATTTTAAAGCTGCATGTGCTCCTGGTACCAATTTTTTTTGAGAAATGGATCTCCACCTCTCCACAACGTAACAAACAGAAGAATGGGTCGTTTTCTAGTTGCTTTGTAGGATTCTGTTTATCTGGTCTCCTGATACAACTACCACTGTTTAAAGATATCACGCATTAGAAGATTTAAATCAGCATTCTGTGTTCCTTTGCGACAAATGCCGTTTTTTCCTGAACCTTCTTGCGCTCCTATACTCCTAATACATTTTTGACACCTTTTATGTTAGTATCAGGAGAGCATAGTACCTGACAAACTGCACTTCAACAATTTCCGGACCCTATTGCGTTTTTGTGATATTGATGCAACAATTTTGTAAAGAAAAATGTGAATTAAGAGAACATTATAATCAAAATGTGGACCAGGAGAACATACTATCATAATCAATACCTCCTTTCTATTGATTTTTAGGCGAAATTCGTAACAGGAAATCGCAATACTTCAAGTTCAAAGGTTTCTTTTTTTTCTTCCGCTTCTGTAACCCTGACACAACAATTTTCTAAAAAAAAGCTTGGTATCAGGAGAATACAACACGCAAGATAGGGGACGGCGCTTTTGCGATCCTGCTACAACGTTTTGAAAAAAAGTGTGTTAGGAGAACCTCATATGAAAACATTGTTCTTGCGTTCTATTTATAATCAAAACTTGTATCAGGAGAATATACTACAAAAGACGATGGCCACCTTCCCATAATGAAGGTTGCAATACTCAAGTTCAAAGGTTTCTGAAGCTTTTGCGCTTCTGTGTTCCCGATACAAGAATTTGTAAAAAAAAAAAGGTTTGGATCAGGAGAATGCACCACGTTGTTTCAGAAATATCCACACCTCTTCGCGTTCAATTTTTTTTGACAAAATGACAAAAGGTATCAGGATACCCTGTTACTTTTTAGATTAAATCCGTATTAGGAGAGCACAATAATAAGAAAGTGGGCTTCAAAGGCTTCCTAAAAAAACTTCAAAACTTCGACACCTATGTTGGATTTTTGGATTTAAAATTTGTATCAGGAGGGCATAATACTATCATATTAAGTGAAAAAGTGCACTTCAACGATTTTGGGAACCTTCTTACGTTTCTGTTATCCGAATCCTACAATTTTGTTTCGAGAAAAAGATGCCCCTCAAAGAATAAAGTAAAAAATTTTCTTTTCATCGCAGAACTATCAGAATTACAGAAACCCGAGATGGTCTTTTAACTAGTAGTAACAAATTAGCGAAAGCTGTCAGTGGCCTGTTCTCCTAATACTAGTTTTTGAGTTTCTAAATTAATTTTAGAAGGATTATAGACACTCGAAAACGTTTATAATTCTCTTGTTCCTGTGACCCTAATACCTCAATTTTTAGAGAAGAATTTGTACCATGAGAACATAATACGTAAGGAAGTGCAGTGCACTTGGACTAATTTTGAACTGTGCTACGCTTTTGTGATCCGGATACGGTTTTTCATAGAAAAACTGTGTATTAGGAAAATATAATACGAAAATTTCTACCAGGAGAACATACTACAAAAGATGGCCCTTCAGGACAGAACAATACCAAAAGATGGCCCTTCAGGACAGAACAATACCTTCTTTTTATTGATTTCTAGACTAAATTCGTATCAGGACTGCATAATAACGCGCTTCAAAGGTTTCTGAATACACTTTCGTTTCTGTGGCCCTGATACATTTCCTTAAAAAAATTGTTGTACCAGGAAAACTCGAAAATGCCGCAGCTTTCTACGTCCAATTGTTATACAAAATGCGTATCAGGAGAACAATACGAAACAACGCATTATAAAAGGATGTGTCCCTCAAGGGTAACGACATCTTTTTATGGATTTTTAGACTTTTCCGTATATGTGATCCCGATACAACAATTTGCTAAAGAAGAGTTTGTATACAAAACGCGAGATGGAGGTTTTTAGAAGCTTCCACATCTCCTCCAATGATTGCATCATCTTCTCACGATGCATTTTTGAACAAAAGGTATATCAGGAGAACATAAGACGCGAGAAGATCTTTCTAAGGGCTTCAACATCCTCTTACTTTAGACTTTTGAATCAAATTCGTGTCAGGAGAGTATAGTAAGGTATGAAGGTTATCTTTAAAATGTTCTAAACCTTCACCCGTTCCTGTGAGCCCGATACAGCAATGTTTAGAGAACAATTTGTACCACGAGAACATGATACGTGAGAAGCCGTACCTCTCAGACCACTATTGCGGTCTGTTATACTGACGTTGATCGGACACTAATTATGTACTCCTGATAAAATGTTACCTCTCAAAATTCTGTTATCAAGATCGCAGAAATTGGAAGAAGTTCAAAATTGTCCGTGTGCTTTATTGTTATGGTTTTCTCTATGGCCCTGATACAATAATCGCTGGGAGAGTTCGAAGAAAGATCCAATTTCAACGCTGATATTTTGAAATGCATCGGTATCAGGAGAGCATAAGGCTCATGTCTTCAACACACCCTAATTGAACGTTAATAAAGTTTAAGGAAGTCTAATTAAAGCTTAATTATGGCACAAAAGTTGTGCGTACGAGTAAATTAACAATAATTAAGGCCTAATTATTGTAATTTGAAGTTACTTAGAAATGAGGTGCCTTCATTAGAATGTAAGAAACGTTTCCACTTTCATTGGAAATGTCGTAATTACCGATACTTTTCTGAGATTCAACTACTAATTACAGATACTTTACGAGAAGTAAACATAATAAATCACGAGAAATAATTAAAATGCAATTTCCCTCGAGTTGCGATGGCGGCGAAACAATAAATTTTCCGATGGTTAACGTAACAACAACAGTGATATCTTTATTGACAAATGTTTGTCGTATTTGCCACGCTTTATGAATTATTTACCTGTTGAAACGGCGATAAAAATGAAGGTGATTGCAAAAGCGTTTAAAAATAGTAACGCGAGTGCTCGTAAAAGTGCTCGGTAACGTTTCTGGTAAGTGAGCGATATTTATTTAGTTTAATCCGCGAGGGTGTAATTATGGCGTAATTGGACACTAATTTAGGTAGAAAATTAAGAAAAATTAGTGCGAAGTTAAAGAATTTCTGATTACTGGAAGTGAAATTTCTATCAGGAGACCACAAACCTGCTATCCTAGTACAATAATTTCTGGAAGAAAGGAGAATAAATGAATAAATTCTTCCCTATCGATACTTATATTTCTGCTATGTTGACACAATGATTTTGGAGGAGAAATTTGTATCAGGAGAGCATAATACACACTTCTGTATGTCTGGCACCCTAATACGATAATTTTTAGAAGAGAAGTGTGTAAAGGGTGAACGTAGTACGTCCTACGTATAGCTTTCTGCGTGCCTGATATACAGACGCAACAACTTTTAGAAAAAAAATTTGTATCAGGAGAGTATACTAAATTTTTCTGCAAGTGTCACGCGAACACCGCACACGATGTCAAATTATCTCCTATTTACGCCTCTGCACCGTTGTTCTATCCTGATATTTGAAAGAGATATCAGGAGAGCATAATAGTAAGGAATCGCACTTAACCTCCTCTTGCGTTTCTGTAAGACTGACGGTCCCTCTTAAGGACTTCAACGTCTTCCTCTCAAAAACTGCCGCATTTTTTTTGATAAAATGTGTATCAGGAGAACATAACGCGTAAAAAGAAAGACCACGACACTCTGTTACTATAGATTTTTTAATGAATTTCGTGTCAGGGAAGCAGAATACGTATCTTCAAAAGTTTATGAACCTTCCTCCGTTGCTCTGACCCTGATGCAATAATTTTTAGTGAACAATTTGTACCATGAGAACATAATAAGCTTCGATTTTTGATCAGAATTTGTATCAGGAGAGCACAATACCTGAGAAGGTGCAATTCATCAATTTCAGAACCGTACTGCGCTTTTGTGATCCTGATACAGGGTTATCTTAAAGAAAAAGTGTATTAGGAGAACATAATACGAAAAAGACATTCTTGCGTTATATTTATAATCAAATAAATTCCTACCAGGAGAACATACTGTTACAAAAGGACTGCACGAGAACCTTCTCCATATTGATTAGTAGACGGAATTGCGACCAGGAAAGTCGTAATGCTTAATTTCATAGTTTCTAAATTTTCTTCCGCTTCTGTGACCCTGATACAAAAATTTTTTGTGAACAATTTGAATTATGAACACATAATACGTAAGGAAGTGCCTCTTTAAAGTCTCGTGACCCTTTTATGTTCGATTTTTGGCATAATACTAATCACGATATTGAATTAGGAGTTCAGTTTTAGGCAATTGTATCAGGAGCACATAACGCGAAAAAATGGATCAATTAATGGCATTCGCTTCTTTCTAAGTTAAATTCTTAATGAGAAATAGACACTAAGAAGAGGTAAAAATCCCCCAAGGGCTTCTACCTCTTTTTTTTCGATGTATAGTTTAAAATTTGTATCGGGAGAACATATGCGTAAGAACAGGTTCTAAAGGAACGTTGACACCTCCGCTTTTTGATAATGTTTGTATCGGAAGAACATAATTGATGAGAAGGTGCATTTCAACGGTTTCTGAGCCCTCTTGTGATTTTGATAAAATTTAAAAAATGTGTACCAGGACAGCATAATACAAAGCAAAGGTTACCGACAAAATTTTTACACAAAATTTGAAATGGACATCAAGACAACATAATACGTAACAAAGCTGCCCTCAAGCGTATCGAGACTTAAGTTCAATTTTTAGAAAAAAAATTATCAGGAGCGCATAATGGGTTCAAATGCGAATTTCTGCATTGATGTATTTCTGATATAACAATTGTTAAAAAAAAACAATTTTTCTTATCAGAACATAATACCCAAGGAAGTGTACTTCAAAAACTTGTGAACCTTCTTGGGTCTCTAACTAGTCTTGATGATTTTTTTAAGAGAAATGTGTCCAGACTTTGGACACCTTCCTACGTTGTATTTTTAGGCCAAATCTGTATCAGGAGCACATAACTCCAAAAAACCTACCCATCTATGACTTTGGCACCTTCGTCTTTTATACGTGACTTTGTAAGTAAGCGTTATACTCTCCTGATACATACCAGGTACGTAACTTTTTCCAAAAACAATTGTATCAGGAGCATAAAATCCTTCACACGCCCGCTTATTATTGAACTACTTTTAAAAATACAGCACCACCAGGGAAACATAGTATGTGAGTAGGTATGGCTGGTATCTGGTAGTATCAGGAGAGCATAATATTTTGGCAAATCTTTTACTGATTGTTTTTTTGCATGAACACACCAACAAACAACATTTAAAACTACACCTTCATTATCAGGTAAAGTAAATGAAGGGGAATTACCTGGTTTCCTATTAATACCCATAAACAAGACAAATATTTCCAGATAACTTATAATTATTTGTAGCAGTTGGTCGTTCAAGAATTCAATTAAAGGGTAAAATCTGGGACTAATTAATTAATTGCGTTTGTGAAATTAACTGGATGGACGATTACGACCACGCAATTTAATTGCCGTTCATTGTACCGAAAACCAAATTTCCACACGTCTTCCCTCCATCGAGCATGGCGTAAAGGTAAACGTTGCATAATTTTATTATTAACCTTGCAAATATTCAACCATTTGCGGATAATTTTTTTTAAATTTGTTTGCGTACAGAAGGAACAATACGACGATTTTTCTTTTTAATGTAGATCACGTGAATTAATTAAATATAAACGCGACAAGTCTGTTAATTTTAATGAGTATGGGCGGTGTAGTGTCGTGAATGGTTCTTCGTCGGACTCAGGTTCGTGATTTATATCGATTTAAGTAGTTTTTAATGTAATCATGGTATAAAGAGAGCATAATTCAGTTAATTTTAAATTTCTGTGCTCCTGATATAAGTACATGCTATCTTTCTCATTGGTGAAGGCAGCGGTTGCAATGCAAACTTAGCGTCTAATGAGGCGAAAGATGAGTTTAACGTGTAATTGCCCTTGCTGCCGGCCTGTGCTCCTGATACAATCACTTTTCACTATTGTTTATTTAGTAGTAATAAATTATTTTATTCTTCACGGTCATAAACGCCGTTAAGGCAGTTTATTATTACTAGAAAGAAGATTTATCAAGTGAACATAATGCGGTGAAAGGTCCTGAAATGCAATATTAGTATCAGGAGACTACGATATGTCAGGATGCAATTGTAAATTGTTTCCACACCTTCTTCATCATCCTTAATTTTTAAGAAAATTTGTCATCAAACAACCCCGAGTGTCTGTGGTACATATACAAAAACTTTGAGATTTTGAAATGAAAACAGGGGCGCATAATCGTGGAAATTAATTATCTACAGGTGGAAAATATTGTGGTATTAGGACAAGCGTAAAAGGCGACCTCATCAAAGTATTTCTTATTTCTGCGACCCGGAAAACAATTTGTACCAGGATAACACAATACCGTACAGGACACCTCCTGATACTATGTTTGTGGGCATTTACAATGTCTTGCCCTCCTGCAATCTTAGTATCGGCCTTTTTTTTGAAGAAAATTTGTCATCAGGAGATGATAAAACACATCAGGAGAGTAGAGCGCCTTGAATGCGATTATTAATGGGTTATTTTCTATTTTGAGCTTCTGCAATCCTGATACATGAACACGCGCCAGAAAACATTTTTAGATTATTCACCTCGGATCACATACTTTTTTGCACTTTTCTATTATAATTATCTTCGCACACATCATGTGATCCTGATACGTCCTTTTTAATAAGCTTTGGTATCAAGAGAGTATAATACCGTAAAATTTGACTATACATACACTATTTCAATTTGTATATTGCCTTTCTATTTCTACGATCCTGATACAATTAATTTCTACCCCAGAAATGTTCCGGAGAATATAATACAATAGAAAACGTCTGAAAATTAGCTGTCATGCGATCATCAGAATGCTCTTGCAATAATTTATTAAAAACATCGATAAAAAGGCTGCACTTCTACGCTCCTGATAAAGTTATTAGAAAAATAGGGAGTGGCAAAAGATAATACAATAAAAGGTAAGTTCTGAACAAATTGTTTTCTGCTTTTTTGTACTACTGTGATCCTGGTAGAATTATTTTGAAAATTTGAATCAGGTGAAATTAATAGGTCCGTTAACGCGTTAACTAGTTAATTAGCAGAAATACATATAGTAACGACAAGAGTTTTATTCACACCTTCTTAAACTGTTGTTATCCTGATACAATCATTTTTGGTGCGAATAAGGAGAAATTAACACGGCGAAGGTGTCTGAAAATGAATTATCTCCTGTTACTTCCTGGCACGACTGTGATCCCGATCAATAATTTTGGGAAAGAGAACTTCAATCAGGAGGAAGGTGTCTCATAATGTATTATGGCCTATTATATATTACTTTTGCAAGAAAATGGCACACTTTCTTGCACTACTGTTATCCTAATACAATATAGGAAGAAGCATTTGTATCAGGAGTAATTAATACGGCCAAAGTGTCTGAATGTGGATTATCGACTGTTACAATAGAAATTATTATTGCAAAAACATGCCCAGAAGAACGTAATCATAACCAACAGGTACTCCATACCCCCCTCCCACCCCCCGGAATCCCCACTGCTATGTTACTCTACAAAAATGTCCAGCGTTAAGCCTCATACGATAATTTTTGAGAAAACCCCATTCAAAATTAGTATAAGAGTCTCAAAGACCGGGTGCTCTTGTGGAAGAACATAGTACCGGGGAGTTGGGGGGGGGGGGGGTATCCCAGCGTACGAACACTTGATTACCTTATTTCTAACAGCTACCATGAAGCTGGTAAGGGAAATAGAGAAGGGATCAAGGGAAGACAGAGCCCTTCTTTGTTGATGGTACTGCTGTGTGCCTGAGAGAGGAGGGGGGGGGGTATATCGTACCCCCAGACCTCCGGTTGCTATTTACATTTTTTAAAAGTTACCATGAAGGTGATAAAGGAAATAGAGAAGGAATTACCGAGTCTTTCCTTGTTAAAGGTACTGCTGGATGGATGGGGGGTATTCCATACCCCCCCAGATCCCCCGGTTGCTATTTTCTTCACCAAAAATGTCTTGAATTAGTTCTCATACGATAATTTTCGAGAAAACACCACCCAATTTTGTAACCTGATCCTGTGGGGGGTATTCCACACACCAGAAACTAGTACTATAGTCTCGATGGCTGGAATACCTTGTGAAAGAACGTAGTACCGGGGGGTCTGGGGGGTATGGAATACCCCCCAGCCTACGAAGACTTAATTACATTTTTTTAAAAGTTACCATAAAGGTGACAAAGGAAATAGATAAGGAATTACCGAGTCCTTCCTTGTTAAAGGACTATGCTGCATGGCTGGGGCCCCCCAGACCCCCCGGTTGCTATTTTATTCACCAAAAATGTCTAGAATTAGCTCTCATACGATAATTTTCGAGAAAACACCACCCAATTTTGTAACTTGATCCTGTGGGGTAATCCATACACCTGAAACTAGTACTATAGTCTCGATGGCTGGAATACCTTGTGAAAGAACGTAGTACCGGGGGGTCTGGGGGGTATGGAATACCCCCCAGCCTACGAAGACTTAATTACATTTTTTTAAAAGTTACCATAAAGGTGACAAAGGAAATAGATAAGGAATTACCGAGTCCTTCCTTGTTAAAGGACTATGCTGCATGGCTGGGGCCCCCCAGACCCCCCGGTTGCTATTTTATTCACCAAAAATGTCTAGAATTAGCTCTCATACGATAATTTTCGAGAAAACACCACCCAATTTTGTAACTTGATCCTGTGGGGTAATCCATACACCTGAAACTAGTACTATAGTCTCGATGGCTGGAATACCTTGTGAAAGAACGTAGTACCGGGGGGTCTGGGGGGTATAGAATACCCCCCAGCGTACGAAGACTTAATTAAATTTTTTTAAATGTTACCATGAAGGTGGCAAAGGAAATAGAAAAGGAATTACCAAGTCTTTCCTTGTTAAGGGTACTCTTGGATGGTTGGGGGTATTCCATACCCTCAGACCCCCCGGTTGCTAGTTTCTTCTTCAAAAATATCTAGAATTAGTTCTCATACGATAATTAATAATCCTAAAAGAATAATTTCGAAAAAAAAACATTTAAAACAGGGCAACGTGTCTCAAAATTAATTATGGTCTATTATACTGGGTGGAAATTTTGCCTGGAACATAGAATATATTTGCAAATCAATTTTTTTTATAAAGAAACTTTTGGTGGAATCCAAAGTTATAAAAAGTTTGTTATCAAGTTACAGTGCACAGTGGCGTGCGTCTACAGACTTTTTTTTAACATGGAAAGCACTATTTTTGACAAAAGATTAACGTTTTTTTTTCGCAAACTCTGTTTTCCCTTAGTTTGAGCTTTTGTCTTAAGTATGATTATGTTTTTTATGAGGTTATATCCAAAAAACAATTATGAAATATAATGAAAAAATAATATGCCCCCCTTGACTATGTAGAAGTACGCCACTGACAACAAATTTAAAGTTCCCAAACTTTTTACAGATGGCAGTTTTGAAGATATGTTCATTGTTCCACCCTGTATACTACCATGTCCATGGGGAGAGGAAAAATGATACACTCTGTATACGACCCCGTTCCGCTTCAAATAGCTCCCGAACTCAAATCCGCATTTAATGTAATAGCTTTCTATCGATTTATTGCGCAAACTTCCCCCGAAGGCAACTGATGATTGATGCCAGTTAATTTTTTTTTCTTTTAAGGCCTCCCGCCAATTATCAACAATTGGGCGTCCGGTTGTCGTCCATTGTCACTTGATCAAGTCGAATTAGCGCGCCAGAATGACCCGAACGATTTTTCTCTTCGCCCTCTCGCTTTTGGGGACCTCGGATTCGGCGACTTTCCCCAAATATCTGAATAAGCACGAGATCGAAGATAATGGACTGTGTAAGTTGTCGAAATAAAAGTTGCCCTTTTTCAAAGTGTACGGCTTTGGCAGACACGGAGAACTACCCGGAGATTAGGCCGGCTTCCGAAGAGGACCTGCTGAAGCAAGGTAACCTGGGGGAGGTGTTCGCTTGGTGACTAAAGTTAAATTGTAGACGAGCGGTTTTGGTTCCGATTGGGTTCGGGTACGCTGAAGCAAAGGTTGAAGGGTGACGGGGGTGATGTTCCGAAAGTTGCGCGAAACGTCGTGTTTTTCTTGGCCGATGGAATGGGGGCGACCACGACGACGGCGGGACGAATTTATAAAGGTCAACGCGCTGGGAAGTTGGGGGAGGAGCACAGCTTCTCCTTTGAGGAGTTTCCAAACGTGGCCCTCGTTAAGGTAACCACCTCCTGTATACCTCTGCCTCTTTCATTGATTAATTCCAGAACTACTGCGTGGATCAGCAGGTTCCCGATTCGGGCGCGACGGCCACGGCTCTGTTCTCAGGTATTTACTGCAGTTAAGTCTCCCCCGCATTCTCGTGGCTCGTTTCAGGGGTCAAGACTCGTTACAAGACAATCGGGGTGGATGCCAAGAGTTTCTTTGGGAAATTTGATAAGGCGACCTATGAGAGAAGCAAGCTGGATTCCTTCATGGTTTGGGCGCAGGACGCCGGAAAGGCCACGGGAATTGTGACCACCACGCGAATTACCCACGCAACTCCCGCCGCCACCTACGCGCGAACGCCCCACCGAGACTGGGAGTGCGACAGCAGCATCCCGCGCACCTACCGCGCCGACCTCAAGGACATCGCGCGGCAATTGGTCGAAGACGCTCCCGGAAAAAATTTCAAGGTCATCCTCGGCGGGGGCTTGGAGGCGCTCGGCTACGCCAAATACCCGAACGCGTCGACCTGCCCGAGAGAAGACGGCCTAAACCTGACGGCGCGCTGGTTGGGCGACAAGAGCAAGGCCTCATTCGTAGTGGGCAAGGCTCAGCTGAACCGCGCGACGGAAGAAGCCGATTACTTACTCGGCCTGTTCGCGCCCAGCCATCTACCGTACGAGCTTTCCCGAAAGCGAAACTACCCCGACGTGCCGAGCCTCTCCGACATGACCCGAGCCGCACTGAAGGTGCTGCGAAAGGAACCTAAAGGCTTCGCGCTGATGGTCGAAGCCGGGCTGATCGACAGAGCGCATCATTCGAACCTCGCGCGTTTCGCGCTCGGCGAGACCGACGAACTGGACGAGGCGGTCGCCGTGGCGTTGAGAGAAACCGGCACGGACACCCTCATCATCGTAACCTCCGATCACGCGCATCCCATCACCCTGAAGGGCTACCCGGCGCGCGGCAACGACATCTTCGGGTTCGCCAACGAGTCGGTGCCCTACCAGACGTTGTCCTACGCCATCGGTCCCGGTTTCGAGTACCACTACAACGCGAACGCGACGAAGTACGCGGACTTTCCGTGGCGTGACCTCTTCGCGGACGAGAGCAGGCTGAGGGACCCCTTCTACCAGCAGCACGCCGGGTATTACAGATACGAGAGCACTCACAGCGGCGAGGACGTTCCCATTTACTCGAAGGGACCGGGGACGGACCTGCTGCGCGGCGTCGTCGAACAGAATTACGTCGCGCACGTCATCAGCTACGCGGCATGCATTGGACCTCACGCCCGATTGAATAGCGACTGCGGCGACACCTCGCGGGCGTCCGTTCAACTACCAACAACACCCGTTGCCATATTAGCACTTCTTTTAGTCCCCATTTTATATTAAATTGATTAGTAAAAATAGATTTTAAGTAAGGTTGCCCATATCAGGACTCCAGAAGTGAAAGTTACTCTCCCCTAGGTTTGCCAGCCCCTTGACCATTTTACTCAAAGTGTTCCTATCAGGAACTTTCGAAATGTCACTGTCAAATTCCCGAGATACTCATCAGCTAATCATATCAGGAGTACAGAAGTCGTGTATTGTAGTAGTAGTCCCGTTACTGTAATCTTTGAAAGAGAAATTCCCACCAAGGGAGCACAATATCTTAATTTTTATTACTCTGATACACTAAAGTGCATAATGCTAGTCAATAAAGTATTTCCTATTTATAATTGATGTATCTCTGCTATCCTAATGCAGTAATTTCGAAAAAGAGGTTCGTCTCAAGAGGGCATATTTGTCCTGCACGAAATGATAATTTAAAACAGCTTATTCAGGCGGAATACGCATCAGGAGAACATAATATGAAATAGGTCATCAAGAGAACGTTATGCAGAACAACCTTGAGTTTTCACGTTCGTTTTCCAGATAAATGTTGTATCAGGAGAACGTAATACGTTTTTGTCAAAGGGATAATAACAATAATTGTGTGTTTCTGTTATCCCGATATAACAAGTGTTTAAAAATTTGTATCAGGAGGTCTCGTGCAAAATTTAGGTAAAAATGTGTATCAGGACAACATAATACGAAAGTAGTCCGGAAGATGGAGCGAAACTGGTATCAGGAGAGCATAAATACACTTCTAATCGTATTACATTTCAGTGATCCTGTGATCCTGATATAAACGTTTCTATAACAAAATCTTTCTACCTTTTAAACTTTCTTACGCTTTTTTAGCGGTAATATAATAAGAGTAAGACAAACCCATATCTTCCTTTTGTATAACCTCTTTTTAGCATCAGAAGAATATATAAGAAGAAGAAACTATTACGCTTCTTCAACTCTTACGCTCCTGATACATTTCCAAACTTTAAAAGAAACAAAAAACTTAAATCTTTCTTTTGTAATCTTTCTTTAGTATCGAGAGGATATATAAGAAGCAGAACCTACTTATATTCTTGCCCACGTATGCTCCTGGCACATTTAAAAGTTGTAAAAGAAAGAAGAAACCCTAATCCTTTTTCCAAAGACTTACTTTAGTATCAGGAGAACATTTCAGCTTCTTGCACTCCTACGCTCCTGACATTTAAAAAAGTTAAAGGAGAGAAGAAACCCCAAACTTCTTTTCAAAAATTCGCTTTAGTATCAGGAGAACATAAAAATTCAATGACTCGGTTTCGTATCAGGATAATCTAAAGAAGAAAGAATTCCCAGTCTTGCAGTTCTACGCTCCTGATACATTTAACAATCTTATAGGAAAGAATCGTCCTCTCAAAGACGCACCTTAGTATCAGGAGAGCTTCCTGCATCAGTTCGCTACTGATACATCTAAAAATGTTATAAAAAGTTTCTTTAGAAATATTAGCGTTAGCATCGGGAGAATATATACAAGAGGTTGAGCTTCTACTCTCCATGACTGTATCAGGAGAGGATTAAATGTGAGAAAAAGCATTTCAAGCGCCTTCTTGCACGACTGTTTTTTCCCGGTCGATCTGAGCCAATTTTTTTTCAGGCCTCAAAAAAAGGCAGTGTATACACTTCCTTTTTTACCAAAAACTACTGCACCAAAATTTCTCGGGAAAACACTTTTTCGTACTAATTTTGGTGCGTAGAATCCAAAACGAGTCGTACTTTTTCGATTAGACCTTTCAATCAAAAAGTTATAGACTAGAAACCAATTTCGATCAAAACTTCAATGTTTTTTACCAGCGATTTTAAAACGGACCAGGAGAACATATATTCTATAATTTTTTACGCTATCATTATGCGTGCCTGTTATCCTAATGGAATTAATGAAAATCATTTAAAACGAACATTAAGAGGACCGTATACGCAATTTGTATTAGGAGAACATACGTAAGAGAGTACGCATTCCTGTGGTTCCGACGAAACGAGTTCATAAGGATAAATGCGTACCTATCAGAGCGACATAACACGAAGATAATAGTGTTCTTCGTGTTCAATTTCCAAGTGAAATTTGTATCAGGAGACCATGAAACGCGAGGTCGGGAACGGGAAACAGGAGTTCATAAGTCTTCGATACAATGCACCTCATGTCCGATGGTAAGATAAAAGCTAAATCCGAACTAAAATACCAAAATACAACGCGTGGGCGATTTTAATGTCGACTTCTCCTTAAGCCTATTTATCTACTTGTATGCACTGATTAAATAATGGCACCTCATCCGGTTGACGGTAAACAAATTAGGACGAACGATTCACGAAACACGTCGCCAAGCAGTTGCGTCGAGATGAATTTAATCTTGCTACTATTTCTCCTGTTCGCCTCCCAAACCGTCAGGTAAAACTTTCCCAATTAACTAATTACTAATCCCAGTCTAGATGCGAGTCGAGACGAGAGAAGGAGAAGGCAATTTTGGCGCGCATTCTGTCGCCGGAAAGATACGACCCCAGGTTACGCCCTCCCGGGCTCAATAATACGGAGGGCCCCACCGAGGTGAGGGTGAACACCTTCGTCCGCTCCATATATTCAATCGACGATCTGAACATGGTACGAAACGTCGCGGTAACTGAATGTGTTAATCGACCCGTTTCAGGAGTACAAGTTGCAGCTCACCTTCAGGCAGCAGTGGGAGGACGCGCGGCTGAAGTTCGAGAGCCAGGACCCGCACGTCAGGTACCTCACGTTAACGGAACCGAGGCAGATCTGGACGCCCGACCTTTTCTTCTCCAACGAACGCGAGGGTCACTATCACGAATTGATGGCGCCGAACCTGTACTTCCGCATCTTCCCCGGCGGTCACGTCCTCTACAGCAGAAGGTAGGTACACTACGGGCGACCCCAGTTCCGCTCTTGACACCCGATTGCGCTAGGCTTTCGCTCACGCTGGCCTGCCCCATGAATCTCAAACTGTACCCGTTCGACCACCAGGTTTGCTCAATTCGAATGGCGAGTTGTAAGCGCTCCATTTTCGGCAGTTCTTGGATTAAATGATGAATTTTAGACTCGTACACGACAGACGACTTAATCTTCCTTTGGAAGGAGGGCGATCCCGTGCAAATTGTAAGAAATCTTCACCTGCCCAAGTGGACCTTGCAGAAGTTTTCCACCGATTATTGCAACAGTAAAACTAACACGGGTGAGAAGGGTTGCGTCACACTAATTTACGATCAGACTCACTTTAGGCGAGTACAGCTGCTTGAAGGTCGACTTCTTGTTCAAGAGGCAGTTCTGTTTTTACCTCATTCAAATCTTCTTACCCTGCTGCATGCTGGTGCTGCTGTCGTTTGTGTCATTTTGGTTCGAACCGTCAGCAGTTCAAGCCAGGATGCTCTTGGGGCTGTCATCGCTCCTGGTGCTCGCCGCATACACGTCGGTCGTGAACGCGTCGATTCCTCAGATTTCGTACACCAAGGCGATAGATATCTGGACGGGCTGCTGCTTGACCTTCGTCTTCGCCGCGTTTCTGGAGTTCGCGACGGTCAACTACATGCACAGCTCGCGACGGGACGAAGACCAGGAGGAAACCGCTCCAAACAACGACGAGTTCGGCATGGTACTCGCCGCGCTCGAGGATTTTTTTTATTCACTCCTTGTTTCAGAATCCGCTGATCAACCACTCCAATGATCCGCCTAACGGTAAATGCGTAATGAGAAAGCATCTCCAGAGCTTGAAGTATTGTCAGAGGTGGTTTAAGGGGCAACCGAGGAGAGCCAAGTCGCTCGACGTTCTCTCCAGGATACTTTTCCCTAGTGCCTTTTTACTGTTTTGTTTGAGCTATTGGATATCCTATGCCGTTATGGATTCCGAACCGTGAGCTTCGCGCTGTTTATTCTTTGCTTAACAAATGCCACGACGTATTGTTTTAATTACGTGAAGAAATTAAAGCAGGCGTTTAAGTCATTTAAAGTGATTTCCTTTTTATTCCTACTTGTACTTTTAAAGTCATATTGTATCTTAGTAAAATCATTTTATCACGGAATGTAGAGATAAGGCGTGTACGTGCGCGAATATATAGAATAAAAAAAATGTGCTGTGAGTAGCATAGATACCAGCCGCCCTTTTATGTCTAAGAATATGTGTACCAAAGTTGGTTCAAATCGGTTCAGACGTTTAGCCAGAAATGAGAGTATAGATAGATGGACCGACAGACATAATCGAGATTAATACACAGAATTTAAATTGTGTAAAAGACCGTGCGTAACAAAAGAAAAATCCTACCTTCATATGGCTGCCCTCCGGGAATCTGAAACAAACATTAACTACGTTAGAAGGTTTGGCAAAGGCTAGTCCTGAAGTAAACTTTTGAATAAGGTGTAATCTTAGTTTAGGAGACAAGCCCTTTGGCGAGGGGGGTGTATTACGTTTCACAGAAAAAAAAATATAAAAAATTTACCCTTTAGCCTTATTAATTACAACTCGCCTGGGACGAACCATTAACCACAGCAACCACCGCTCAACGGTTGATGTCACCTTCTCGGCCACTACGAAGCGGGTAGTACTAAAAAGGAAAATTGTACACATTAAAAATTAATTTGATCCCTAAATCCCCTAACTCCTAAATTACTGTGTGTAAAATGGTTCTTACTCACTTTGTTCGATGGGATCCTGAAAGTTTCTCGCTAGGGTCGAGTTCGGTGTGGTCCATCACAGGGGCTGGTACTGGCGAGCCTTCATCAGCTGCGTCTTCGAGTAAGCTTGTCCCGGATTCTGCGAACAATCACGAAATTATGTAGTTAGTTTACCGAAGAGTACTTGAAAACGTGTTCGCTTAATTCATTGAAGCTCACTGATCTCTCGTAAGAGGCGAGTTTCAATAAAATAATCGATGCACTCACACTCACCTTCCTTTAAAAACTGATCTTCGCGTAATACTGAGTGAGGTATGAGGAACCTGGAGAACGTTCATCTTGAGAACGTATGAATTGGCTCCAACGCCCTTTCGTGGTCTGTTTCGTACAGCAAATCGGTTTAGTTCACAAAACTGGCATGGCTATGAATTCATAGTCATTCCAAATCATATGAAGTAAACTGATTGCCGTAGCGAGAGAAGCAAATTTGAAAAAACATTGCGGTCAATTTTACGTGATCAAGATGGTAGTCTGAGAAGATCGCCACAACTCACTTAGTTCGAAGATCAGCGAAAATTGGTGGTTCATTTTTATTTGTAGTCACTGTACACTGTTCACTTTCCCCCACTGCTAGATACATAAAAAAACAATACACCATGCTTAGAAAAAGAAAAATCCTACCTTTATAAGGCTGCCCTTCTGGAATCTGAAATAGAGAAAGAATTACTTTAAAATGCAAAAATGCCGAAGAGTGACATCGAAAGAGTAAATAAAAAAAAAACTTACCCTTAGCCTTATTAAATCCGCGTCTCCTGGAAACGACCATACAACCGCAAATAGGAATGGGGAGCTGGCGGTAACTGAAAGATGAAAAGAAGTATATCAATAAGAGGTCTAAAGCCCTATTTTTTGAGCAAAAGATCAACACAAAATTGGTCTAAATTTAAGACAGTGGCGTGCTTACCTGATCTGTTCCGTCGCGTTCAAAGAAATCGAGGATTCATCTCAGAGGCTGGCTCTTCATCATTAGAAGTCCTGGAGAAGTTTCTGCTTTGGCGCTGCGAACAATGGAAAATATCAGTCAGATGGGCGAGTAGGCATGAAACATTTGCCGGTGTTCTTCCTTTATTAATCATTTCAGTGTTTATGGCATATCACCAAAGAAAAGTTGGACTAACAAATTAATAAAGAAACACACACATTCTGCTTCAATCGCACTTACCTGCTAAGCTGACCTTCTGAAATAATAAGTGAGTTACAACAATCGTCGAAGCCATTCAGGTTGGATACGAAGGAATTGGCTGCAACTTCTTAACAGTCTGGCTCGCAGGAAAAATACGTTACATTCATAAAATAGAATGACATATGAATTCATAGTCACACCGATCCATATGAAGTAGACTGACTGATACTGCGAAACAGACCATTGCAGTCGATTATGCGTAACCAAGATGATATGCTGGGAAGATAGTAACAACTCACTTACTACCACAATCTGAAGATCAGCTAAAAAATAGGATCACAAATCTTCGATTTATTCACATTGCACTTATTCACTCCTCCCAGCTGAAAATACATAAAGAAAATGCACCACGCCCATGCAGAAAATAGAAAATCCTACCTTTATAAGGCTGCCCTTCTGGAATCTGAAACAAAGGAAAAGAAATCGTTAACTAACGTGAAGAACGTGATTAATTAATGTCAATTAGCCAAGAGCCCAGATTATGGAGTGGACAGACGGACGGATGAACAGAAATGCTTTCTTGTTCTTGTGAAACTAAAAGGAAAAGTTAAGGGTTTGTTTTGAATTTGAAGCTGAAGGCTCATATTTGTGAGACATTAGGTAAGAAAGTGGACAGACGGACAGACGGAAGGACGGAAAGGTCTTTTTCCTGTGATACTCCTGAGAAAAATGAAGGATTTGATTTGAATTTGAAGCTGAAGGCTCTTTTTTTAGGAGATTAGCTGAGAGAGTGGACAGACGGACAGACCGAAGGACGGAAAGGTCATTTTCCTGTGATACTCCTGAGAGAAATGAAGGTTTTGATTTGATTTTGAAGCTGAAGGCTCTTTTTTTAGGAGATTAGCTGAGAGAGTGGGCAGAAGGACAGACCGAAGGATGGAAAGGTCTTTTTCCTGTGATACTCCCGAGAAAAATGAAGGATTTGATTTGAATTTGAAGCTGAAGGCTCTTTTTTTAGGAGATTAGCTGAGAGAGTGGACAGACGGACAGACCGAAGGACGGAAAGGTCATTTTCCTGTGAAACTCATGTGAAAAATGAAGGACTTGATTTGAATTTGAAGCTGAAGGCTCTTTTTTTAGGAGATTAGGTGATGGAGTGGACAGACGGACAGACCGAAGGACGGAAAGGTCATTTTCCTGTGATAGTCCTGAGAAAAATGAAGGATTTGATTTGAATTTGAAGCTGAAGGCTCTTTTTTTAGGAGATTAGCTGAGAGAGTGGGCAGAAGGACAGACCGAAGGATGGAAAGGTCTTTTTCCTGTGATAGTCCTGAGAAAAATGAAGGATTTTATTTGAATTTGAAGCTGAAGGCTCTTTTTTTAGGAGATTAGCTGAGAGAGTGGACAGACGGACAGACCGAAGGACGGAAAGGTATTTTTCCTGTGATAGTCCTGAGAAAAATGAAGGATTTTATTTGAATTTGAAGCTGAAGGCTCTTTTTTTAGGAGATTAGCTGAGAGAGTGGACAGACGGACAGACCGAAGGACGGAAAGGTATTTTTCCTGTGATAGTCCTGAGAAAAATGAAGGATTTGATTTGAATTTGAAGCTGAAGGCTCTTTTTTTAGGAGATTAGCTGAGAGAGTGGACAGACGGACAGACCGAAGGACGGAAAGGTCATTTTCCTGTGATAGTCCTGAGAAAAATGAAGGATTTGATTTGAATTTGAAGCTGAAGGCTCTTTTTTTAGGAGATTAGCTGAGAGAGTGGACAGACGGACAGACCGAAGGACGGAAAGGTCTTTTTCCTGTGATACTCCTGAGAAAAATGAAGGATTTGATTTGAATTTGAAGCTGAAGGCTCTTTTTTTAGGAGATTAGCTCAGAGAGTGGACAGACGGACAGACCGAAGGACGGAAAGGTCTTTTTCCTGTGATACTCCCGAGAAAAATGAAGGATTTGATTTGAATTTGAAGCTGAAGGCTCTTTTTTTAGGAGATTAGCTCAGAGAGTGGACAGACGGACAGACCGAAGGACGGAAAGGTCTTTTTCCTGTGATACTCCCGAGAAAAATGAAGGATTTGATTTGAATTTGAAGCTGAAGGCTCTTTTTTTAGGAGATTAGCTGAGAGAGTGGACAGACGGACAGACCGAAGGACGGAAAGGTCTTTTTCCTCTGATACTCATGTGAAAAATGAAGGACTTGATTTGAATTTGAAGCTGAAGGCTCTTTTTTTAGGAGATTAGGTGATGGAGTGGACAGACGGACAGACCGAAGGACGGAAAGGTCTTTTTCCTGTGATAGTTCTGAGAAAAATGAAGGATTTGATTTGAATATGAAGCTGAAGGCTTTTTTTTTAAGAGATTAGCTGAGGGAGTGGACAGACGGACAGACCGAAGGACAGAAAGGCCATTTTCCCGTGATACACTTGAGAAAAATGAAGGATTTGATTTGAATTTGATGCTGAAGGCCCTTTTTTTAGGAGATTGGCTGAGAGAGTGGACAGACGGACAGACCGAAGGACGGAAAGGTCTTTTTCCTGTCATACTCATGTGAAAAATGAAGGATTTGTTTTGAATTTGAAGCTGAAGGCTCTTTTTTTAGGAGATTAGCTGAGAGAGTGGACAGACGGACAGACGTAAGGACAGAAATGTTTTTTCTTGTGATAATCGTAAAAAAATGAAAGTGAAGCCTCATTTTTGTGAGATATTAGCTAAGGAAGTGAACGGACGGAAGGATGGAAATGTCTTTTTCCAGTAATAATTGTGAGAAAAAGCACACAGTAAACCCACTTTACCAAAATTAAGCCTCTTTTACGGTAATTCAATATTTGAGGTTTTGAACCATGCAAAGACACCTCATTTTCATCCAAAAATTTAGCGGACAACTCAAAAATTAATAATTTTCTCGGAGTAATCCAAAACACGGCCATTTTGAAAGAATGTTTTGTATTTACTTCGACGCCCACACACCTGTTGATGACGTGGCGCCGTTATCTTCGTTCCAACGTGGCAGATTACAACGAAAACTTTCTAATTTGACTAATTTCAAATATTAGAAGAAAGTGTTAATTAAACGGAATACCTACGATGGGTTTTTAGTTCCTTCTTATTATCAATAATTACTTTTTTGAATGTCTACGTCACCCCATGTGTTACCGAACTCCATTTTTTTGAAGGTAATGACGCGTAATCACGCTACGTTTTTGGAAATTGCAGATTTTGAAAAAACCAAATCTACTAAAAAGCATTTAAAAAGGGTACCTACCCTTTGGATGGAGGTAGATGTGGTTTTTTCTTATTGTACGATCTGATTTTTTGGATTTTTACGTTATACCCCAATAAAACAAATTAAAAAACTCACCCCTAAGCCTTATCAGTTCATTCTCTCCAAGGGACGCACCAAATTTCCATAGGGAGAAAACGAGACGCTTCCTTTGCACAACCGCACTACCCGAACTATCACTCGCTTCTGACCGACAGGTTATTTATCGAGATCAGGTGAGGGAAAGTTCCAAAGGATAATCGCCTTAACGAATTTCTTTGGTAGGGGTCAGCTTCGCGCCTGACCGTCTTATCTGTACTCGGCATTTAAACGTTAAATTTATTCACAAACTTCGTGTTGACTATGCGTTTTGAGTACAGTCGAATTAAAATTATTCTGGACTTGTACAATTTTGATGAAAAGTGAAATTATATAGAGCAGTTTCTTTTGGGATTTTTTTTGGATAATTGGGGCCCACGCCTTGTCTAACAAGGGGCAATTATTCCAAAAGAGTATACATGGTTCTCAGGAGATCATGTCATTTTCATTTTATCAACGGGGTTACGTATAGCAAAAACCTCCCAAAAAAACTCATCATATCCCATAGTAAAATGGGTATGTTTCAAAGTGGCAGGACAGGAGAAAAATAAAAAGAATTATCGAGCTCTATTTTGCTGAGGGCACTCTCTGCTCGCTGGGGGGTATTCCATACCCCCCAGATCCCCGGGGTTTCTTTCTCCATTCAAAATGTTTGATGTTAGCATTTATACGAAAGTTTTCAAGAAAATACGATCTAACTTAAGATCTGATATCCTGTGAGGAGTGGAATACTCTTGAGGAAAGCTGTATATCACTGCCTCCTCCCAAAAACGTAGCACCGGGGGGTCTGGGGGTGTTCCATACTCCCGGGACCCCCATGTGCGTCGTTCTTTCTCAAAAACGGTTACCGCTAGCATTGATGTATATGCGAACAGTCACACAATAAAAACTCGGATTTTAATTTGCAAAGCACAAACAATTCCTTAAATGCTGAGTGCCACAGGTGGCCAAAGAAGAGCCTTAAGTTTCCCTCAAGGTCTAATCTCATCTATCGCCTAATAACTACTAATCCACAAGCTTCGTGACAACAAAACGTGGCGTAGACAAAACATTCCCAGTTAAACTACGTCGTTTCCGCCGGTGCGATTCTGCTTTGTCCATATCTGCATGGTCTTCGGGTTTGTCACTAAAAAATCTTCGTCGCTCTGCAAGGATATTATCACCAACGTCGTGAATACCACCGCCGTCTGAAAACACTTGGAGATCACTAGCACTTCGCCTCAACGCTACTTACACCAGTGAGAAGACTGAAATCGATCGCGAACACGCCAGCAAGCGTCAGCTCGAGCTTCTCGTTGAGCAGCTGCAAGGAGTACTCGTTGAACTGAAAAGGAGCCGCTGAGGCGCATCAGAGTTAAAATCGCAGCTTACCGTTTCACCCCCAAAGTAGGGGTGCAAGCCTCTCAGACTGTGTAAGACGATCGCGATGCGATTCGCTGACCTCGTCGCGTTCTCGGCGGCCCTGACGATGAAAAACACCTGAAGGCAGTGCAGTGCCGTTTCCAGATCCAGGGTGTAGATGGCGCTGTACCGCGACACGCGCGTCTGTATCTGCGAAATGAAGCGCATTAAAATTGTGTAGACGAGCACCGTGAACGCGAAGGTGGTCGAGAGGAACTGCAGGCCGACGGTTAACGTGAACGCTTTCGCCACCTTCACCGTCAGCGAGCCGATTTCCCGGTGTTTTTGCATCATCTCGTTCAGTCCAACGTCGAGGTTGATCAGGCGGGAAGAAAGCGCGATGGAGATCCTCTCGAGCGTGGAGAGGTGCGGTTTCGTTTCAGCGTAGATGTACTGGTTTAGCCCCTCGAAGGTGTCCCTGCAGGTGGTTAGTAGTGCGACCACGTGATCGGTGTGGAGGAGGGAGATTAGCGTGGTGAGGTAGCAGGACAGCGTAAACGACCCACTGACGAATTGGTCTTCCAGGCTGACCACGCACGGAACGGCCACCGAGTAGAGAATGATGGCAACCAGCACTGGCCTTCGGGAGGAGGAGAGGGTAGTGTATGGGAACGTTTTCCGAAATTCCTCAAAGAATTGTTCGATCTCCCTCTGCAGCGCTAGGAGATGACGCCGATTGTAAGTGCCGTGGACGACGGTGACGCATGCCGCGAGGATTCCCACGTAAAAGGCGACGAAACGCAAGCACGTGGCGTAGATGCTAAATCTGCAACATTCAGCTGTATCAGCGGACTGAGATCTGACCACTTACCCCTTGTAAAGTAGCTTCTCTTCCAAATACACGATTACTCCCAGCACCGAGAGGGATAAAGCAAAGGCGACGTTGTAAATTGCGGTAATTGCGCTCCCCCATCTCCCACTGAAGCTTCCGAGACCGACAAAGTAGTGGAGCGCGGTAATGATCCACTTCATGTTGACTGAGGGAGATTGGCATCGTTCCATTAGGGTTTAATGTGAATCCGATAAAGCAATCCGATTTAATCTGTGCGTGTAACTGAATTATTCAAGCCTTCCTCTTTGTCTCTGGCTCTCCCTTTTACTTCCGTCTCTGGGCTCTTAGTGCAAGTGCAACGGTGCTCTTTGCACTGTTTCAACCTCGTGGCATCCGGATATTAGAGATAAGATCGACGGCCAGAAAATTGAATGATCGAGTTCTACTTTGCCGAGGGCAGTCTCTGTCGCCTGGGGGGTATTCCATTTCCATACCCTCCAGACCCCCCGCCCCCCCCCCTAACCAAAAAAAATTAATGTGAGCACGAACAATTTCGATAAAATGACACCGACCTTACCACCACGATATTGTCAAGTATGGAATACTCTCCAGGAAGAAAACGTAGCACCGGGGGGTCTGGAATACCCCCCAGCAAACGAGAATGCCATTTCATTTTCCCAAAGATATACAATCACGAAAGTGAAAGAAGTAAAGTAAAGAGAATTTTCGAGCTCTATTTTGCTGGGGGCACTCTCTGCTGGCTGGGGGGTATTCCATACCCCCCAGACCCCCCGGTTTTTCCCTAAATTCCCCAAAAAATTAATGTGAGCACGATCATTTTCGAGAAAATGACAGCGACCTTACCACCACGATACTGTCAAGTGTGGAATACTCTCCAGGAAGAAAGCGTAGCACCGGGGGGTATGGAATACCCCCCAGCAAACGAGAATGCGATTTCATTTTCCCAAAGACCATCATGAATGTGAAACAAGGAAAATAAAAAGAATTATCGAGTTATATTTTGCTGAGGGCAGTCTCTGCCGGCTGGGGGGTATTCCATACCCCCCAGACCCCCCGGTTCCTCCATCAATCCCAAAAAAGTGTAGTGTGAGCACGATCATTTTCGAGAAAATGGCCCTGAATACAAGCAGAGAGTAAAACCACCACGATACTGTCAAGTAGGGAATACTCTTTAGGAAGAAAACGTAGCACCGGGGGGTCTGGGGGTATGGAATACCCCCCAGCAAACGAGAATGCCATTTCATTTTCCCAAAGACCATCATAAATGTGAAACAAGGAAAATAAAAAGAATTATCGAGCTTTATTTTGCTGAGGGCAGTCTTTGCTGGCTGGGGGGTGTTCCATACCCCCCAGACCCCCCGGTGTTTCCCTTATACAGGGAGTATAAGAAGAGTCTATAGAGCTTCTACAAAGTCTACGGAAAATCTATAAAAAATCTTTACAATGCGTAGGTATGGAGATTCTATGAGGAGTCTATAGAGAGTTTATGGAAAGTCTATAGAGAGTCAATTGAGTGTCTAAAGAATCTATGGGGAATCTAAGGAGAGTCTATAAAAAGTTTGTGCAAAGTATCGAGATTCCTTAAAAAGCCCACAGAAAGTTTATGGAAAGCGCACAGGGGGACCATGAAGTATCCATGGGAAAAATAGAGGTAGGAAACTCTATATAAAGTCTATGGAATGTCAATGAAGATTCCAATAGTCCATTGAGTCTACGGAGGGTCTATAAGAAGTGCAAATTCTATGGAGTTTATAGCAAGCCTATGGAGGGTCCATTGAGTATCTAAAGAGAATCTACAGAGAGACTCAGAAGAGTCTATTGAGATTCTATGGAAGATCTATGCAGATTCTATGGAGAGTTTACGTAGTCTATAGACATTATGGAGGGCTTATAGAACCCCTGTACAGTGTATAGAAAGTCTATTGTAGATCTCTAAGAAAGCTATGGAAAGTTTACTAAAAGAAGGAAGAGAAGAGATCGGAAGAAAAAACGAAGCGGGAACCATGAAAAAAGAAAGCGCGATGGATGATGAAGGGAAAGGGAAAAGAGGAGGCACGAAAGAGGAATGACGAATAATACCAAGGGCGAAGAAAGATGAAGACCGAAGAACTAATGATGCAAGAAAAAAAGAGGACAACAGGAAAAGGAGGATGGCGGAAAGATGAAAAGGGAAGGTAAAAGTGCTTAAGTGCTTAGAACACTGACAAAGGAGGGGGAAATTGGAGAAACGTAAGTGGGAAACGCAAAGATTAAAGTAAGAAGGGGATAATAGAATGAGCAGAAGAAGACAGCGGCAGGAAATAGGAGAAGGGCGGAAGTGAGTGAAAGCGGCAGGAGGATGAGAGATAGAATAAAGGGTGGAGAACGAGAGAGGGCTGAAGGAAATCATGAAAGAGAAAGGAGGAAGAAGAAAAGTGGAGAAGCAATTACATTTTCGCAAAGACTACCACAAAGGGGATAGGGGAAAATCAAATGGAGTTATCGAGTTTTACTTTGCCGAGGACACTCTCTTCAGGCTGGGGGGTATTCCATACCCCCCAGTGATTCGCTATTCCTCGAGAACGTTTACTGCTAGCACTTACAACGAAACTTTTCCATAAAATACCCCTGAACTTAAGAAGTGATATCCTGTGAGGTATGGAATACTCTTGTGGAAAGGAGGATACGCATCTCCCCTCCCAAAAACGTAGTACCGGGGGGTCTGGGGGGTATGGAATACCTGTTACTGTTAGCACTTCTACGATAGTTTACGGGAATTTACCATCGAACTTAAAAACTAATATCTTGCGAGGTGTGGAATAACCCTGAGGAAAGCAGGATTGGACTGGCCCTTCATAAAAATGTAGTACCGAGGGGCCTGGAATACCCCCCCAGGAGACGGAGAGGCGATTACTTTTCCTCAAAGACTACCACGAAAGTTAGATTACACGATCTTGAATCAAGAATCGCCCGAAGGGGGTGGTTTTAGCAACTTCGCCCTTCTGGCATTTCCTGTTCCTACGATGGTTAATGTTAAAGAGAAACTTACCCTTCATCTCACCACACGCTTTGGCTACACCGATAAAAAGTACGTAACCCGTAACGTATCAACGGTAAGGAAGTTGAACTGGTACTGAATTACGCACTCCCACCTATCGATAAGCCGGGAATTTATAAACAATATTGAAGAGTAACCAATCAGGTTTTCGCTCCGAACCGCGAGCATCGGGGCTGCTGGATCTGCAAATTGGCCCCAAATTCGCGATACTCTTTTATCTGTTCCCATCAGTGACCCTTTATTTTTACCACCCCTCACCCCACCCAAATGTATCTGGGATTCAAATTAAAATGACTCATTTTATAACGAGGCCGTTTATACAGCGTTGAGGTAATTGTTTATTTGTAGGTACCGTAATTTATCAAGTTAGTGACGTGGCAAAGAAGCGCGCTTCAGTTTATCTTCCCATGAGCTTTATAAACAGGACACTGAATTTCTCACGTGATCCAAAGTCGAGTCTCCCAAAACAATCGACATTGTCAAATTTTGCCGAAACAGCATTACAAAGGGTGGGTTTTATAGAATTTAGGGGCGCGACATGACATCTGTTACTTTATTTAGTACAAAAACTAGAAACATTTAATATTTCCGGAAACGTCCTCAAATGCCAAGGGCACAAAATTAACTAGATTGTGTTGCTCATTAAGGCGGCCAGTTTCTCATACACGGGGCCAAACACTTTACTATACCCCTCGTCGGTTAAGTGCAAATAGTCGTGCATTAGGTGATGGGATATTGTTCCGTCACCCTGGACGATGTCCTCGTGGATGGGGACGACGTGCACGTTGGGATTAACGGACACCGAATCGAAATTGTTCATACACAGCTCGTTCACCAGCATGTTACGCTCGCGGTTGGCGCTCGGATGCTGTCCTCTCGGAAGAAGAGTCTGAAACATTGCAATGGCAAGGAGAGCCGCCGGCGAAGTTGTCACAAACCGGAAGTACTATTTTAACATCCCCCAATTTGGTGGAGATGACGTCGATTAAGTGACAAATCCCCTCGTACACCTGCTGGGCGGTGCAGTCGGTGTTGTTAGTGCCGACGAAGAGCACCACCACCTTCGGCGTACAGGCGAACTCGAGCTCTCCATTCAGCAGCCTCCACAGGACGTTCTCGACCCTGCCAACTGACGCGTTAACGGATCTAAACGCGAAAGACCGCCTCACCTATCGCCTCCAATTCCGAAGTTGAGGCAGTGCAACGGATTGATCTTCTCGTTCCAGAGCGTCGTCAGCTGCAGCTGTTGCACGATGGAATCGCCGACGAAGACGACGTCCGCCTCGGAGTTGCGCGCCTCGGACACGTAACGCTCGTGCTTCAAGACATAGACTTCAGTATTCGCGCGCCATCTACTACACATTGGGGTCATTAACTCACCATAGTTTCCCATCTGTTGTCGCCGAATATATCGTGCTTCCTCTGGGGGACTGTGCAGATGTTCGCAGACTTTAAACTCATCCCCTGGAATTCGCTCACCTGAAAGCCGTAGCGGAAGCTGGTGGTAAAAGAGAAAGCGTGACATACCATCGTTTGGGCGCCGTTTTGCGTTCCGGTCATGAACCGTTCGCGTCTGTGAGGTTATGAAATTAAGCGAAACGTCAATATTATTTGTCAATTCGATGACTGCCCCACAGATGGCGCGAGGAATTATTTTTGCAAACGGATAATTCAATAAACAACATGTCTAAAGGCTTTGAAAGCTTCAAAACAGTAAAGATACTATGGGCCCTTAAAGAGAACAATGACCCTAAAGGTTGTATGGACTTTAAAAGGTTCAATCGTCCCTAAAGATTTCAAAAGATTCTACTGATACTAGAGATACAGCTGGGGATGGAGAATTCAGAAACTGTAAAAATACTAAACAATCTTAAGAGTGAGAAGATGAAAGCAGTAGAGAGAAAAGGAACAAAAAGAGATGGTGAAAGTAGACGAGGGGGCGGCAGAAGAAGATGAAACTGGAAGCAGAAAGGAAGAGAGCGAATGGAGGTGGAGTCAAGAGATACACTGTATACTGGGGGGGGGGGGGTTATTCCATACCCCCAGGACACGCTTTCTCCCATAGGACATTTAGAAATCGCAACTCATTACCGTTTTTGGGAAAATTGCCACATATCCCCTTCCAACGCGAAATACGATGGAGAACGCAGTACCGGGGGGTCTGGGGGGTATGGAATACCCCCCAGAACACTGAGGTTCAATTACCGTTTCCCAAAGGTCACCACGAGAGTGCTGGAGGAAAAAGACAATTTTCTGGGGATACACAGGTGATTTTTTTATGACAATAGACCCACCGTATGTATACTGGGGGGTATGGTGGCACGCTTTCCCCCATAGGACATTTAGCCACCACAACTCATTACCGTTTTTGGGAAAATTGCCACATATCCCTTTCCAACGCGAAATACGATGGAGAACGCAGTACCGGGGGGTCTGGGGGTATGGAATACCCCCCAAGACACTGAGGTTCAATTACCGTTTCCCAAAGGTCACCACGAGAGTGCTGGAGGAAAAAGACAATTTTCTGGGGATACACTGGTGATTTTTTTATGACAATAGATCCACCGTATATATACTGGGGGGTATTCTATACCCCCCAGACCCCCCGGTGGCACGCTTTCCCCCATAGGACATTTAGCCATCACAACTCATTACCGTTTTTGGGAAAATTGCCACATATCCCCTTCCAATGCGAAATACGATGGAGAACGCGGTACCGGGGGGTCTGGAATACCCCCCAGGACACTGAGGTTCAATTACCGTTTCCCAAAGCTCACCACGAGAGTGCTGGAGAAAAAAGACAATTTTCTGGGGATACACTGGTGATTTTTTTTATGACAATAGACCCACCGTATATATTGGGGGGTATTCCATATTCACTTGGAACTTAACCTAAAGCTTCTAACTTTGCCCCCCCCCCAGAAAGTTCGCTGTAAATTTCTGAACCTTCGACCTTACCCCCCGTGTTACCAAAACTTTCAGACCTTAAGACACCCGTGTAAAGGAATTTGATGACTTTCTCAAGGAAGTCGTAAGCATGGTAATTGTTCTAGATAGTTTGGAGGAGAACCTAGCACCGGGGGGTCTGGGGGAAGACAAAGATGTCTAGAGGGTTTGCAATAACCCCTCCCCCTCACCCGGGCGAGAAATGGCGACTGTGACAAACGATTCTCCTCCACCCCTGAGACGAGACGAAATCGTCATGCGGCTTTCAAAGGCACACATTCAAGAAATGTCCATCTATTGCGCATGCGACTCGTGCAGTACTCTTCCCCAACTTTTAAAGTGTACGGATCTGTTGATTGACGAAGGGGGGGGGCGGTCTGGGGGTACGATTAAATATCTACCAGCATTACGGGCCAGCAGTGTCTTCGGCAAAGGAGGACTCGATCATTATTCCTCTATTACTACCAACGACCTCATGTTTGAGAAAAGGTACCCCCCCCCCCACCCACATGGGGATCACTAAAAAAAGTCGCTTTTTACGCTAGTTGTGTACATAAAATAACTTAACAAACAAAAGCTCGTTGTATTGTACTTGTATTACGATTATTGATATAATGGATATTTACTTGATGTGTACAAACAAGCGCGCACGAGCAGGCAAACAAATCCAAAAAGAAATAAATAATATTAGAACAAATAAGACAAATAACGATATCGATTGTAAGACTTCTAATCAGTTAATAGAGAGACTAAAAGGCTTATTTTAGATATCTCCGCGTAGAATCGAGTGGCGTAGTCAAAAAATTTTAAATGCAACACCCTGTAACGTCAATTGTTTTGCATTCTTTGTCCTGATTACATTAATGTATCACAACTTATATTTTTTGAATGTTAACCATGAACCAAAACCTTTTTTACCGTTTTTCAATAGTAGGCCATGAATTTATGGCGTTTTTGTTTTGGTCATTGTTTCCATAGTAACTAATGCAGTCGATAACAATACGAAAAAATGGCTGACGGCGTCACTTTAAAATATTGCCTTTGTTTCTTGTGCTCATGTGTCCGATTAGTTTCACCCGCGCCCTTCCTCGTTACCTTTTATTCCAGTTTTAAACCTGACTCAAATTGGAGACTATTTTGAGATAGAAAAAATGAACCTAGGTGTATGGAGCTCAATCACGAACAGAATTCAACTATGGCTAATCGTTTGTCCGCTAGGGAGCGTTCCTCCAATTTAATCGATTTCTGTAATGCCCTATAACTTTCTCATTATCAAAGATAATCCTCCCCGCCGAGAAAAAAAAAGAAAGAGGAGATGACTGCAAAATGGTAGTTCTCGAGAAAAGGCAATCGATTTGCCCCGTGTTGTGCTGGGGGGGGGGGGGGGTGTATACTTCACAGTATTAATTTTCGAAAATCATCGAACTATTCCAGAAAAAAGGGCGATTTTTAAAGAGTTTTGAAGACATAGCTCTTGTATGAGGGAACATAGCACCAGGGTGTCTGGGAGGAAGTGTACAAAGTGTTTGGGTAGAGGAAACGCTTTATTTAAAAATTGATTTATTCAATCTCGTGTCTTACATTGTTTCCAACAGCCTCTAGGGCTCTGAAAAACACAAAACACAATGGGAAACTTGTGAATTAATGTGCGCATTAATTTTTCTGTCAATTTATCTGAAATGGGTGCGTCTATTTAGAAAGGTAAAATGTAGACAGCTCTACTAAAAAAGCAACTAAAGATACAACTGAGCCTAGGCCAAGTATGGCGAAGGCAAAGCACAAGCGGTGCAGGGTCAGCTTAATCTTCTCCGAAGATGTCTCGTTATTCTTCGGAAGGTAATCTTCATTAAATCGCCTAAAATTGAACGGCCCAATCCCAGTCTCCGTGAAGATTTGCAAGAAACGGTGTAGGGGGGCGTTGAAGTAACTGGTATCCTTGTGAAGGAATCGTATCAGAAGAGGACCGGGCAAAGAGTCATCCTCAATTATTTCAACTTCCAGTTCGTAGCTCGTTTGAGATCGTAAAAGGTCTAAATCCTGTTGTGCAATGATGAATGCGCAATTGCGGTAGTGGTGGACGTCCAGAGCGGTTTTCCACATTACGTTGTCCCCTTGACGTGGAATAAACTTGTTCTTCAGTTTGTCGTAGAGTTCGATGTTGGTGTCGTTCCGGTTGAAGTAGTGCTTTCGAAAATTGTCCGGAATTACTATGGGCAAATCCGATTCGGCGAGTTGTTTCAAGGTCTTTATTTGAAACTCGTACTGTGGAATGGTGAGGAGGTTAATCCAGTTGGAGGTGAACGCGCAGCTGATGTGGATGTAGTAAATCAAGTACGGCAAGAAGATGCAACGCAAAGCAAACGTTTTCGGTGCGTTCGCCATGGAGCCGAGTATCGTTAGAGAACTCACGTTGGTCAGTGAGGCGAAGCCATCTTCGAGTCGGAACCGTCGATTTTTGCAGGAGACAACAAACCACCATGCCAGAAAAGTGCCGATGAAGGTCGTGATGATTAAAAACCAACCAGAACTCGTGAACGCCAACAGTATCATGCGGATTGCAGGTACTGGTAAGGCTCTCGGTACCATCCACACAATGGATTTTGTTAAAATCGGCATAGTCATCGTATTAGCCGAAGCGCTGTTGAGTCCGTAGACCGTCAAGGCAGTATAGTCAGTACGTACAACCTGGACCAGCTCCTCTGAACTACTCACAACAACAGTGCGGAATGAGGCATTAAAGTAGAGCGCAATTGTTTCCATGATAAAGAACACGTAACGCGAGTCCGGTGACTTTCTTAAGCAATGAAACCGCGAATTACTGAGAAGAATCAAAGAAATTCGGCAACGATGTAGATTGCTCAGTTTTCCAAATTCCAAGCTCCGGTTTCCAGAGCAGGGCTCCTCATCAATCGACCTGACGACTCTTCCACATTCGTTCTTAGCTTCGAACCGGTTCGCCACCCTCAAGACCCCATCCCCAGAACCGTAATTTAAAACGACCAAGTTCAGCAGGTTATGGGCCCATAAACGCGCATACAACACATCAACACTGGCGGCGCTAATTATCAAGCAATTTATGCCCGAATAGCCTCTTTCTATGCTATATTTCAGCATCTTTACTAAATCCAATGCGGCGTTCACCCCTTCAATACTGCTCGCGCAAATCGCAAAATCGCCGCCCGTAGGCACACGGCGTTCACCCGTCACTTTCATTCGAATGTCAAAAACCGCAACGGGCGTCGTCCCGTGAAACCAACCGATATTGCACCGATCACTGTCTTCGGCGATCACAGTTAGCGACGAACAATTCGAAAAGAGGCGTTTGACTGTTTTTCGAATGCAAATTTCCGTCGAAACGTTGCCTGTTGCATCGACAATTAACGATGAACCGACCGCGGTCAAAAGACAGTGAAAAATCAAAACGGTCTTCATGTTTCAAATGCTGGGTTATAACTAAAAGTCGATACTTGTCTTATTTCCTGTACCATTATTTAATTTTCTGTATTTGTTGTGCGCTTGTTTGAATACGTCTAAACTAACAAGTAAAATATGCTCGTTATATGATTATAATACAAATACATTACACCGAGCTTTTGTTAGGTTAAGTAATTTCGTGAATACTTTTGACCTGGACCTGGTTAGTGCATCAGTAAAAAGCAAGGAAGTGAAGATAAAGACGAAAGGACAGAGCATGT